TTTCACCCAACAACTTGCCCCCTACTCTTCAATTTCTTGTTTAGAATTTGTAGAGTAATACTTCATTTTCATATCGTCGGTCGGTCGCTTGCTCATGTCACTTGTGTGACTGTTGTTCGTTTACTAACGTCGATGTACAAAAAGCATATATGTCTAATGGCATTGTCCCTTTTAACATATTATCTGTGCACATACTAATGGAGCAACATAACATATAATTTAAATAAAAGATCCCAAAGACATACCTTTTTTCTTCGTTCGTCGATGGCTTATGCGAGTGACAAACTCTTCTTTTAAATCATGTGGAAATAACTAAGCAAAATAAGAGGGACGTACTTATTTTAATATCCATGTGGGATTGATTAAGAATGGAGATGGACAAGCTTCTTTCTCCAATGACCAATGACAAAGTTTTATTCTTGAAGCATGTACGTCCTTCCCTTTTTTTCCATGTGGGTCCCAAAGAAGTTGTACTTGACCACTCATGTAGCTTTATTAAAATTGAGGAACGACGTACATTAATTATGTAGTTGTGTTGTTTGTTTATGTAGAGAGTGACCAGCGACAAACATGTTTAGTCGTGCCTCTTCCTTTTTTCTCTTAATCGTCGAGCTTCATTCTCTCCAATCTTAAGTAAAACGTATTTTTTCAAATCGTCAGGCGTTGCTCGTCAATGCTGTTTCGGACCTTGCTCCCTTTCTAATGTAGATGTTATTCATTTTTTGTATGTCGCTCATTTATCTTCTTTTGTCGTTCCCTCTCTTTTCAATTGGAGTTACTGTTCCTTTTCCTCTTATGTCGTTAATAGATGTTTATCTATTAAGATATTATAGTAGAATTAACGGAGCTCCTTTTTACTAGTAGTTGGTCTTGATCTCATAAGATCTAATAAAAACTAGCAAGGACAAACACGTTTTATGTGTTCGTCTGTGGTTGATCACTTGGATTGACTACATATAGTCCTTACCTATTGATGAGCGTCGATGAATTCAGAACTTGCTTTCTCAACGGATAAGCAGCTACTTATTGTGAGGGTATACCCCTTAGTTTATTGTCATATTTTCACGAGGACGTACCTCTTGATTTTGTAGATGTTGTCACAGATTAAGGACGTACCTCTTCATTTGTTAGCTAATGATTTATGATCATAATATTTGGAGGTCGTGCCCCTTTGTTAATCAAAGAGTGATGTGACATCATAGTCTATTGGAGGTCGTACCTCTAACTTATTTGTTAGCGACTGTCGTCGCTATCTATTGAGTACGTACCTCTTTATTATATCATGACTTATCATGGTGAGGTCGTACCTCTTAATTTATTTAGTAGCGACTGTCGTCACTGTATATTGAGGACATGTCTCTCTATCTATTTGCTTATGACTTGTTGTCATAGCATGTGGAGGTCGTACCTCTAAATCAATTATTAGCGACTGTCATCGCTCTTACTATATATTGAGTACATGACTCTTTATGACTTGTCGTCATAACATGTGGAGGTCGTACCTCTAAATTAGTTATCAGCGACTGTCGTCGATGTCGATATACATTGAGTACATGACTCTTATCTTCCTAGTGACCATGGTCAATTTGCTCATGAGCATTGCCCTTAGTTTTTTTTTTGAAGAAACGTCGATCGTCGTTGCTGTTCTATCATGAGGAGGCAATGCCTTCTTTTTTTTTTTTTTTTACTGTCGTTTGTCATAAGCAGTGCAATGACTGTCGCTCGTCACTAGTTGTGGATACAACGTCGATATTAAAGCGAGTGACGAACATAATCTGAGAATTCTTAAATACTCATATGTAGAAAAACCTTTTATTAAGAAGTTCGTCCGTAGACATGCGCGAAGTAAAGAAAAACAATTGAAAGCAGAGACATCTCGTGGATCGTCTATGACTATGACAATAACGAAATAAATAAAACCAAAACACTGAAAGCTAAACTAACCTAGAAGAGGTAGGTTTCGAGGTTCGTTTCATCAAGATCTTTTTCCGTCAGTGGATCTCACAGAGTTGTTCCACCTCTGCTTCTTTGGTACGTGGAATCGACGATTGGATCTCTAGTTGATATAGCTCATGACCTTTCCCTTTTAGGGTAGTTTGGTAGCATGAACGTGCATGCTCTTGTTCTCCCTTGATCTCTTTGACTCCCCATGGAGTAGGAAATTTTATGGTTTGATGGAGTGTCGATGGCACTGCCCCCATGTCATGAATCCAGGGACGTCCCATAATTGCGTTGTACGCAGTAGCACAATCTAGTATCAAAACTTTGTCTGTCGGTTAATTCCTCCTGCATACACAGGCAGCGTCACTTCTCCTATGGTCTGCTTTACTTCACCGCTAAATCCTACCAGTGGTGTGGATTTTCGCGTCAGTGCATTCTCATCCAGCCCTAATCCTTTGTAAGCATCCATGAAGAGAATGTTGGTCGAACTCCCATTATCAACGAGTGTCCTTTTCATCAGACTATTAGCAATTGTCAAAGATATGACTAATGCATCATGATGTGGAGCTAGGACACACTTATCTTCATCTGAAGCAAAGCTAATCGTGCACTTCGACAGTCGCTCGCATATAGCTTTGACATCTCCATGATGAGTTCTAGCTATTCTAGTACTCTTTTTAGCAGCAGAATGAGTAATTCCACTAACCTCTGATCCTCCCGATATCACGTTGATGATTCGATCATGCTCCGGAGATTGAGCAGGAGATGGTTTTCTTTGCACTCGTCATTGCTTCTGTCGTCGATGCGACTCCTAGCCCTGTCGGACAAGTGTTCTCTCAAGTGACCTTTTTTTAGTAGCTCGTTTACTTCCATTCTCAACGTGATGCAATCTTCTGTTCTATGACCATGGTCAGAGTGAAAGTCGCACCACTTTGATGTGTCTCTTCGTTCCCCTGGTGCTTTCATCTTTTGAGGCCATCTTACTCCAGATATATGATTAAGAACATTGACTAGTTCTGCAGGAGATATTGCGAGGTTACTCATGTCTGGCCATGTGGATGATGAGCGTTGGTCGCTCTCAATTTGGTTGAGTGGTCGATGGTCGCTTCTGCTGTCGCTTCTCTTGCTAGTGCTTTCACTGCGTGGTCTCTGGTACGGTCTGTCATCTCGAGAGGGACGCTCGTTCCTAACAACACGCGAATCAGATCGTGGGGAAAGTAGGTGTCGATATGCAGGGTCTTCCTCCCACCTTATTTGAGCCCATGCTCTAGATAGCACATCTTCCATCGTTCTGCACTGGTACTTCGTCAGTTCCTTGTACAAATCACTGTCTGGGAGCAATCCTCTTTTGAATGCAGAGATGGCAGTGGACGTGACACATGCCGGAATGGATACTTTCTCTTTGTTGAAGCGACCTACGTAATCGCGCAACGGTTCTCCTCTCTTCTGTATCACTTCATAGAGATCGTCGGCTGTCCTTTCTATGTTCCTGCTGCTCGCGAATTGCTCAACAAAGCGGTCTGTCAATGACGCGAACGAGTCGATTGACGCGTTCGGTAGGTTCGTAAACCACTGAAGAGCTGGTCCCGTGAGGCTAGATCCAAATCCTTTACACATACTAGCTTCGCGATATTCTTTTGCTATTGCCGTTGTGAACATGCGTTGCTTGTACTGGGCTATATGATTATCAGGGTCGGTCGTCCCGTCGTACATCTTCATTGAAGGGACGATGAACTTCTTTGGCATCTCAACCAAAGCGATGGCATCCGTGAAGGGAGTGTCTGCATAGCAATTAGGAGCACTTTTGGTGATTGGAGGAGCTACTCCTGGAAGTCGCGCGAGCAAGAGCTCCATAGCCTCCAATCGCTTTGAGAACATAGTATGCGAGTCTTCAGATTGATGTTCCATCGTTGGTGCAAGGGGTGGAACCAATGTTTGGTTACCTTGCGCAGCGTCGGTAGCTCCTGTTCCTAGGGCTGCTCCTGTTGCACCCGTAAGTGGTGGAGTGTCGAACGATTGCATAGGAGGGACCGGTCTCGATATCTATTGCGAGCCTGAGCCAATGACGCGTTTTCTGCTCGTAGGGTTGCGTTCTCCGCCTGGATTTGCGCAAGTCGTTCTTCGTTCTGCTTCATCTGAGCTGTGAGAGCCTCCAGCTGAGCAACGGTGACGGTCGGTGTTTCGGTCGGTGCGGTATCATCTCCCGCCGCCATGTCTCACGCAGTTAAAATTGCCCCTCCTTCTAGCGCCAAACTGTTTGGGCAAAATTTAACCGGTTCGCAAGTACAATAAACGGAATGACGCAGGAGAAGATATCTTATTAATCAATTGAATATCGAGCTACAACAAGTCAATATCAAAGATTAAACTAAGAGAATCTCGTCTGTCGCTCGTCGTAGATCGTAGTTCGTCGTATCTAGGTTGTTCGTCGCTTGCTCGTCGAGAGGCGAAGAACAAGTAGCTATTAGGGTTTTTGTGTGTTTTTCTGAATGTCCCCTTGTCCTTGTTATGGGACCTCTTATTTATAGGTGCTTGTCGATCCTAATCCTTGTTGAGTTGGGCTTTGACGTCGGTCGTAATATTCCATTTCCTACGTCGGTCGTCATTCCTAATTTCCTTTTAATTAGATATGCACGTCGGTTCTCTGCACAACTCTAATAGATTTAGGAAATTGTACAAACCATCGGTCATTGCTAAACCATTAATTAACATCGTTGGTCGCTGCCTCGTCATGTCGATGCTAAGGCCTTTTAGACACTAAGAAGTAAGATCGACCGGTGGTCATCATGGTCGTCAGTCGATCATATCTCCAGCTTGTAATAGAGTTTAAGGAGCGACCGGCTAGTGAATTTATTTCACCTAACAATGGTAACTCCAAAACCATATACCATCACCAAAAGTGTCCCATTTCAAAGTATATGTGAATTATATAGTAAAAGTTACAAAAGATTTTCGAAGGCTTTTGTTAAAAGTCCAAAGTTACATATACAACAACAAAAAAGTCCAGAGTTACATACAATACACATTGTATATGTACACACTGAATTTGACTCTCGAATTCAAGAACCAAGAACTCTCTTGAGATCACTCTTCTGCTCCGATGTTAGCCTCGAAGGGAAACAGATCTCAAAGTTGATCCTAAGATCACCTCTCTTAGAAACCTCTTTAGAAATCGGCATTCCTTCGTTCGGAATCACGATCTCTTGCCCCGGTTTAACGATATCCAAAACCGGGATCGTCAGATTCCTCCCGTCTAGTGTGGTTAAGCTAATGGTCACCCCGGTTAATGCATCAAGAAGAGAGACTTGCTTGTCCACAATCAGATCGTTCCCGTCTCTCTTGTAAACCGAATGCGGTTTCTCGTCGATCACGAAGATTAAATCCGCCGGCGTCACGCCCGGTTCTTGGTTTCCTTTCTCCGGGAATGTTATCTTCGTTCCTTTCTTCCATCCTGGTGTTATGTCTATCTTCAATATCTCTTCCACTGGCTTTGGCTTCCTGCAAATCAAGCAATCCTCACACAATCAAAATCTAAAGCATGAATTGGATCAATTTCATTCACAAGATTAGTCAAAACAGAGCAACGAGAAGCTTTATAAGGAAGATCATCTAATGGATCAACGTTTCAATTTGATTCTCTTCACCGGAAAGTTAACAGAATCAAAGAGCTATGAATCAACGATGAAACTGGAAATGAAATTAGGGAGAGAGATTTATGGAAATTGACTAACCCGAAGCCATCGGGAACAACGCGAGAGATTCGCATCTTCCTTCTCCCACCTTTGTATAGTTCCTCGAGACTACAAGCCAATTTGCTTTCGATCGCCGGAGCTTTTCGATTCGCCGGAGTTTTCCTACTCGTCTGACTTACCGGAACATCCGCGCTTCTGAATCTACTTCCTCCGCCGCCGCCGCCGGTGAATGCGTCCCCCGATGCGCCGAAAAACTCGGCGAATATATCCTCCGCGTCTCGCGGATAGTATCGGAATTCGTTGTTGTTGCTGTAACTCCGATGCTGCTGAGCCGCCGTCTCTTCCGCTGTGGGTAAATCGGAGGATTTGAGTCCGTCTTCGCCGTACTGATCGTAGATCTGACGCTTGTGAGGATCGCTCAGGACGTCGTAAGCTTCGGAGATCTGCTTGAATTTAGCCTCCGCTTCTCTCTTGCTCGTCGTCGGGTTTTTGTCGGGGTGCCATTTCATCGCGAGTCGCCGGTACGATTTCTTCAGATCGTCGTCGCTCGCCGTCGGATTCACGTTTAGTACGTTGTAGTAATCAACACCCATTTGATTTCGAATTTTTACAACAATGAAGTCAGATTTACAATGGGAGATTGAATCGGAGAATTTGAATCGACGGAGAAGGTTTTGAGAAGGAAGAGAGGATGAAGAGAAGGCGTGAGGGAGGAGACGAAGAAGAGGAAGAAGAGAGTGGAGTGCGTGTAAGGTAGAACATGACAAGCAGAATCTGCTATACAAATTGTTGTATATTGAAATTGAATAATACATTAATTATATTCAATTTTGAAATAAGTATTCTTGTATTGTATTTGTAAGTATGTACACAGAAGAAGATAGGACATAGATGCATTTCTTCTTCTGTTGACAGTTACAGAAGCTTTTGGATTTGGAGAAGTCAGAAGATTGAGTAATGCGGTGCGTTTTAAAGAGGAGTGGATTCAAGTGGGCTACGAGTCATCTAAGCCCAAATTTAAGCCCATATGTAGTAGATTAACTGTTAAAGTTACAGCATGTAATGTTTTTGGTAATCAAACTACTTGTCCAAATAGTATTACAAGTTAAAATCTCGTATGGTAGTCAAATGCTCCAATGATTAATTTGTTACCGATAATTTTCCAAATCTTTTTTTTCTTTCCAAACGAGAGATGCCAAATAATCAAAAACTCATAACCGTTTTGTTTCTTGATTTTTTATTTATTAATCTACGATTGAGAAAAAAATGATAGTTTTCTAATCTTAATCATGATAGTTTTCTAATCTCAATCATGATTCCATCAAGATCAGAAACTCTCATACCCTTTTTACATAGCATCTTGAAGGTTCCGATGGCCGGAGGAGGTTTTGATCTTGTTTTACAAGAAGGTTTTCGCTTAAGACATTGGATAATTTGCTCTTGTTGCTTTAGACTTTATGTCCACCTTTGTTGGTGTGATTTTCGTTAATGTTTTGGATTCCCTGATTCTAGCTTAGTTGCTTAGACTTCTATTCACTGAGTTGGTAGTTTAAGTTCTGGTTTGATCTCTGGTTTAAGTGTTGCTCACAGTTCTTTACTCAATCTCTTGAACTGTAAAGAAAAAAAAAAAAAATCATGATTCCATCATTTCTGAGATATCAAATTAAACTAAACGTCTATCTCTGGCTCGAGCTTTGGATCATCATCACCAAGGCTAACATCACTAGTGAGTAGTGTGAAAACAGAAATGAAAAAAGCCCAGTTATTTACTTCATTAGTTTGCTTTCCCATATGGATATATTCTTAATTTTATTCTTCAATAATGTTATCAAGAAAATTTACACAATCTTTTTAAAGTTGCTTAGATGAAAAGAAAAAAGCCAACGTTCACGGTGAGACTTGTAAAAAGTTTATCTATAATTAACATTACACTATAATAGCCTACACAAGTTTTCAATTATTCCTTGTAAATGTTGCTTATATTGAGAAATTTCTTTTTCTTACAACACATTTGTATTTTATCCTTATCAATCTTTTACCAAAACACATAACATATGCAATTGTAGAATTATATGGCCTAATACCCAAAAACTGCACACACTTTTTGTTTAGTCGGAAAAAATAATAAAAAATTACAAAAATTGCAAACAAACAACCTTTTTTGTTTGGTAAGAAGATTGTTTCCAAATATCAATGATATTTTTTGCAAATAGACCAATCTCAATTGAAATCGAGCATTTTTAGTAGAACACAATGTAAGGATATAGCATGACCATGAAAGATGAGTTAATCTCTTCCGGGAATCACAAAACCGGTATGATAATCAATTCTATATAATTCAACGAAGAAATCATGTCAGCGAAGTATCGTGGTTACACATATATTATAAGTTCCCACATTTGCGAGAGATAAGTGCAGATTTTTCATCGCCGAGAGGAGATATGACCGCAAAACCTCCACATACAATGCAATATATTTGTTTCTTTGTTTTACTCAATGCTTTGGTTTTTGCTAAATTTGATTTTTTTTTCTCTCAGTTTTTATATCATTTTTCTAAAGCCAAATGCTCAAATGATTAATTTATGACCCAATGATTCGCCAAAAAAATAGAGAGATGCCAATTAATCAAAAACTCATAAATGAATCATTCTTCGGTTATTATCAATTTTTTTGTAACTGAGAAAAAATGACAATTTCAATTTTCAATCATGATTCCATCAATTTTTTTTTTTTTTTTAGTTATTTTCTTGTAGTTTTTGGTATTTCTTGCAAAATATATTAAAAGATTTAAAAGATTGACTCAAATTTTGTTGAGACCTTTTAAGTTAACGACCATCAAACTTGAAAAAATTGCAACATTATCCCAATGTCTATCGGTCTTCTTCTCCACCCATCGTCTCCTCCACAAATCCCACCTCCAACCACAACCTCCACCGGACCTCCCTCATTCTCCTCCACCGCCGGTAACCACCACCGACACATCCTCTCCTTATCCGAAACATGCACAACCATCTCTCACCTCAAACAGCTCCACGCCTACACACTCCGCACCACACTCCCCGACGAAACCGCCACTCTCTTCCTCTACGGCAGATTCCTCCACCTCTCATCATCCTCCTCCTTCTCCGACGTCAGTTACACATTCCGAATCTTCAATTCAATCCAACAAGAGAACCATACTCCATTCATGTGGAACACACTCATCAGAGCATGCGCACACGACGTCTCAAGAAAAGAAGAGGCTTTTTTACTTTACCGGAAAATGTTAGAGAGAGGAAAGTCATCGCCGGATAAACACACGTTTCCGTTTTTACTGAAAGCTTGCGCTTACATATTCAAATTATCCGAAGGGAAACAGATTCATTGCCAGATTCTAAAGCACGGACTTGGTAAAGATGTGTATGTAAACAATAGTCTGATTCATCTATACGCTTCTTGTGGATGTTTGGATTTAGCAAAGAAAGTGTTCGACGAAATGCCTGAGAGAAGTCTTGTTTCTTGGAACTCGATGATCGACGCGCTTGTTAGAGCCGGAGAGTTTGATTCCGCGTTGGAAATGTTTAGAGAGACGCAAGAATCGTTTGAGCCAGATGGTTACACGATGCAGAGCGTTTTGAGCGCTTGTGCCGGTTTAGGATCTTTGTCGCTAGGTGCTTGGGCGCACGCGTTTCTGCTGCGAAAACGCGGTTTCGAGGTCGATGTTCTGATCAAGAACTCGTTGATAGAGATGTATTGCAAATGCGGTTCGTTGAGAATGGCTGAGCAAGTGTTTCAAACGATGCGGAAACGCGATTTAGCGTCGTGGAACGCGATTATTCTCGGGCTTGCTACGCACGGAAGAGCAGAGGAAGCTATGGCTTGCTTTGAACGTATGGTGGAAAATGTTAAACCGAACTCGGTTACGTTCGTTGCTCTTCTTATAGCTTGCAACCACAGAGGATTGGTGGAGAAAGGACGGTTGTATTTTGACGTGATGGTTAGAGATTACGGCATTGAACCGGCGTTGGAGCATTACGGTTGCATCGTGGATCTTGTAGCTCGTGCTGGCTACGTTAGCGAAGCTATCGACATGGTGATGAACATGAAGATGAAACCAGACGCTGTGATTTGGAGAAGTCTTCTTGATGCTTGTTGCAAGAACGGTGCTAGTGTTGAGCTAAGTGAGCAAATCGCTACACATATCATTGAAGATAACCAAAGCTCCAACGGTAGCAGTGGCGCGTACGTTCTGTTGTCTAGAGTCTATGCATCGGCTAACAGATGGAACGATGTTGGAATCGTGAGGAAGCTAATGACTGAACATGGGATTCGTAAAGAGCCTGGATGTAGCTCCATAGAGATAAACGGCGTCACGCACGAGTTCTTCGCCGGAGACACGTCGCATCCACAGACTAAACAGATATACAAACAGCTGAGACTGATCGAGGAGAAGCTTAGCTCCATCGGTTACTCGCCGGACCAGTCTCAAGCACCGTTAGTCGATAGTAGCAGAGAGAAAGAGTGTTCTCTCAGGCTGCACAGTGAGAGACTTGCGATTGCTTTCGGTCTCTTAAACTTACCTCCACAGACTCCAATCCGTGTATTTAAGAACCTACGCGTCTGCAACGATTGCCATGAAGTTACTAAACTCATCTCGAAGATGTTTGACACTGAGATCATCGTGAGAGACCGTGTTCGTTTCCATCATTTCAAAGACGGATCCTGTTCTTGCTCAGACTACTGGTAACAACAAACGCTATTGATAGAGATTGAGAGCATCATAAAGGTAACTTTTTTATAAATCATATAAGTTTGGTAGCAATCATATGAGAATCAGTGTCAAAAAGTAACGATTTTTACTTGGATTTGGGTGCAAAGAAACTAACCTTTTTCTTGTTCTTACTCAGATTAGTCATAACAAACACTATTGAAAGAGATTGAGAGCATTATAAAGGTAACTTTTTTTATATAAAATCATATAAGTTTGGTAGCAATCATATGAGAATCAGTGTCAAAAAGTAACGATTTTTACTTGGATTTGGGTGCAAAGAAACTAACTTTTCTTGTTCTTGCTCAGATTAGTCCTAACAAACACTATTGAAAGAGATTGAGAGCATTATAAAGGTAACTTTTTTTTATAAATCATATAAGTTTTTTAACAATCAAGAAGCATCTCTAAGTGCAAATCAATTCTTCTTATAGCTGAGAACTAACAACAAATCTTTTCACTGACTTCACGGCTCAGCTTCAAACATATACATCATCTCTCTCACTTGATGAAATCTTCCGCTACTATTACATTGAAGACAACAGAGTATCAGTGTCAAAGTAATGATTTTTAATTGGATTTGGGAAGAAAGAGACTAACTTTTGGATGAGATTGGGACTAAGACGACGGTCATGTCAGCATTGTTCGGCGGAAGCTGAAGACGCAACGGGAAAAGCTTCCCGTTCAACGGACTACGAGTGCAAACGACGACGTTTTCGACACTGCTCTCTTCTTTCAACCTCTTGGTCAATTCCTCAACGCCGTTGCCTTTGAAAGTAAACGACTTTACCTCAACGGAATCGTCTTCCACCTCGCCGTCATCGTCCGCCACGTGGTAGTATATCACTCTACCTTCCGATTTCGGCGGCGATCCAACTAACACTGAGTCCGTTGACTAACAACACACAAAAAGTCAACGACTTTTCAATTGGGGAAGAAGAAGATAAGAAGAAGAATCAATCAATCACCTCTTGTCTGAAGAAACGGTTAGATCTAGAAGGAGATCCAGGATCGAAATTGAGAGAATCGGAGTGGTGAAGCGGAGACGGAGGCTGGTCTTGGCTGTGGTGTTGATCGGAGAGAATCTCAACGACGTCGACGTGCCAGAGGATCCAATCCTGAGTGGCGGATCTGTGAGGAATGTCGTGAGTGACGGAGTTTCTCCACGGAGGCAAACCGCCGTTACCGCGGAGGTAGTGGCCGTAGCGAGTCTTGAGCTTCACCAGAGCGGCGTCTCTGACCGGTTCCCAAGCTAAGGACGAGTCGAGACGGCTAGGCTTCGACTGTACGACTTTTTTCCCGGTGGCTCCGAGGAGGAACGGTTTGTTTGACGCCGTCAGGTATTTGCCGTAAGCGCTTTTGAGGCGGATGAGATTTGTGGAGCCTGGGACTTGCTCGACGGTCCATTTGGCTGCTCCGGCTGAGCCGTTACGGTCTTGAGTGACGGATTCTTCGTCTTCGTCGGCGATTAGGTACTTGTCGTGGTGGCTTCGTAAACGGACTGCTCTTGCCTTTTGAAAAAACTCCATTGAGAGAGACGACGAGAGGTTGGAGAAATGGTGTGAATGTGTTATATATGTAATGAATGTAGAGAGCTGGATTTTAGCTGGGTTCTTTGGGACCTTGTCTTTACGGAAAAAGAATATTTATTTATTTAGTTGTATTCCTTTTTAATTAAAGAAATTTGTATTTTTGTTTAACTCTTCTTTTCATGTTTTTCATTTTCAAATTTGTTTATTTTAAATTAAAGAAATTTTGTTTGCTTACCTTTTCTGGGGTTACAAGATATCTTCTTCTACCAATTCTTAGTTTTTCCCATATCCATATTTTAAAAAAATTCTAAGAACATGTAAACATGTTATTGCATTAGAATTTATTAGTTTTGATACAATATTATGTTTAAAGTTTAAACCAAATTTTATGTGCAATACATTTTAATTTTCACTAAAATTGTAAGTTTGAATCGAGCTTGTCAAATTTTGAATCATATTTTTTTAAAATAGCAAATTTTAATTGGTTTAGAAAAAAATTAATCAGATATATTTACCCGACCAAGCTAAAACCAGGGCAGAAGTGTCACACAAAGCATTGTTGAATCATATTTTTTTTAAATAGCAAATTTTAATTGGTTTAGAAAGAAATTAATCAAATATATTTACCCGACCAAGCTAATACCAGGGCAGAAGTGTCACACAAAGCATTGTTGAATCATATTTTTTTTAAATAGCAAATTTTAATTGGTTTAGAAAGAAATTAATCAGATATATTTACCCGACCAAGCTAAAACCAGGGCAGAAGTGTCACACAAAGCATTGACAACTAGGATCGCGTTTTAAAACAAAGTTTTTTTTTCTTTTGCATTTCTTTAATAAATCTATTCGTGCGACTAGATCTATGACTTCATACAAAATTGATTGTTTAATAGATTTGTTTATAAATATATCTTGTTTATAATTTTTGTTTTTCTACTTCGGATTACTACTACAAGAATGGGCACATGCAATGAAGAGTTGATGATGGACAATAAAGTGGACTAGTATTAAAACAGATAAGTAGTTTAATTGTCGGTGTTGTCCTTGGGACGACCAATCTGCCATATGAAAATGAAAGTATTAAACAAAATACACATAATGGACATAGTCCATCGACTAGTATTATATAAATACTAGCATACATTATAAACACAACATTCACTTCAAACTTCAACTTATTAGCACACTTACATTGTCATAGATTCTCAACGATCGATCATCTAAGGATCTCGAAATCGCAGATTGAGCTTTATTTTCAAGATTTCGAAACCGCGGGTTGAGTCATAGCTTCAAGCTTTTCTAGAAACTCAGCGACTTTATCGATCTCCGGTACCACATTCTTCACGGTATCATCGTACAAGAACTCTTCTGCCCATTTACAAAGAGAGGGAGTTTTGGATTCGTCTAAAAGCTTTTCTCCTTTGAGTTTCTCTCTAGCTTTCAAGAGAACCAAATAGCTTCCAAGACAAATGTCCATGAACCCTATCGCTTCACCGCCAAAAAATGGTTTGCCTTTGCTTATGGTAACAAAAGCTTCCTCAAGTCGCAATAACCCTTCTTCCACTTCTTCCATTCTTTTAGCTTTCGCGTCTTCTGATTTTGTGATCGCCGCCGCTCTCAAGGCCGGAAACCACTGCATTTTTAAAAGGTAATTTTGGCACAAAAAAAAAGAGAGAGTGTAATATGAATTTGACTTAAATCTCTTAAATTAAATTAAGCTGAATGGTTTCTTATTATGAAGGTTGGTTATTCCACGGTAGAATCATGACAATCATCCTAAGTTTATAATGAACCAAGTGCTGATTGTCATGATTCATGATTCTATAATATACTAATTAGCAACATGCAACAAGATAAACAAGATTAAAACGCAACAAGATAAACGGGATTAGGTTCTAATTATTTCAAGCCGATTCTTCTCATTTCACATTTGCATGGTCCATTTAATTTCAACAATGTAGTCATACATGCATAATAGTTAACTTTTTGAAACTCAAAGAGATAGATCCAATAAGTATCATCAAAAATTCATCGCACAAGCACACAAACCTTATCATCAACATATGCAGACCAGAAGCGAGCTTGAGAGCGATCATAAGGATGAGAAGGAAGAATGGACGGTCCAGATGAATTCCATGTCTCATCGATGTACTCAACGATGTTGAGAGACTCGAGAATCGGTTTGTTGTTGTGGATGAGAACAGGGACTTTCTTGTGAACCGGGTTCGATTTGAGAAGAAGCTCACTCTTGGATCCGAATAGATCTTCTTCAAAGTAATCGAAATAAACAGATTTGAGACTAAGAGCGATCTTTGGTCTTATGGCGTAAGGACTGTACCATACTCCCAATAGTTTCACTTCCTCTCTTTCTCCTCCCATTTTTCTTTTCTTTTCTTGAATTTGTTTTTTTTTATCGATGAAGAAGATATTAAGTTGGTGAGGCAAATTTGTGTGTTCCTCCACGACTCTTTTAATTTTTTTTTTAAATTCAACAAATGTATTGAAAACAATTTGTGACACAAGGCATGTTCATAGAATGCGTGGAAAATGACGTACGGAGTTAAAGAAAGATTCTCTCACTATATAAGAAAACCTTAAATTATTATGTAACGTTAAGATTTTTAATATCTCTTCTCACTTTACCTAGTGATGAAGATAGAGTTTCCAAAGTACATTTTTCGCTATAAATCCTTTAGTCTTGTCATATATTGAAGATTGGTTACATTCAAATGGGTTAAATCTTTCATTCACTGCTCTTCGTAACCGATTCCTTCCACTTCTTCATGCCATGTTGCCTCTCTTTTTTTTTTTTGTGTTAATTAGAATTGCCAAAACACCAAAAAGGATTTGGAATAATTAAGTTTTCTTATGAAGCCCTTTAACAAAAATAAAATAAAAATAATAATAATGAAATTTTCTTCTTGTTTTAATTTATGAACTATATATGTATATTTGCACCGAGAAAAATCTTATTATATAAAGCTGGATGCGCGCGACGTGGTTGCGACACGTAGGATTTTTATAAATTATATGATCGCGACATGTGTCACTTTTAATGTTAAGACCGTTAAGATCGTGACACGTGTTTTAAAAAAAATTTTTATTTATTTTATTAAATATTAGAAAAACGAAAATTAAGAAAAAAAAATTTTAACATATAACATTAAATATATATATATATATTATAAATAGATTAACATTAAATTTTTACATTTTTTTTAAACAGGAAAACACAATTCAAGGAAAAATAGGAAACAAATAGCAATTTTTTTAAAAATGTTATATCCATCAAGAAAAGGAAAAAAACATACTCCCAATACGAAAAGGAAAAATAATCGATATTCAGAAAAACATGAAACAAATAATAAAAGAAAAAATGTTACATCCGTTAAGAAAAGGAGAAAAAACATATTCCCATTAAGAAAAGGAAAAAAAAAAACAATATATAATAAGTTATAGCTTTCATGATTTATATCTGTGATTCTATCTTTTGTTTAAACTTTCTCTTTTATTACAAAATAAAAATCATGTACTTTAAAGTTCAAGATATCAATGAAGAATATTTAACTTTAGATAAGTTGGGTAGAAATTGAAAATTTTGTCGCATGTGATAACATGTGTTAACAAAAGAAAAATAGAAAAATGTAATAAGATAAATAAAAAAACTAACAAAATAATTTTAAAACAACTAACTAATTATGAATAAGAAAATTTATAATGGTCCGAGGCAAAACAAAATTGAACAAAAAATATGATAAATAGAAAATTAACAAAATAATTATAACATTAAAAATATATCTAATTGACCGATATTCTAATTCTAAATAGATTAATTTTCTATTTTTTGGTAGGTAAAACAATATTATGAAAAAGATTTCATCAATCGAAATCTTTTAAATAGAATAATCAATTATAATTAAATATTATAATTATAATAGTCAAAATAATCTTTTGAATATTATTCTACTTACTTTTAAAAGTGACCAGATTTTTGTTTAGTATTTTCCTATGATTTATTTCAATTATATTAAAATAAACCCGCGTATACGCGGGGCTAATCTAGTATTTCATAATTTTAATGAATAATAGTTCATATGACCACAAAAAAAAAAACTTAACCTTAAACAGAAACACGACACAATTATTTAATGCTTTTATTAAAAAAATAATAAAGAGATTTAGCTCATAAAGTGAAACTGAAATAAGAATTTAAAGCTTCACGAAGATTTATCCAAAATCCAATGGTACTTGAGCTCCTCTGGCCCATCATTCTTTGACAAGTAAATTGCGTCATCTCTAGCATCCCATGTAAATAACTTTCCACATTGGATAATAAGACCCGCGTCATATGCTTGAAAGGATTGATGATACTCCATATGTGTTCCCTTCCATAGGTTACAACCAAAGTAAGTAGGTCTGAAGATATCATCATGGAAACTAAAATTATATGCAGGACTTTCGAAATTCACAAAGTGATCCCCCAAATCATCGTCTCTAGATCTACAATGAATTTTGAGAACACTATGACTTGAAAAAAAATTGTTTCGAAAAGCTACGGTGTTTTTATGACATACAGCTCCAAATACTTGACTCGACCCAAAATATAAATTAGTAATAACAAATAGAAAAACAAAAGTATTATTCATCATTTTGAACCATATGATTTTCTTAAAACTGATTTTACTTGAGAGGGTCGGAATTCTTGTGTGGTTATAATTTATAGACTTCATTGGGTTGTCAACTGTAATGTTAGCCAGGCTGACAAGTGTTATGTTAGCCAGATTGTGAAGTTTCAATAACTCAAGTTGGCTTTAAATGGCTTTGATGCAAATGATATTAATTTATCTTTTTTTTAACTGTTAATGCATGATTTAATATTTTGTTTATTTTAAGTTAAGAAATCTCATATTTTATTTCTATTAAAATATTAAAACTCTTAATCTGAGATTATTTTCTTAGAGTAAAAAATGTTAAAAATAAAAATTAAATTACGATGATGTTACAATATATATAGGGTTTTGTGCAAAAAAACCAGGCAATTAAATTAATTTTGCAAATTTAACCCTCAATTTTTTTCTGTGCAGGTCAAATCCACGAACTCAAAAGTCACCCGCTAAACAGGCCTTGTCGGCGACGTGGCTGTTTGTGGGCCTTGTAAAAAACGCAAAACGCTCCTTTTTTAGACAATAAAACGGGACGCATTTCCCATTTTCTCCGCCGTTTTCGAACATGATAGTTTTAATGTCGGGATAAAATAAAATCAGTTTGGGGAAAAAGGAAAATTAGGGTTCTTGGCCATATTTACAGTCCAATTTTCGATTGGTTGGTTCAGAGAGAATAAGCTGAAGCTGATTGGCGAGATTGGCGTTTCACTCTGAAAATCCGATAAGCTTGTTGGTCTTTCAGGAGTTTGTTACAGTGATTTAGTGATTTCGGGTTTGGGAGTGAACAAAATCGAGGTCAGGATTTTCTGTAGACAACTGAATTCGATAGAGTAAACGAAAGCTGGTAAAAAATTCCTTCGTTAATGGAAGCTTAACTAAGTGTCCAATAGAGTGAAACAAAAGCTTTAACTTTATTTGGTTTGTCTTTGATAACATTAAGAGTATCTGCTATATACGTCATTTACAGGAAGAAGAAGTAAGGTGACTTTCAGTTACAATTGGAGCTCTTCAGCGAGGAAAAATGGGAGATACAGAGGCCAAAGTGATGGACGTATTGGGATTCCGAGGAAGTGTAATTATGGTTGGGATATTGAGCTTCTTACCTCTCATGTAGCTCAAGGAAGAAGATCTTACGTTAATAAATGGTGGGATGAAGCAATGATGGAGGAGTTAGATGAGGTTAAGGGGAATCTGGATGACAATGACACTTCTGCTTACACGTGAAATGGATACAATGTCGAGAAGCTTGTTGTTGAGATTGAGAAGCTTAAGGAATCATGGAGAAAACGTGAACTTAATGTGGCGATGGAGTTCAAGATTTGCTGTGGGCGGTTGGTGTAGTGTTGATTCTCATGGCTTTGATGCTCGCCTTCTTTAAGTAGAGTAGATGTCGTGATTTGTTGTGTTTTGGTAACCCTTTGGTTGGTTCCATGGTATGTTGTGTAAGATTGTAGTTTTGGCTTCTATGACTTTTGTTGGGTTTATGTATGAACATATGTGTGGTGATACAGCCAATCTTATGACTTATGTTCGGTTTATGACATGTTTGTTGTTTTTTTTACACAAGACTTATGTTTGGTTTATGTATGAAATTATGTTAAGTTTTGTTTTGTCATGATTTTGGAGGTTAAGAGTAGTGTCTGAAAAGCTTAACAAAATATCATAAACATAACCATAGCAAAATACAAAAATTTAGAGTCTTACATAGGATTAATAACACAGATCTTAACTGAAGCAAAATATGACATAAGTCTTGGTTTTGCTGTCTAAAAGAAGGGACATTAAGAGGTGAAAACACCATGCTAGAACAACAACAACAACATTAAGTACTCTTAGAGTTCCACATCGCCATCATTCCTTTAAAACGACAAAAGCACCAAGGGAAGAAGCAAGAAGAACATGTCGGAGAACACTACACCTCTCCGTTAAGACGAACACATCTCTCCTTACAGCTTCACATTCCTGCCTTATAGCTTCACATTTAGCATAACCCTAAGCATCTTAAAATCTTCTACAGCAAAGGTAGCCACACGACTTGACTCGCCGCCAAGATATCTATCATCTAGTGACCAATAGCCTCCAATAAACATGAACCACTTGAAACTGCATTGTAAAGACAATAATTAGAAACTTTCACATAACAATATTTGAATCTAGAAACTGTCAATCTATGCTCTCTCCTTTCGACAAAAAAACTCAGAATTTTAATTTCTTAAACACTTATAACTCTTACAAATAACCTAAACATATCTATAAGTTTGACTGCTTTGTTCATCACAGAATAAATCAAAAGAATCAACAATCGTCTTCTCTATCACCACTTTCTCAAAAAAAATCTTAAGATACATTATTCCCAACTCTTTCTTTCCTTGTACTTACTCTTCTTATCTCCACCATACATCCCCAAATCAAGCTCTCTTAGATTAACATAAGCTCCTCTAGGAGACCTCGCCGTAAACTCTCTCCATCAGTCTCATAAAGTTCCCTAAACTTTCCCTAAAGTTCCAAGTTACCAGAAATCGAAATCTAATAACAATACAATCACGATACCTCACAACAAGCTACTAGAAATCGAACATTCATAACAGCAGTTAAAACTAAAAGACTTTATTTTTCAACACTTACCGTTACAGGTCCAATGCATATGTAAAACCTTCTTCCTTGTGCGCTAGCTCAGAGCTGCGATTGCGAAGCTCGACCTTACTGCCACAACTACACTTCTTCGGAATCCCAAGTTTTGTATCACTCAGACCTCTGTATCTACCATTTCTCATCGATGTTGCGCTCCAACTTGGATTGCTCAAAGTCATCTTGCTCCTGTAAATTATCGATTAACTACTCTTAATTCGCATTCAAAAATGTATATAACAACTACTCTAACGTATCCATAAAGATGCTGCAATTTCTACATTACAATAGCTATTCTTAAGTTTCGTTCTATGAAAGACAGACCAAAGCATAAATTTGTTTCTCCCAACTCAATTATATTCCTGCAATAAACACCTAAATGAACAAACAAGCTTACCCGTGTTTTATCGATCCCAAACGCCAACATCGCCCATCGATTCGAGCTAGCAAGAGTGAACCCAGAACTTAAGAAATTGCCAAGAACCCTAAATTGGATTTACCCCAATTCGATTTTTTCTGTTTTTCCCAACTCAGATCCCACACTTTGACTTAAACGTGTTTTGTTTTTGTCTGAAAAACGGCAGCAAAAAACCGAACTGCTTCCCGTTTTATTGTCTAAAACGCAGCGTTTTGCGTTTTTTACAAGACCCACAAACAGCCACGTTGCCTATATAGGCAAGGCCTGTTTAGTGGGTGACTTTTGAGTTCATGGGTTTGACTTGCACAAAAAAAAGTTGAAGGTTAAATTTGCAAAATTAATTTAATTGTCTGGTTTTTTTGCACAAAACCCATATATATACTAACCAAGTGACTTTAGCTCAACTGGAAAAATACCATAAGTAAAGTTTAGAGGTCACAAGATCAAGTGCCGATTGGAACAGAACCAATATTAGTTTGATATTAAATTATGTTAAACTATTTAGAATATGAAACTAATATTAATTCACTTACATTGATGTTAATTCTAATTCTAATATCAAACTAATTCAAAGTAGTTTATGGAATCATCCAACTCATTATTTTCGTCTAGTTCAAATGACTCTTTCTTTCTTTCACTCTTTTGTGGTTATTTATCGAATTTTATATAATCAACGAGAAATAATGATTGTTATATGGATATGGTCGTGCTTCTTGAATTTGTTTTTGCATTAATTTGTCGTTGATGATAGTTTTATAACCCAAGACACACTAGAGTACTAGACCATACCATCTACTTAATGCGCTTGGCAACTTAAAGTTTCAAATTTTAGACTGAGACGTCCATAAATTTAAAACTCCAAAGTTCTTTGATTAATAAAAGAAAACAGATAACATTAGTAATAAAATGTCTTATATTCTACTTTTCATGACGGAGATCCTCGTAATCCAATACTTCCCAAGAGCAAACAGCAGCCTTCTCGTTCTTCAGCTCAGCTCTGAGATTCAACACTGTCTGCTCCAACGACAAAACTTTAGCAGAGAAAGTATCTGATTTGCTCATCTCCTTGTTCAACACATCTTCAAGATCCGACATAGTCTGTTCCAACGACAAAACTTTAGCATCAAAAGTATCTGATTTGCCCTTCTCCTTGTTCAGCTCATCTTCAAGATCGGACACCGTCTGTTCCAACAACAGAACTTTAGCAGCAGATGAATCTGATGTGCCCTTCTCCTTGTTCAGCTCATCTTTGAGATCCGACACCTCTTCTTCATATTCCGACACAATCTGTTCGAACGACAGAACTTTAGCAGCAGATGTATCTGATTTGCCCTTCTCTTCTTTCAGCTCATCTTTAAGATTCATCACTGTCTGCTCCAATGAGATAACTTCAGCAGCACAAGTATAATATTCTTTTGTCTCTTTGTGCAGCTCCTCTTTAAGATCAAACACCTTATATTTAAGATCCCACATTGTCTGCTCCAATGAATTGGCTTTAGCAGCATAAGTATAAGATTCTTGCTTCTCTTTTTGCAGCTTTTCATTAAGATCGAACAACTCTTCTTTAAGATCCAACACTGTCTGTTCCAACAAGAGAACTTTAGCAGCAGATGAATCAGATTCGAGCTTCTCCTTGTTCAGCTCATATTCAAGATCCGACACCGTCTTCTCCAACGAGAGAACTTCAGCAGCAGAAGTATCAGCTTTTCCCTTCTCTTTGTTTAGATCAAGTGTGAGATTCTTGATGTGTTCCTCGAGTTCTTGGACTTGTACATTTGATTTCTTCCTCTCCAAGGAAACCTCATCAAGTTTTGTCTTCAACCAGTCTAGTTTGAATCCTACTTCTGTTAGATCGTTCAACTCGCTGCCAGCGTTGCTTAGCTCTGTCTCGGAGATGTCATGTGGAGGCTTGTTCAACGTCTCGATAAGACCAAGGACGATATTCATGTACGTTGTCTTCAGGAATTGGTTCGTTAACCTCAAGTTTAAAGCAATGTCCGGGTGTTCAGTGAAAAGCCTACCCACCAAAAGAACCTATCAACAAGAAAAATATATAAGGGAATCAATTAAAGAAGATTAAAGAAGAAGCAGCATCCTTATAATCAAATAATACCTTAGAATAAAGAATTTGGAAACCTCTGATGTCTAACGTCTCTTTCCCAGTGACATCTCCTTCATCAACAACTTCAACTACTTTTACTTCCACTTTAACTATCAATTTGTTCTTCTCCAAAAACCCTTTTTCTTGAAGCTTTTTAAGAGGCAAGGCCTTTGTCGTACCCCATCCTGAGACCTGAGAGCAGAACAATTTGCACGGTGATTCTGTAAAACAAAAAAAAAAAACATAAAGTTAAACTGAATTTTGCTTCTTCATCAATTAGATATATAACGCCACTGCATGGAAAATAAATTAATTACGTACCCGCTGTTTTGAAGAGCTCTTTGCCTGATTGATTCAACAGAACGAAGGAAACACTAGCTCGTATTTTCCATCCAAGTCGTAATGATTCAGTATTCGCAACAAAGAGGTAAAGAGACAAGTGATCATCAACAATACATCCTTTGGGATGAACCCTAACATACCTGGAGGAAACAGATTAACGAAACGCTTAAGTTGTTCATCTTATACAACGTTATTTTGTTTGAGTATTAGAGGATGAGTTTAGAAATAATCAAATCACGATTAATACCATTCGCAGCCGCCGCTTGAGAATGTTGGAGATCGTATGATACCTTTCTTCTCCGAGAAGTTATCTATCTCAAAGGTAAAACTGGTAGGCCTCTTTTGACTCTCCATACTCTCGATTCGTAGGCCTTTGTTACTTTGAACAAAAGATGATCTTCTCTGAAACTTGTCTTTTTGTACTTTCCCGTATCCCGTATGCCTGGCCGTGTATATATAAAGCTTTTTCAAAACCCTAATTCAAAAAGAATAAGGGAACTTAATGTTAATGAGAATTAGAACGAGACAAATGACGAAACTTCAACTAATTAGAATATCAAACTAATACTCCATTGAATTAGTTTCAAACTAATTTGACGATTAATTAGTTTGGTGTTAATTAGTTTCAAACTAATATTAATTCTAATTAGAATTAACATCAATATTCTAATTAGTTTAACTAATATCAAACTAAGATTAATTCACTTACATTGTTTTCGTCAATCGTCATCTCTATTCAAACTCCAAACTTTTAAAGTCTTTGAAAAATGGTTAGTTGATATGACGGAAGCCCGTTTAAAAAACAAAAACACATAGTTTTACACGTTCAGAAACCGGTTTTGTTTATATAATGAATTCCAATTTAATATGATTTCTTTTTTTTTTTCTGCAGGAAGTATACAAATTCAAGATTGTACCTAATGGCGAAATAGCCAAGGAGAAAGCTCTAGAGTATACCAATAATTATCATGGTACACTAACACAATGTAGTGGTTATGTTGAGCCAAATAACACTATTTGTTATGGATTTAAAATCAAGCTTTAAAATTATAAACAATGTATACTAATTACCTTTTCTCCTGTGTTAGGAGTTTTCTCTGTAACTTTTTCAGAAGAAACCAGCATATTTGCCGTGAGGGGAAAAAGGGGTGCCTATGGTGTTTTAGTCCTAATTAATTAGATACATGAGGTGTTTATTTAAGTCTTCGTACTGTTTACTTATGATCTATAAATTCGTTTGGATTTCTGTTTGAATATAATCATGGATTTTAGTAAAATTTTAAATCCAATGTTATTAATTAATCTTATATATAATGAGAGGCAAATCTTCTCTTTCTAATAAAAATATACGTGGCAGCATTTATGTTTTTGGTGAAGAAAAAAAAAATTGATTTCAAAGTCCTTATACATTTTAATTTTTCTAAGAAATAACCCAACATTGACTCTCTAGCGGCAGACGCCGAGACGCCGCCTCCAACTCAACTCTCCGTCGCCTCCCAACCGGAGCTCCCTCCTCCACTCACACGACCGTTGTCGTCTCGGAGTTCTCCATCCACGAAAGCCTCATGAATCTCCGATCTCCGCCGTCCTGCAGTCTCTCTCCGATGAGACACACGAAGGTGGATTCCGGTTCTCCGCTGTCCCGAAACCCCTCTCCGACAAACCACCGGTGCTCCGTCACCACCATCCTCTGTCGACTGTAGATCTCTTACGGGCATCACCTCACACCCTTAAACATCTTGAATCTCCACTTTCCGCCGTTCTGCAGTCTCTCTCCGATGCTTTCCAGGCGCCGTTGCCTCGATCAAAACTTCCGCCCCTTTCTGGTCGTATTCATTCTGAACCCGTGTTGCCACAATCAAAACTTTCGACCGTCTCCTCTCCGTTCCGGAATCAGTTAGTCGATTACTCATTCGGCATTAGGGTTCCTCTCTTCCTCTCAAGCACCTTCGTCGACCGTCGGACCCAGTGGGCTCTCTCCAAATCAGGTAAACCCAGCGTAAAGCCCAGTTTGATTTCATCACTTTTCTTCATTCCTGAGCCCAGTTTTGTTTACAATAACTCTCAATTCATTGTTTATTTTGGTCCCGACCGTTACTGCTCTGCTTTTTCGTCAAACGATTCCCCTCCCCTGTAACGCATAGAGGTCATGTCTCTTCGTCTTTCCCTCTATAATATCCCTTCACCATTTCATAACTGTGTAGTTAATGTCATTACTCTCATCCTCTGAGCTCGCCTTAATATCCATATGCCTATAAATACTTATCCTGGAACCACGGACGCAAGAGCATAGTATCAAAGCCGTGTTTGAAACACTTCGTTTGGGTCAATCGCCACAGCATCTGCTTCGAATTTATATATCATTTTCTGTTATGGTGGTAAGGTTATATGGAGTGAGTCAACAATGTCTTCTAGAGAGGGGGTGGCTTCCAAAGTTTTGCAGGAGACAGGTTGTGTTCTCAGCCAGCCATATAACGATGGACGCATTATAAGGTATCTTCATTTCTTGATAACAAAATGCCTTAAAAATGTGTTATTGACTCTGTCTCATATTTTTTTAAATGTTTTGGTTATGATTCTTTGGAAAAGTGGTCAGGGCACAATTGAATTGGAACTGTTAGAGCAAGTTCAAGATATCGACGCTGTAATTTTACCGATAAGTGGAGGTGGTTTGATCTCTGGTGTGGCTATTGCTGCCAAATCGATTAAGCTGGATTATAGCAGCTGAACCGAAAGGAGCTGATGATGCAGCTCAGTCTAAGGTCGCTGGTAGAATCATCACTTTACCTGTGACTAATACCATAGCGGATGGTCTTAGAGCTTCTCTAGAAGATTTAACATGATAATGCTAATTCTTACTTGTATAAAAATCATGTCTTTGAGTTAGATACAGAACATATAATGTTACAAATCTCTGAAAGCATATGTTTTTCTGTTCTGTCAGGCCGGTAATGAGAGATTTGGTAGATGATGTGGTAATTGTGGAAGATGGGGAAATAGTTGAAGCCATGAGGATGTGCTACGAGATACTGAAGGTCTCTGTGGAACCAAGTGGTGCCATTGGCTTAGCAGCGGTTTTATCAAACAGTTTGGGTTTGACTCCTGCTTCTTGAAGTTTTTATCATCCCTGTTTTGTAACTTTTAATTAACTTTGTAATTGCAGATATATATATTATATATATATATATATATATGGACTACTTTGTTCATGAAGAATACATGACCTCTACGTAAGTTCATGGCATCTTGAGGAAACGCATTTGTCGTTCCAAAATGTGACCATTTCCTTTATTCCTCCCTCTTACTTTGAGCTTTCTGAATACTGTGTTTATCAATTTTGATTTTATATGTTTCAGGTGGGACATAATTGCTGAGAGATTGGGCTTCATGTTGGTGTTTGGAGATCTCTTCTGGATTCCTTTCACTTTTAGCATTCAGGCATCTAACTCTGAGCTTGAACACACAAACAGGACATACTTGAATTTATCTTAATTAGAAGTATTTTCTTGCCACGTGATAGTTATTTTCCGAACCAGTATCGTTCTCAAATGCTTGATCACTATGAAAACGGTTGTCTTCTCTCTGGTACAGGGCTGGTGGCTTTTGCACAACAAAGTAGAACTAACAGTTCCTGCGAATCTGCGATTGTTGCCAATTGCCTTGTGTTCTTGACAGGGAAAGTCATTGTGTTATTTACATCCTTAGAAACTCAACTAAGAAACCCGCATATTCTTCTTTTGGCAGGTACATGGTTTTCCGAGGGGCTAACATACAGAAACATATCTTTAAGAAGAACCCTAAAACACTTATATAGGGTAAACCTCCACTGGTTGTTGGTGGGAAGCTCCTTGCTATTGGTACGAACTTTCTTTTTCCTTCTTTAGTTTCTGTGCTGGGTTTCACTTTCTCTGCTTTTACTTGTGTACTGGTGAGCAATGCCTACACTTCGATAACTTAGATGTTCTTTCTTAAACATTACAGGGGAATTGCAAGGCATTGTAATTACCTTGGCGACTTGACTCTTGCTCTGTCTTTCAGTTTGCCCTGTGGAATAAGGTAACTTGTTCTACTTGAGTTTCATCTTACAACAGCAGTTTTATCATGTACATTTGGGTTTTATCAAACAGTTTCCGGACTGTACTTTCAGGTTAGATAGCAAAAACATTGGGATTGTACTTTCAGAAGGAAATGTTGATTTGGGTTGTCTATGGGATTCATTTAGGGGATCTCAGAGTAATTAAACATGTTGGTTATTGCGTTTGTGCATTTTTTCTTAGATATCAATGAGAATTGTCTGTATATTTGAATAAAGGGATTCACTTTCTTGCAAGAAAGGAAAGGCCTTTTAAGTTTGTGTCTATTCTAATTTGTATAAAGAATGATGACTCATTTCTTACGAAGTTGTTCATTCTTCATTTGCAATCTGGAGAAACTGTTGGGAGTTGCTCAATATCGTTACTCTGTTTCCCTCTGTTTCTGTTTCTCGAAGGACGATAAAACTCAAAATTATTGGTTTGCGTATTTGTATATTTATATTAAGTCAGCCACAGACACTTATTATTCGTTAATTTTGCTTGCTTTAACTATGCTAGAAGTTCTTGTCAAAAATATTCTTGCTCTTTTTTATTAATTTGCAAATTGGTGGTATTCTCAATTCAGTAGTCCACTATGATTACATTATCTCATAGGAGCATCGACGATCAATAGTTTAATAACAAAAGCTTCTCGGATACATAATTACAAATTTAAAATTACCAATTTAATTACAATCTCAATCAATATTTCAATATTAGATTAGTTTTATTAACAGTTGAAGATCAAAGTAAAAGTGTAATCCTTGTAGAGATAAACTAACCAATGAGAATCCAGCTACTCTTTTTCTGCAATTTGAAATGTAAAATATTAGGATTTAGATATCATATCTGTAGTCTTATATTTAATGATTTTAAGTATTATTTACAATGTCATTTGACGACATATCTCACTCATAATTAATTTTATTAGTAGTTTTTAATATTTTGGATTTAGGTTTTATATTTAAGTATAAAGTCGAAAGGTATATAAATTTATAATTTAGAATTAGAATTTGAGATTGTAGATTACGGATTTGGGGTTTGTGTTTTCGAAAATTAGATCATGAATTTTAGATATATATAAATGACTCAATTAATTATGGTTAGGGTTTAGAGTTTAAGAATTATCATATGATTTTATTTGAAATTTGTTATAACTGTTAACAAAATATATAGATTCTAAAAAAATATGTAATCATACAAAAATGTTTGATTTTTTATAAGTGATAAATTCATTTTTCATATAAGGGTTAGATTTAAGGATTTAGATAAAAGAGTTTGGAATGACCGTAAATACTTTTTGCTAATTTTGATTTAATGTTTTATTTTGGAATAAAAGTTTATGATTTAAGTTTAAAATTTTGGATTTTTTTTTAATTGAGGGTCTAGGATCAGCGTATACTATTTTAAATGTGCTACAACTAGCCACAATTAATTTGTGGCATATGAAAAAAAAATTAATGAATTTGATTTTAGAAGAAATAAGGAGTAATATACATTTATATTTCGACCGCATGTTAATACAAGTAAGAGACAAAATATTTACAAAATTGAAATGAAAATTAAAATATAAGTAACAAAATTTTGTAATAGTAACAACCATAGATGTAATAATTCTTAAAACTTAAATATATACTTATTATTTATTTTGTAATGCACATTACCCGCGCATAGCGCGGACCAAGCCCTAGTGATTGTAAATTATGCTATGGCCAAGATCGGTCACACTGCTATGCTTGGTTGATAAATTCTCAAGCCTCTCCAAGTTGATTAGGGTGATGATTGGTTCTCCCGCTATTATCCGCAAACAATGTGTTTGTGGTTCGTAGCGGTTCTTGGCATTTTATAACAATCACGACAACCGCTTTGAACCGCTCTATACCACTCTGTACCGCTTTATAACTCTGAAAATCAAAAGCTCATTTCCGCAAGCGTTTGTGGTTGCGGGTTGAAAAAAAAATCACGAAATTTCCAAATTTGAAATTTCAAACTAGGATAATTATAATTTTTTTGAAATTTCTGAATAATTTAATTAAAACCAAATTTAATTAATAAAAATAAATTTAAATAATAAAAACAAAATATCATAATTTGATTTTGATGTTTTTCATTTTAAACTAATAAACATTTTTATTCCTAATTATCTGCTAAAATATTTTGTATTCTTATTTTTGTGGTTTAATATTATGGTTCATGTGTGATATTAAAGTTGTTTATATAAAAATTTATGTACATTTATCAATTTTTTAATTCTAAATTTTAGAAAACTGAACAAAAATAAAATAATATCATTTATCTTAATATTTTCGATTTTTTTTATTTAATAATTATTTGGTAATGTTTTGTTAAAATAAAGTTAAACAGTCTTTTTACATACAAATTTTTATTTTCAAAACAGAAAAAAAAATTAGGGTATTGTTCAAATATTTATACATAAATAGGGTATTTTTCAAATAACCCCTAATTATATATTATGTTTATTTTAGTAATTTTTGGTTAAAACGCTTTTGCATCCGCTAGCCAACCAGTCAAAAATATCCCGCAAACGCAACCACTATGAATTGCTATACTCAGGGCCGGCCCCACCCAATATGGCGCCTAAAGCAAAAAAAAAAATTTAGCCCATGTAAAACATTGTTCAAAAAAAGAAGAAGTGATTTTGGCACTAAAAGGGTTCGAACTCATGACCTTTGTACCTAAAAGCAATGACACAACCACTACACTATTAAAGACTTTTGGTATTTTGGCGCCCTAAAACTATTATTATCTGTTGGCTTTACATGCTTTAGGTCAGGGCCGGCCCTGACTATACTAGTCGTACAAACAGCTTAATTACGTTTTTAATCGCAAACTCCCGTTTCCACAAACTTCCATAACCGCAAACTTCCGCAACCGCTGCGTTTAAACCAGTCAGGCCCCTAATTCCAATTTTGTCTTATCTTATATTTTATATATTACTTTAATTATTACTATACAAGTGATATGGACCAACTCATTCGTTACCTGATTGGTATTGAGTTTAAAACCGATAAATGTTAACAATATAAAACCTAGAAACAAAAGATCAGGGAACAGAGTAATGAAGCAAAAACGTTTCTCTACTTGTTTCTTTTTTTTTCTTGGCTTTTTGCACGACCACTAATTCCACCTGATAGAGATTGTGACCTGGTGCGCGCCAAAACATTCCATTCCACGCATAAACTTAGATATTCAAATCAAATTTTATTTTTCTTTGTGACCCTCAGATTTTTCTTTTTACTTTCATTAACAAATAGGAATTCGTGGGAAACATTTTTCAAGCTATTTTCTTTTCTATTAATTTTCGTTTATATGGATTTACGTTTTCATAAATCTTAGAAATTAATAACAAGATACCATTACAATGCTATTAATTAGTTTCTTATATTAATACAACTATATTTTGTATATACAATGATTAATTATTAATTTTATAATATACTAGAGGATATCCCGGGCTACGCCCGGGGATTTTGTTATAAAAAAATTATTTGCTTACAGTAATTACAAAATTTTGTATTTAAGTATATAAATTATTTACATATTTTAAAATGCTCATAAGACAACCTCTAAACTGTTAAAAAGTACATTACCAAAAAAAAAAACTGTTAAAAAGTCAAATGTATTAATGTTCTAGAAGCTTCGGTAACATATAAATATAGGTCATATATATAGGTGAGAGTTGTTGCATTCTTAGTATCAAATCATAAAAAATAAATAATAATGGGTATGATGTTATCTCCATGGTGTGCCAAGAGAAATCTGAACATTTATAGTTAGTTACCATCAACATTTTATTGTCATTAGCTTCACCCACCATCATTGGCCTGATAATCTTAAAGACAAAAAGGTGGGTACTTTGCGACATTTATATATAGCATGTGTAATGTATATGGGTAAACTTGCAAATTTTATATTCAAGTAACTTACATGATTTAAACTTGTGATTGGCATATTTTAAGAAAACAGCATTGAACAGCGAAGCCTTTTTCCTTTTGGATTTAAAATTGCGATCATAAATTTTTAAATATCTTGATCACAAGTCGTTAGATGAAACATTAAATTAATTTCAGTGACATTAGGTTTGCCTTCGATGACGATACGTAATGTAAACCCTATAACTTTTAATTCAGTTCTCGGTTTGAACGTGACTTTAAAACTTTTCTGGAACTAATCTTATCTTTTTTTCATTTATTTGGTATTTTTTGTTTTCTTTTTATATTGTTTCTTATTGTTGTAATTGTGTTTTCTTAATCCTTAACAATCAGGTGTGATAAACAATGTGACAGAGTTCGGTGGTAAGAAGTTGACATGACGTTAATTTTATTCGGAATACATTTGACATACACTCTTTGTTTTAACTTTTAAGTATTCGGGATCGCCTTCTAAGCTGGGGAACGAACGTTTCTGATAATTGCCCTCTTTGTCTCTCGGCCCAAGAGTCGCATGGCCACTTATTCTTCCAATGTCCTTTCTCAAGCTCGCTGTGGCATTATTTTGCTTCTCAGGTGAGCAGACGGAATATGCCTTCCCTCATGACGTCAGTCTTAGATGCCCTGGACCTCCCCACGATCTCTTCGTCAGTCCACACGACTACTCTGATGAAGCTTCTGCTGCAAGTCATCGTTTATGCTCTATGGAGAGAGCGTAACGCAAGGATCTTCACAACCACGCCACTCCGCTGCTCGCTCTGAAGGCTGTGGTTGACCGCACGGTCCGAGATCGTCTCCTCTCCTTCCCCACTTCAAAGTAGCTCGTTTGATATGAAATTCTAACATCAATAATAGAAAACCATTTAAGAGACTTCATAACAGCTATAAGAAGGGATCCACGGTGGCAGCATGGCGTTATCGATATCTATCAAGCATTCAAGCGAACATTAAGTTAATCATTAGCATATAATACATGATCCACACATTAAGTCCACACTATTTCTCTTGACAACCCAATGAATGTTCATTCAATAACAAAATAACCAGAAATAGACTTACAGAGTTCATCAGATGTTCCGATGTTCCTCTTTGAATTGCTTGTACTGCAGCCTCATCAAATTAATCCTAATTAGCAAAGTCATCAAATTAGAGAAGTTTGCATTACTAAAAATCTGTAATAAAAACGACCTATACACAAAAACAAAGGAACTGAACAGGAAACATGTGAATTTGTTACCTTTGAGAGAATACCTGAGCCTCTATTGTTTCACAGCCTCTTTGAATCTTCATAATCGGCAACAAAACCACCAAGGAAACAAACACGAATTCAAAATCCTAGTAAGTTTTCATAGTCATAAACTCAAAGAAGAAGAAATTATCCGAAATCTCAATATCAATTTAATCAGAGGTTAATCTAACAACTGAGATCTGTGACTGATTTAAGCAACTCTGTAAACCGAACAATGACTCGAGATTACCCAAATATAAATTCAATAATACGCCATTCTTAAACATCAAACATAAAACTCAAATCTATATATTTTAAAGGGGATCGACACACACTTAACTGAATGACGATGAATCATTCTGATGAAGAGACATGGAGACCATAATCGAGAAAGAGATCGCAGAGGTGTAGAGAGAAGTGCAGAAGCCGAACCATCACCTCCTCGTTGCATAACTGACCTTTGATTTGGTCGAGGACCTGGAAAATGAGCGGTTTGGCAGTGGAAGGAAGGCTCTCGAGCTTTGTTCCGGAAACCGATCGGACCAAGACCTGGATTTCTGAAAAAAAAAAAAAAGAGAGACGAAAGAAGAAGATGAGTCGATCAGAAGCGAAGGGTAAGAAGTAACCAAGGAAGAAAACAAAACAATACTGAGTAAGAGAAGAGAAGAAATGGAGAATGAAATCTAGGATTTCAAAAGAAGCCATACCAATATCTCGTCGTTGCAGAATTGGCCGTCGACTTTTTCGAGAATCTGGAAAGTCATCAGTTTGACAGAGGACGATGGAGCTGTAGAGGCCATCAGAAATTTTTTGGTTCTGCTTTACGGGGAAGATGAGCTTGAAAAGTAAGATGCATCTTTTGTCTGGAAAGTTCTTGGGTATTATAGGATCGGGGAGCGAGGATTGCGGTTACAGGTACCATAAATTGAAGAGGGGAGTGGAAATTGAAGAGGAGTAACGATAAGCGATGTATCGATTGAAGGAGGAAGAAGAAGAATTCGAAGACGAAGATTGCAACGAAGAATATGAATCGATTGAGATTCTGGGGTTAAGAATTAGCTCTATGGGCTTACAGCGTTTGTGTGGGCTTAAATCGAACGGCGGCCCGATCCGTTTTAACATTTTACTGTGGTGACGTGGCAAGGCGGTGACGTGGCAGGACGGGAGAGCTGCTTTGGGAAATCCGAAGTGGATGCCTTGAGAGGCCCCAAATAGGTGTTTTAAATTAGTAAAGATGTTACTCTTTTAATAACCAAATTATTAACATTGTTTTATTTTCTCATTATGTAATTGGAAATGTTTGAGATATCTATTATATATTTTTCTAACTTCTGGTTTTTTCTTAAGACATATTATGATTTTGTTTTTGTTTTGTGACAAATGTTAGAAACTAAATTTTAATATTAATTACCTTGTGTCCCGTTACTGTAAGACTACATAAATATATGAACATTCTGCGCCTTAATAGTAAAATATAAATAGATTTTACAAGCAGGGTACTAAGTTACAATCACATTGTTTTCATCATCTATATTTAAACTCCAAGCTTTGTAAGTTTTGAAAAATGGTTAGTTAATTTGTCGGGCCCGTAAAAAAAAAAGTCTTACACATTCAGAAACCGGTATTGTTTATAAAATGAGTTCCACTTTAATTTGATTTCATTTTGTTTTTTGCAGGAAGAAGAATTCACATTCGAGTTTGTAGCTATTGATGAAAACGCCGAGGACAAAGCTATAGATTATATTTATAATTATAAAGGTACACTAGCACAAACTAATGGTTAAGTTGAGCCAAATTATACTATTTGTTATAGATATATAAGTATTTCAATTAAGCTTTAAAATTCTAAACAATAAATACTCATTTTTTATATTCTTTGTGTTAGGAGTTACGGATGTAGTTTTTTCGGTAAAGACCAACAAACTTACCGTTCGGGGAGAAGGACTAAATGAGAAAGAAATGAAGAGGAAGTTGGATAAGATTTTATCAGGGAAAAAGGGGTGCCTATGGTGTTTCACTCCCAACTAATGATATGGTGTTTATTTATGTCTTCGTATTTGGATTAACTAATTAGACAAGTATCCAAAACATTATGTTTAATTATTAAATAAATCTAAAGTTATATGAGTCTACTCATATAATTTAGGACAATTCTCACATCTAGTCGTATAATATTCAATAAAAATGATATTTTTCACTTGACTCCAATATCTCAAGTGGATGGGCTCTCCAATGTTAGAGGATAACTTCTAGATGCTATCCTTTGGAAAACAGTCTAGCTTTCTTTGAGAGATAAACTTATTTGAAGGTGAAATATTTAGATATTCTCGTAATGCAACACCTTCGTGCCATAAGGAAGTAGTACATATCTTCCAACATATACAAAATCTAACTCATTTTAATATACTACCAACTAATGAGAGACTTAGAGAGGTATATATTGCCGTAGGTCTCTCAACTATATGAGATATCCACATAATAATTTTTTTCTTTTTTCACACTTGTGAGAGACTTTAGTGAGAGATCATTCATGGAGATGCTCTTACTGGGATTCATAATACTGGTTTGAGTCTCTTCTCTTATGATATAAAAGATAGAAAATTATAACCACTGTTTTAATGTTTATTCACAGAAACCAGATAGCACATAACATGTGTTTATAAGCAGAGAATGTTTCTACCATATTGTAATCTTATTACCTTATATACAACATGGGTACCATAGACACACAAAAAAACATACGTACCAAGAAGGAACCTAAGAAAATCCAATACGTGCACCAAAGTAAAATGCAATAGAGAGATTGCCAGCCTTTCTCTTGTATTCTGTCTCTTAGAAAAATTGATTCTTAAAGCTTTTCATCATTCTCTGCATAAGTAAAAAAAGAAATTCCATGAGAAGAGCACATAAAAGACTAATTTCATATTAAGCAGCAAACATGTATAAACTCACAAACACTCACTTCCAAGACTACAAGACTACTATAGAGGATAACTAGAACAAGACTTCCCAACAAATTCTATTGCATCTCATATCAAATCAAGAAAACGACAGTTAGAAGTACTCCAAAAGACTAAAACAGTTAGGCGAAGAGGAATCCAATAGAAACCATAATTACTAAAACCTGGATATAAAAGATCAGAGAACAACATAATCTTGGTTAATCTCTTGCACAGTGTTTTTCACCATTGCACTTGATCAAATAGAAACACCAAAGAAGCCTATTAAGAAAACTATTAAAGAAATTTTCCAAGAAAAAAAAAAAGCAGATCGTAGTGAAAGAGTGAAATGTCTCATATAAAAAAAGTTACTCACCTCTCCAAGCCACCAATCCACTTGCCTGACTTTTGTCTATTGTTGGAGAGTCATCATGATCTGAAGTATTTATGTCAAACTTAAGTTCAAAAGAGGAATGTGTTGGACTTTGTAATAATCTTCTCCATCCTTTTCCAGTTTCTCCAAAAATTCTCCCTCAACTTTGACGATGTTCAGTTCCTTCAAAGAAGTGATAAATCTCATCCCATCAGGAAGCTCCATTAACTCCTTACAGTCACTAATCGACACAGTATGAAGAATTGGCATAGACCCTTCTTCTACTATCCACTCTTCTAACTGTCTTATTCCTTTTAATATTAGACTTCGCAACTGAGGAAACCCACCGCTGGAGCAAACCATTCTCCTCCCAAGAAAAACGGTATGACATAAACTAACTGCATTTAAGTGAAGGAGCTTCTCTAGAATCGACATCGGATCCTCCTCGTAACAACAATAACTTAGACTTAGAGTTATGGTTGTAAGCTGTGAAGGAAAGTGTTGCACATCAGGTAACCTTGGTATATGTATCATCAACTTGTGCTCTTTGTATCGATCTCTTGTATCGCTTATAGTAAGATTTTCCAGATGTCTCAGTTCACCTAGAGACGAAAATAGAGTAACCATAGTACACTCGTCCGCGTTGAATATGATTGAGAGAGTCCTTAGCCTTGTCATACAGTGAAGATCACTCACATTGCTATGGTTTGTTGAAAAATTCTCCAAGGTCTCCAGGTTGACTAGATCACACAATTCCAAATTTGTCTTATCATGCATTCCTCCTGCGGGCAATGAAAGGTATCTCAATTCTCTCAATTCTTTCAAGACATTGGGCACATAAACTGGTGGCGATTGAGAATACCAAATATTTAGATTCAAATAGAGGAGCAACTTTAGATTCCGTATAGTTGAAGGTAGCTTAGACATCCTAGCTCCTTGTAAACTCAAGAATCTCAAGTGGATGAGCTTTCCAATGTAGAATGATAATTTATGTCCAAAACTGCCTCCAGAAAGATCTAGAACTCTCATCAACTGTAACCTAGTAAAGCATAAACGGAACGGAACTCCTGTAATAAACAAGAGGGATTTAAGTTTTGGACTCCTGTAATACCCTGAGCTACCACCACACTGTACAACGAGTCTGCGAGATTTACGAGATTGATGAGAATGTGCAGTTGAAGTGACAGTACGTGCATCAATAATATGTACGAAATCTTCTTCTTCCGCTTTAAGGAGACAAACTTCTCTCATCATGTCATGCAGGTGACATGTCTCAAATCTTGAAGTACCTACATCTCTTTCAGAAATAACCATGTTTCTCTTCACTAGCTCTTCCATGTACGCATCTCCGACTTCTCGAATGGTTGCTCCATCGTAAGACCTTGGTCTTGGTATTCCTTCTCCAGCCCAGTAGTAGGACAAATTCTCTACATTTATTAGAAAATCTTCTGGAAAATGGGCTAGATAGAGGAAGCAATGCTTCAAATAAACAGGGAGCTCTTCAAAACTCAGATATAGAACATGATAAACTGAACTGATGTTTCTGTCATTGAAGCTAGTCCCTCCGACGATGTGAGATCTAATGTTCTCATATATCCTTTTCCACTCACGTAGTGTGTATTGTGTAGCCAATAACCCACCTAACACCTTAACAGCCAATGGTAGTCCTCCACAATGTTTGATCATCTCTTTACCCATCTCTTCCATTTCTTCATCAACCTTATATTCTACATAACATCATCAAGATATGGTGAAATTAAATGAATGTGTGCAAGGGTTTGACGTGTTGGATAAAAAGTGGATTATCATCTTTAAAGCTCACCTATAGTGTTGTATCTGGGAAATGCTATCTTTTGAAAAATTATCCAACTTTCCTCGAGAGTTAGAGAGTTTGGTTTGAAGATATAACATGCTGGATCTGCTCGTAATGCGACACCCTCGTTACGAGAAGTAAGTAATACCTTCCAACCTATACAAAATGAACCTCTTTTTACATCTAACAGAGAGGAACATAATGATTTATGACCAATATATGGGCCCAAATGATGAGTATTAAAGAGAAAATTATCATAAGATGTTACCTTTTTCGGGTGGAAAAATTGGCTTTAATCTGTCCCAATCTTCTTCTCTCCATATATCATCAAGGACAATCAAAGTTTTTTGAGTTTCCAACACTTGAAAGAGTTTTTCTTGAAGTTGCTCTTCTGTTGGCTTCTCTGTTATTATATATTCTGGACAAAGTTTCTGCAAGATCGTGTGCCACACATACTGTCTTCTAAACTGTTGTGAAACACATACCCACACAAGTCCATCAAAATGTTTTTTTACCATCTCATGATTAAAAACTTGCCGCGCTAAGGTGGTTTTACCAATACCACCCATCCCGGTTATAGAAACCACTTGAGTATTGATATCTTCCTCCACCAAATAGCCCACCAATTTCTGAACGTTTCCCTCCAACCCAACAAGAACGGTTTCATTGTCGTTAGAAAACGTTTTTCGCATTTCCCTTTGTCTTTCCTGTAGAGACTGCGTATACCCATCAATGGCAATGACCTGTTGTACGCCAAGACTCTGCATATCACGGATCACCTTAGAGATCCTCTTACTGATGGCTCTTATATCTGAACAAAGTCCCCTACGATCCACTATAACCCAAGCCAATCTTTCCACACGCTTCCTGATGCCACTTTTCTTTCCGTGTTCTTCTTTTAGAAGAAAGGTTTCGATTATATCCTCTGCATCACACACAATTTCCTTAATCTCTTTCAAGCTGTTTCTCACCATTGCACTTGAATGTTTCTTGGCATCTGCATCTTCCAAAAAGCACCTTAACATGTTCATATCACTTTTTAACTCATCAAATTGCTCTTCAACTCCCTGAAATCGATCAGATTCTCGGACAAGAAGGTCCCATAGCTTCTCCACTCCAAAGGCCAAAAGAGTCTCTGCCATATGTCCCCTGCTGAAGGTAGTATTAGAAGGCAAGCAGAGTCTTTAAAAGTTTAAAGCGGAGATACTTTTTTTCAGTTCCTACTAAATCTCCTATTAGATTTGATTGAACAAATAAAACAACTCAAGATCACAAAGATAAGAAGAACTTTTTGAAAATAAATTCCAAGAAAAAATAAGTACAGAAGAAGTTAAAATATCAGAACAAAAAAACTACTCACCTCAAGAAACTCGCCTCGGAAGAAGAGAGATGATTGATTTTTGTTACAAACCTCAAGTTATGTCTTGCAAGTGTTGTTGACTTTGCATAAGCAAAGATGAGATCCAATTCTGCTATATAAATTATAAAACTATAAAATAAGACGGAAATAGAAGAAGACGACAATTGCATGCCAACGCGTTTATCTCTTTGAGAGACGACAATTGCATGCCAACGCGTTTATCTCTTTGAGCCAACTAAAAAGATTATGAAAATCAGAGATATGATAGTTTTGTTACATATATCAGTTTTCAGAAGAGTAGGTAAGTAAGACAAAATTTTGTAGAATACTTGATAAAATACCTTATTGGCTTGGCTGTAAGAAAACTATAATATATAGTGGCTCTGCATAGTCATATACACTTTTTTCTTTATTAGATGTTCGTTTGCGTTAGAGATATTAAAATGGGCAGACCCACCAATTTAAACCCGCACCATGATCATTAGTAAACACATTAAAGTTGAATGCCATTATTTCAGAGATGCAGTTAAATACAAGTATACAACGTTATAACTACAATCTCGTATGTCAAATCCACATGAAACAATAGGGTGTTGATTGACACCATATAATTATTAACATATTGTTAATTAATTACATGTAAATTTTGAATATATTTTTAGAATAATTGGTAAACAATGGCTTAATGACCTCGTTATATATATTTTCTCTACATATAATTTATGTTTGGTTTAGTTACGACACCAGTACAAAATATTTCTAGATTCATCACTTAGACAACGAAACAATTTGCTGACATTTAGACAAAAATGTTGGAGTGACAAAAAACTGGTTATTTGCGTGGTAATAGGCATTCAAGTTCTATATGCCCCAAATTTGAGGGAGAGTAGTAGGATAGTACATAATCCCTCCCTTCTTGAATAAGTCATTTATACAAAAACCAATATCAACGTTGGTTGTTTTACTTGAAGGGACATACGAAAGATAAAGCAACATTAAAGGTAATTTACTTTGATTTTTCATTTTCACTTAGGTATCTTGTTTGCATATATCCGCACATTTAGAAAAGATTGTATGCTTTTTGTGCATAAAAAGTGTTTTCTCCAGCATATGACCCTTACTAAAATTAATAACAACAATGTAAAGAAGAACCAACCAAGAAGAGCAACAATGTACTGGCTGCTCCCAAAACATTAGGAGCCAAAGCATAGAATGTTGTGGATGGAAAAACCAGAACAAACTATGGAAAAGAAACAAGAATCAACCACTTGTTGGTCAAAAAAGAAAACAAAGAATTAAGCACTTATCTTTTTCTTCTTCCGCATGATACTTTAGCAGAAGCCAAAAGTATTGAATATGAATAAAAAATATTACAGATTAACAAAATGCAAAATCATTGTTTTTATAAAGATACACACTCTCACGATTACCATCCATATGCGAAGATCTTCGCTTCAGAAGATGTTCACCTAAAATAATATTAAAAAGAGAAAATTAAAGCATCACTGCTTTTGCATCAATGAAGTGAGCTATATATTTTGCACTCTTTGTCATAGGCAATGTGATAGCTTTCCTCACGGTTAGTGTGGGCATTGTGTAAAAATACTCTTGGAATTACACTCTGAAATTTGATCGGGGAAGAATAGAATACCTGGTTGTCAATTGTTGGAAACTCCTCAAATATACACGTTCTTGTCAAATTTTATGTTACAAAGAGGAATGTGTTGGATTTTGTAGGAATCTTCTCCTCCTCTGGACAATTTCTCTTTAAATTCTCTTTTAGTTGTGACCACAGTCAGTTCTTTCAAGGAAGTGATAAATCGCAGCCCATCAGGAAGCTCTTTCAACTTTGGACAATAGCAAATACTAAGAGTATGAAGAAGTGGCATGGAGCCTTCTTCAACGATCCACTCCTCCCATTCATATAATCTATGCAAGTCAAGCTTTTGTAGTTGAGGAAATAAACCTATCGAGCAAAACATTATCCTCCCACAGAATGATTTTTCCCCTAAACCAACCAGATAAGCAAAGTTCACGTCAAACTCACTTCCATCACCCTTCTCATCCCTTGCAGTAAGATCTTCTATCTTGTTTCTCAATCCACCTAGACATGAAGGTAGAGTTTCCATCGTGCACCTCTCGCCGTTTAATAAAATTGAGAGACTCTTTAACCTTTTCATACGGTGAAGATCTTTTAGGCTGTTATGCTTAGTTGAGAAATTCTTGAACGTCTCCAAGTTGATTAGGTTACCTAATTCCAGTTTGGTCTTTTCTTGTAGATTAGCTGGTAAAGCAAGGTATCTCAATTCTTGTAACTCCTTCAAGACATTGGGCAACTGAACTGGACATTTTGCATCTACGTGTAGATTCAAATAGAGAAGAAGCTTCAGATTCCGGATAGAAGATGGTAGCTGAGTTACACGCGCAAGGTATAAACTCAAGTATCTCAAATGGATGAGCTTTCCAATGTTAGAGGGTAACTTCTCTCCTTCAAATTCAGCTCTAGAAAGGTCCAAAACCCTCATCAGTTGTAGTTTTGTGAAACATAAACCTGATGCCATCCAATGTAGACTTGTAAATGTAGAGCTTGACCCTGATGGATTCCAAATAAGCATGGGTTCCTTCATGATGAACAGGAGAGATCTTAGTTTTGGATTATACCCCTCCATCGTAACCTTTGTTTGATCAGGTGATCGTATGATGAGTCTGCGAGATCTACTTTGAGATTGAGAAGTTGAAATTGCTGTGTAGGTACTTGCATCAGAAGTTTGTACGAAATTGTCTTCTTCAGCTTTGAGAAGACAAACTTCTCTCATCATGTCATGCAAGTGAAATGTTTCAAATCTTGAAGAACCAACATCTCTTTTGGAAATAATCATGTTTCTCTTCACCAACTCTTCTATGTATCCATTTGCGATATCTCGAATGCTAGCTCCGTCGTAATACCTTGGTCTTGGTATTCCTTCCGCAGCCCAGTAGTAAGACAATTTCTCCACATCTATTTCATCATCTTCTGGAAAATAGGATAAGTAAAGGAAACATTGCTTCAAATAGATAGGTAGCTCTTCAAAGCTCATATACAAAACTGCGCTGATATTTTTGTCACTGAAGCTAGTCACTTCAATGATGTGAGCCTTGATGTTTTCATATATCCTTTTCCACTCACGCAATGTGGACTGTGAAGTTAACAGCCCGCCTAACACCTTAACAGCCAACGGTAAACCTCCACAATGGCTGATCATTCGCTTACCCATCTCTTCCATTTCTTCATCAACCTTATATTCTACATAACATCATCAAGATATGGTGAAATTAAAATAATGCGAGCAAGGATTTGAAGTGTTGAAAATCATCCTAAAAAATGTGATATGATCAACATTGAAAAAAAAAACTAGTTAAGTTATCTTGAAATCTTACCGGTAGTGTTTCCTAGAGAAAACACTATCCTTTGAAAAATTGCCCAACATTCTTGGAGAGTTAGACATTCTGGCTTAAAGATGAAACATTTTGGATCTGCTCGTAATGCGACACCCTCATTCCGAGAAGTAAGTAGTACCTTCCAGCCTATACAAAAAAAAAAAAAAAAAAAAAAAAAATTGTTTTTTTAACATAATTCTCTAACATATAAAAAAAAAACATGAACATAATTCTGTATGACCAATATGTGCCTCGTTCAAATCTTTCGCTCTACCTTTACCCAAACACTGAATATTGGAAAGAGAAGTATATAATATATGTATCATCATAAGATTTATTCACCTTTTTCTTGTGGAAACATTGGTTTTATCAGGTCCCAATCTTCTTCTGTCCACATATCATCAAGAACAACCAAAGCCTTTTGTGTTTCCAACACTTGAAAGAGTTTCTTGTGAAGTTCGTCTTCCGTCATCTTTGACACTTTACATTCTGGCCTAAGTTTCTGCAAAATCGTACGCCACACATACTCCCTTGTAAATTGTTGTGAAACACTTACCCATGCCAATCCTTCAAAGTGACTATTAATTGTCTCATGATTAAAAACTTGTCTTGCGAGGGTGGTTTTACCAATACCGCCCATCCCGGTAATAGAAACCACTTGACTATTACTATCTTCATTCACCGAATAGCCCACCAATATCTTAACGTTTCCCTCCAACCCCACAAGAACGCCTTCATTGTCATTAGAAAACGTTTGTCGCATTTTCATTTTCCTTTTTTGTAGAGACTGTGTATACCCTTCGTTGGTAATGACCTGTTGAACGCCAAGAATCTTCATATGGCGGATCACCTTAGAGATCCTATTACTTAGGGCTTCCATATCAAAGGCAAGTCCCTTGCGTTCCAAGATAACGCAAGAAAATCTTCTCACACTGTTCCTGATGTCACTGGTATTTCCGAGTCCTTCCTTTAGAAGAAAGGTTTCGATTATATCTTCTGCGTCACAAACAATTTCTTTGATCTCTTTGATAGTGTTTCTCACCATGGCACTTGTATGTGTCTTAGCACTTGCATCTTCCAAAAAACACCTTAACATGTTTATATCACTTTTTAATTCATTAAATTGCTCTTCAACTCCCTGAAATCGTTCAGATTCTCGAACAAGGAGGTTCCAAAGCTTCTCGAGTCCAAACGACAAAATTGTCTCAGCCATAACTAGTCTCCTGATCAAGTTAGTAGAAAGCCAAAAAGAGTCTTTTAAAGTCTTAAAGTCTCTAGTCTCTACCATTTAAGCTCCTAAAGTGTATAGCAAGAATTCATCAAATTCGACTGAACAAACAAAATAATCAAGATCTCAAAGACAGACCATTATAGGATCCTCTAAGAAATTACTGAAAGCAGAAAGGAATAGAAAAAGTCAAATGTCGTACCAAAGAAACAAAAAAACTACTCAGCTTTCCAAAGGCACCAATGAACTCGCCTGTCTTCGCCCCTCCGAAGAAGAGAGATGATTAGTTATTGTTAGAATCTCAACTTATGTCTTGTATAAACATTTACGATAAGAAAGTTCTGAAAAAACATTTTAATAAAAGTATTAAAATTAAATAAGACCAAAGAAGACATGCGTGCCTACACGTTCTCTCTGCGCCAACTAGAAATCAAATAAACTATGTATAATATTATTTATTTCTTGCTTAATTTGTTTTACATGTATATCATCAGATTTGGATCCCAAATCCTAACTAACATTATTGAGTAGCAACAACATAAAACGAAAAATACAGCAAACACTACTTTATTATATAAACCCTAGCTTACACTTAATAACTATATTATACAACTTCAACACATCTTCTTCTTATAATATAACACTTCAAATTTCAACATATTATCTTCTTACATTTACACTTGCATTGCAAATACATCATAACATGATCTCAAGATGTAGAAGCTGCGGATTGAGTTTTAGCTTCAACATCTCCTATTAACTTGGCAACTTTATCTATCCCCGGAACCACATTCTTCACGGTATCATCGGACAAGAACTCATCAGCCCATTTATGAAGAGAAGGAGTTTTTGATGCGTCTAAAAGCTTTTCCCCTTTAAGCCTCTCTCTAGCTTTCACCTTTCAGTATAACCAAAAAACTTCCAAGGCAAATCACCATAAACCCGATCGTCTCACCTCAAAAAAATGATTTCCCTTTGCTTAATAGAAACAAACACATCCTCGAGTAACAACAACCCTTCTCCCACTTCTTTCATGCCATTCGCTTTGGCGTCTTCTGAGGTGGTGATCGTAGCTGCAATGAAAGTTGGAAACCACTGCATTTTTAGAACACAGGTTAGAGAAAATAATGCTTACATTATTGTTTTCATCATCTGTGTGAAACAATAACTTTAATTGTTTTCTTAATATGTGTGAAAAATTCCATAGAAAAACAAGTAAAAAGAAATGGAGGGAGTATATACTAATAGAAGGAAAACAATAACTAGAGAGACTTGGAGATTTCAATGTTGGTAAGTCCCACGGAGGTTTGTCACGCGCGGCAGAGCTTGCCCAAAAAGAGGGAAAAGGAAACTATATAGCCTAGGTTATAGGGTTTCTCCCTCGGGGAAATTGTTCCGGTGAAAGAAACCTTTTTTATTTTGTTTCATAATTTGAATTGAAAATTAGCCTTAAAATACAGAAACAATTTGTGATACGATATACAATATGGAATGTGTGCCACTGTTCCATAAACTAGCCTTTGAAAGATCCTTACTAAGAAAACCTTCGAAACAACGATATACATTACTGTTAAAAGTTAAAACCAAACAAAAAACAGTAATGTTTAGCTCTCTGTTCAGCTCTGTTTTTTTTTTTTTTTTCAAACTTTAAACGGACGAAGCATTCATTGTAACAAAGCCTTTTTTTTGTTTGAATATAATTTGACATTCAATTAAAAAACAAAAAACCTTCGAATATTATCTAAAATTAAAATTTTCCAGGTGCCTCAGTTGACTTAAAGACGAAGCTAGAGTTTCCAAAGTACACTCCTGGCTATTGAATATGATGGAGAGACCCCTTAGCCTTGTCATATTCTGAAGATCTGTGACACTGCTATGCTGTGTTGAGAAATTCCCAAGTCTCTCCAAGTTGATTAGATTACCTAATTCCAACTTTGTGCCATCTTGTATCTTGCACGGTAAAGTGAGGTATCTCAACTCTCGCAACTCCTTCAAGAAATCAGACATGTGGATTGGTGGAGATGTCATCATCACACTTGTTGGAGGTCTCATTATCTCACTTACATCTAAATTCAGATAGAGCAGTGACTTCAAATTCTTCATAGAACTAGGTAGATGAGTTACATGTGCTTGATATAAACTCAAGTATCTCAAGTGGATGAGCTCTCCAATGTTAGAGGATAACTTACTTCCCATAAACTCAACATAAGAGAGATCTAAAATCCTCATTAACCTTCCAAAGCCTAAACCTGAAGCCAGCCAGTGACACCTTTTAAACTGCTCGATAAGAAAGAAAGATCTAAGTTTCGGGTTCTTGATATACCTCTTTAAATTAATTGAAACATCAGGCGAATGTAGTACGAGTCTGCGTGATATAGATTGAGAGTTTGCAGTTGAGGTGATCGTACTTGCATCAACAATTTGTACGAAGTTTTCTTCTTCAGCTTTAAGCACACAAACCTCTCTCATCATGTCATGCAAGTGACATGTTTCAAATATTGAAGTACGAAAGTTTCGCTCAGCAATAACCATGTTCCTTCTCACCAATTCTTCCATGTATGCATCTGCAACCTCTCGAATGGTTGCTCCATCGTAATACCTCGGCCTTGATATTCCTTCTGCGGCCCAATAATAGGACAATTCCCCAACATCGATTGAATAATCTTCTGGAAAATGGGCTAGATAGAGGAAGCAGTGCTTCAAATAAACAGGGAGCTCTTCAAAACTCAGATATAGAACATGATAAACTGAGATGATGTTTCTGTCATTGAAGCTAGTCCCTCCAACGATGTGAGATCTAATGTTCTCATAAATCCTTTTCCACTCCCGCAGTGTGTATTGCGCAGCCAATAACCCACCTAACACCTTAACAGCCAATGGTAGTCCTCCACAATGTTTGATTCTGCTTACCCATCTCTTCCATTTCTTCATCAACTTTATATTCTACACAAGGTCATCAAGATATGGTGAAATAATCATTTGATTTGTTGGAAGAATAATGTTAACATTAAAGTCCTTGATTATATTGTCTTTAAAGCTTACCAACAGTGTTGTCTCTAGGAAATGCTATCCTTCGAAAAATTATCCAACTATCCTCGAGAGTTAAACAATCTGGTTTAAAGGTGTAACATGTTGGATCTGCTCGTAATGCGACACCCTCGTTACGAGAAGTAAGTAATACCTTCCAACCTATACAAAATGTACCTCTTTTTACATAACTCTCTAGCAAAAAGGAAAATAATAATTTATGACCAATATGTGTGACTCGTTCTGATCTTTCTATTTTCATTTTACACAAACAATGAATACTATAACGAGAGTTTTCATAAGATGTTATGTTACCTTTCTTCCGTGGAAAGATTGGTTTTATTCTGTCCCAGTCTTCTTCTCTCCATATATCATCAAGGACAATGAAAGCCTTTTGTGTGTCTAACATTTCAAAGAGCTTTTCTTGAAGTTCGTCTTCTGTCGTCTTCTCTGTTACTTTATATTCTGGACTAAGCTTCCGCAAGATCGTCTCCCATACATACAACCTCGTAAACTGTTGTGAAATACACACCCACGCAACTCCATCAAAATATTTTTTTACCATCTCATGATTATAAACTTGTCGAGCTAAGGTAGTTTTACCAATACCACCCATCCCGGTTATAGAAACCACTTGACTACTGCTATCTTCTTCTACCAAATAGTCCACCAATATCTTAACGTTTTCCTCCAACCCAACAATAACAGTTTCGTTGTCGTTAGAAAATGTTTTTCGCATTTCCCTTTGTCTTTCTTGTAGAGACTGTGTATACCCATCATTGCCAATGACCTGTTGTATGCCAAGACTTTGCATATCGCGGATCACCTTGGAGATCCTCTTACTTATGGCTTTCATATTGAAAGCAAGCCCCGTGCGTTTCAAAATAACGGTAGAAAATCTTTTCACACTGTTCTTGATGCCACTTGTTTTTCCAAGTTCTTCCTTTAGAAGAAATGTTTGGATTATATCTTCAGCGTCGTAGACAATTTCTTTGACTTCTTTCACAGTGTTTCTCACCATGGCACTTTTATGTTTCTTGGCATCTGCATCTTCCCAAAAGCACCTTAACATATTCAGATCACTTTTGAGCTCTTCGAATTGCTCTTCAACTCCGTGAAATCGATCAGATTCTCGGACAAGGAGATCCCAAAGCTTCTCAACTCCAAACGACAAAAGTGTCTCAGCCATTTATCTCCTGCTTAACCATGAAAGTAGTAGTCAATAATCAGCATAAGAGGGTCCATGATTTCAATGTCCGGAAAATATTTTCTAAAAATTTATAGACTAATTAAAATAAACTATCATGTGGTATAAAAAATCCACAGATCGTTGTACAGAGACATAAATATGAATGAGCTATAAAGAAAGAAAAAACACCAGAGATTGAAGCACCATCTTCCATAGAAACATATAGAAAGAAGTAATATAATCAACAACAATTACCTCCTGGAATCGCTTTTCGTCCAACTGATTTGTATAAAGATGCAAGCGATCGTGTTTTTAGTGTTCAATGTTTTTGATCTGACTTTAAGGCTCAGAACTCTGTTAAAGACTTAATAGAATACTTAAAAAGAGTCAGTGGACAACCAGTTGTACTGAAGATAATGTATAATTCAATTGGCTAGAAAATCTTAACAGCAATGTATTCTATATTGTTTTCTAGCTGGCCACTTGTCCTTTTACATTATCGTTATTAAAAAAAAAAAAAAAAAAAAAAAGAAGAAGAAGCAAGGGATTATAGTGTAATAGAAATTGGACCACCATAGTGGTGATTCAGAACACACTGGTTTAGATCTCTTTGTCTTATGATATAAAAGAAAGATAATGATAATTAATTACCTGTTTTAAGTTTATTCACATAGACAAGATAACAGTACGTAAGAGTCTAAGAGATATCAATTTATATAAGTTCGTTAATTTTTGGAGAGCCTCATCATCCTCATTTTCACGATTCAAAAATAAATGGATTTTCAATTTATTAACCACAATGCAAAGATGAACAACTATGTGGTTTAAAACTATGGCTGCTCCCGACAGAACACGAGCCAAAACATAGAAAACAGAATCAACCACTTGTCGTTTTGTTCTTTCTGAATGGCTCTCAAGCATAAGCCAAAGGTTTTGAATACGAAGCAAATACATCAAGACAAGGAAAAGAGCTTATTATTATAAAGATTAATACGTTCACGAACTCGATCCATTTCCGAAGATCTTTTCTTCAGAACATATTCACCTAAAAAATCAAAAGGAGAACATATTAAGCATCAAAAAAGTTGTGCACCAATAAAGCTAGTCAAGCCATTCCTATATTCCTTCTTTGTCTTCCTCAGTTTTAATGTGCCCATTGTTGAAATATTAATAGGGGAAAGAATATATTACCTGGTTGTCTATTCTTATTACCCATCCGTAACGCTCTTCAGGAGTATAACTCATGCTAACAACAGGAATTTTAACGAGAGGAATGTGTTGGACTTTGTAATGATCTTCCCCTCCTCTGTACAATTTCTCCTTGAACTTTGATTCAGTTGTGATAATTGTCAATTCTTTCAAGGAAGTGATAAATCTCAGCCCATCAAGAAGCTCCTTCAAGTTATTACAATGAGTGATAGACAGAGTATGTAGAAGTGGCATGGAGCCTTCTTCTACTATCCACTCTTCTAACGGATCTAGTTTTTCCAATACTAGATTTTTCAACTGAGGAAACCCACCGCTCGAGCAAATCATTCTTGTTCTGCAGTTGCAATATCTTCTCCGGAGAATCGGCAATGGATCCTCCTCCACACATCGGATGAAATCGTAAAGAATATTTTCTGTACCAGCCTCGTGATCGCTTATAGTAAGATTTTCCAAGCAACTCAGTTCACATAGAGGTGAAGTTAGAGTTTGCAGAGTATACTCACAATTGAATAAGATTGAGATAGTCCTGAGGCTTGACATACGATGAAGATCCGTCACACTGCTATGTTTTGTTGAGAAATTCTCCAATACTTCCAAGTTGATTAGATCACCTAATTCTAAGTCTGCCTTATCATGTATTTCACTCGGTAACCAGAGATATCTCAGTTCTTGCATCTCTTTCAAGATATTAGGAACATAAAGTGGAGATCCAGCTTCAACATTTAGATTCAAATAGAGGAGCAACTTCAGATTCCGCATAGAAGAAGGTAGATGAGATACCCGAGCACGATATAGACTCAAATATTTCAAGTGGATAAGCTTTCCAATGCTAGATGGTAACTTCCCTTCTTGAAATTCGGCTCCAGTAATATCTAACACCCTCATCAATTGCAGTCCTTTAAAGCATAAACCTGATGCCTTCCACTTTGACCCCCGATACTGCTTCTTGATAATCAAAGATCTAAGTTTTGGATTCTTGCTATACCCCTCCATATGAATTGTATCATCAGACGAATGTATACCAAGTCTGCGCGACGTACAAGGAGATTGAGATTTTGTAGGTGAGGTAAAGGAACTTGCATCAGCAATTTGTATAAAATTCTCTTCTTCAGCTTTAAGCAGACAAACTTCTCTCATCATGTCATGCAAGTGACATATTTCAAATCTTGACGTACTATCGCTTCTTTCAGAAATAACCATGTTTCTCTTCACCAATTCTTCTATGTATCCATCAGCGACTTCTCGAATGGTTGCTCCATCGTAATGCCTCGGCCTTGGTATTCCTTCTGCATCCCAGTAGTATGCCAGATCCCCTACATTTATTACTTTATCTTCTGGAAAATGGGCTAGGTAGAGGAAGCAATGCTTCAGATAAACCGGCAGTTCTTCGAAGCTCATATACAAAACATGATATACCGAACTGATATTTTTTTCATTGAAGCTAGTCCCCCCAACGATGTGAGATCTAATATTCTCATATATCCTTTTCCACTCACGTGATGTGTACTGTGCAGCTAACAACCCTCCTAACACCTTAACAGCCAACGGTAGTCCTCCACAATGTTTGATCATCTGCCTACCCATCTCTTCCATTTCTTCATCAACCTTAGATTCTACACAACATCATCAAGAATTCAAGATAAGGTGTTTCAACATTAGACGTGTTGAAGAATGAAGATATGATATTAAGGTAAAAGAGAATTATGTTCATCCTAAATACAAAGTCCATGATTATGACCACATGGAAAACCAAAATCAATTAAACTGTTTTGAAAGGTTACCGGTGGTGTTTTCATTAGGAATAGTTTTCCTTTGGAAAAGTGTCCAGCTCTCTTCGAGAGTTAGGAAATCCAGTTTAAAGGTGAAACATGTTGGATCTGCTCGTAATGCGACACCCTCGTTGCGAGAAGTAAGTAGTACTTTCCACCCTATGCAAAAATATAACTCTTTTAATTACCATAATTTCCTAACAAAAAGGACCATAACATCTTAACATTAAAACCAAAAAAAAAAGGGACCATAATGATTTTTGACAAGTATGTGTAGCTCCTTCTCTTCTTTTTTTTCACCAACCAAATTTGAATATTTAAAATATAATTATCTAATGATTGTAACAAAAATGTCACCTTTTTTTCTTGGAAACATTGGCTTTATCCTATCCCATTCTTCCTCTCTCCATATATCATCAAGGACAATTAAAGCTTTTTGTGTTTCCAACACTTTAAAGAGATTTTCTTGAAGTTCGTCTTCTGTCATATGAGACACCTTATATGCTGGCCTGAGTTTCTTCAAGATCGTCTGCCACACATACTTCCTTGTAAACTGTTGTGAAACACATACCCAAACAAGTCCTGCAAAATGACTTTTTACCATCTCATGATGAAAAACTTGTCTAGCAAGGGTGGTTTTACCAAGACCGCCCATCCCAGTACCAATTTTTCAATGTTCTTCTCCAACCCCACAAGAACACTTTCATTGTCGTTAGAAAATGTTTGTCGCATTTCTCTTTGTCTTTCCTGTAGAGACTGAATATATCCTTCATTGAGAATGACCTGGTGTACGCCAAGACTCTTCATATCACGGATCACCTTAGAGATCCTCTTACTTATGGCTCTTAAGTCGGAAGCAAGTTCCCTGCGATCCACTATAACCCAAGCCAATCTTTTCACGCTGTTCCTGATACCACTTGTTTTTCCGAGTTCTTCCTTTAAAAGAAAGGTTTCAATGATATCTTCAGCATCGTAAACAATTTCTTTGATCTCTTTCACAGTATTTTTCACCATTGCACTTGTGTGTTTCTTGGCATCTGCATCTTCCAAAAAGCACCTTAACATGTTCATATCACTTTTTAACTCATCAAATTGCTCTTCAACACCCTGGAATCGATCAGATTCTCGGACAAGAAGGTCCCATAGCTTCTCCACTCCAAAGGCCAAAAGAGTCTCTGCCATAAGTCTCCTGCTGAAGGTAGTATAAGAATTTAAAAGGCAAGAAGAGTCTTTATAAGTTCAAAGTGGAGATACTTTTTTCAGTTCCTACTAAAGCTCCCATTAGATTTGATTGAACAGATAAAACAACTCAAGGTTCGAAGAAAAAATAAGTACAGAAGAAGTCCAATATCATAACAAAAAAAACTACTCACCTCAAGAAACTCGCCTGGGATGAAGAGAGATGATTGATTTTTGTTACAAACCTCAAGTTACGTCTTTTAAGTGTTGTTGACTTTGCATAAGCAAAGATGAGATCCAATTCTGCTAAATAAATTATAAAACTATAAAATAAGACGGAAATAGAAGAAGACGACAATTGCATGCCAAATTGCCAACGCGTTTATCTCTTTGAGCCAACTAGAAAGATTATGAAAATCAGAAATATGATATTTTTGTTACATATATCAGTTTTCAGAAAAGTAGGTAAGTAAGACAAAAATGTGCAGAATACTTGATAAAATACCTTATTGGCTTGGCTGTAAGAAAACTATAATATATAGTGGCTCTGCATAGTCATATACACTTTTTTCTTTATTAGATGTTCGTTTGCGTTAGAGATATTAAAATGGGCAGACCCACCAATTTAAACCCGCACCATGATCATTAGTAAACACATTAAAGTTGAATGCCATTATTTCAGAGATGCAGTTAAATACAAGTATACAACGTTATAACTACAATCTCGTATGTCAAGTTGTCAACAGCAGTGACGAATCCACATGGAAATTAACACCATATAATTATTAAAATATTGTTAATTACATATTTACATGTAAAATTTTAATATATTTGTAGAATAATTGTTAAATTTTAACAGAATCATCAGAGGTGTGATGTTGTGTAACTCTGACTAAACAAAACTGTAAGGAATCTATGTTTAAAGGTGAATCTTAATAAATATCATTGAAGAAAGTTTGTGTCTTTGTGTCTTTGGCATTGTTGGTGTTGGTTCTAGTAATTTCACGCCCGTCCTGCATGCGGCTCTGCCCTTAGGAAGAAGAGAGATGATTGGTTTTTGTTACCAATCTCAAAACAATTAACAAAGATGTATAACTAGACCGAAATAGAAGAAGACGACAATTGCATGCGTAAGCCTTGTTTTCTTTGAGCCAACTAGGGTACTGATTGGCATTTTGGCTTTTAAAAAAACTCAACGAATGTGAAGAAAAAATTATTATTGAGTAGCAACCACATGTATAATGGAATATATAGCACACAATGCACCATTATATAAACCCTAGCATACACTTAAGATGTATCATACAACACTTCAATCTTCAAGATCACGAATCTGAGGATTGAGTTTTAGCTTCAAACTTGGCAATTTTATCGATTTCCGGAACCACTATCTTCACGGTATCATCCGACAAGAACTCATCGGCCCATTTAAAAAGAAAAGGAGTTTTTGATTCGTCTAAGATTGTATCCCCGTTAAGCCTCTCTCTAGCTTTCAATATAACCAAAAAACTTCCAAGACAAATGTCCATAAACCCTATCGTCTCACCTCCAAAAAACGATTTCCCTTTGCTTATAGAAGCAAACGCATCCTCGAGTAACAACAACCCTTCTCCCACTTCTTTCATGCCATTCACTTTGGCGTCTTCTGAGGTGGTGAGCGTAGCTGCAATGAAAGTTGGAAACCACTGCATGCATTTTTAAAACACAGGTTAGAGAAAATATACTTCTATTCAAAACTCCATAGAAGTCAGGGCTAAATCTTTGGTCTAAGGTTAATGAATCTTAAATTAAATTATGAACAATATCAGTTAGAAGAAAAAATGTTTGAGTTTTTATTTTATTTTTTGTTAACACTTGAGCTTTCGTAACTAATAATCAAAATAATGTAAAGGAGACAGAGTAGTTAAAAAAAAATCTGAGTATACAAAAAGCAGACCTTATCATCAACGTATGCAGACCAGAAGCGAGCTTGAGCGCGATCATAAGGATGTGAAGGAAGAATGGACGGTCCAGATGCGTTCCACGTCTCATCGATGTACTCAACGATATTGAGAGACTCGAGAATCGTTTTACCGTTGTGAATGAGAACGGGGACCATCTTGTGAACCGGGTTAGATTTGAGAAGAAGCTCACTCTTGGATCCGAACAGATCTTCTTCAAAATAATCGTAATCAACCGATTTGAGACGAAGAGCGATCTTTGCTCTTGCCACGACCGGACTGTACCATGTTCCCAACAGATTCACTTCCTCTTTCTCTGCCATATTTTCTTTGTTAAAATTATTTTCTTGTTCGATCTGTAAATTAATGGGTCAAGAAGACCAAGAAGAAGAAGATAGTGTATTTGTGTTCAACCACGGCTCTTTTCTTCTTCTTTAATTATTTTGTCTGTTTCTTAATAGTGAGACATTATCTTTGACCTACGGAGTAAAATAAAATCCAAAGACTGAAGTTGACCACTAAATTGCGGGATTAAATTAATAAAAAAAAATTGTGTGATTGCATACTTGCATAACAGATATATATATTTCTAAAATAATAAATTTGCATACTTGCTCTCCCAAAATTTAATAAATTTATTCGATCAGGAAGTTCCTTTATCCTCTCACATGTGTTAATATCCAGAGTTTGAAGAAGTGGAATGGAGCCTTCTTCGACTACCCAATCTTCCAACTCATTCAGTTTCCATATTTTAAGTCTGTGCAATTTAGGAGCAAACCATGCTCGATCCCACTGAAAGCTGCAGAGTATAATACAACTTCTTTCAAGTGTAGCCACTTGTCTAAAATTGGCAAGGGATCCTTCTCCAAACGACAATTAGATAGCTTAATGGATGTAAGTTGAGCAGGGAACTGTAGTTCATCAAATAACATCAGCATGTTTATCTCCAACTCCACCTGTTTGAGATTAATTAAATCCAACACAGTTCCATCTAGTTTAGTCCTCATAACCGGGTAAAATCTTGTGAGACACACACCCATGCAAGTGCATCAAAGTGATGTTTAACCATCTCGTAATTAAAGAGTTGTCTAGCAAGGGGGGTTTTACCAACACCACCCATTCCGGTTATGGAAACCATTTGAATGGTATCTTCCTCCACCAAGTATCCAACCACTGTCTTTACATTTTCTTCTAACCCCACAAGATGGCTTTCGTAGTCCTCAGAAAATGTGTGTCTCGTCTATCATATAGAGGTTGCATTTGCATATATCCACCATTAGTAATAGTTTGTTGAAAAGATTAAAAAAAAAAAAGGTATTGTAAGCAAAATATAAGCATAATATAAGCAAAATATATGTAAATTATAAGCAAAATTTACTACATTATATACATTTCATTGCTTATGAAAACGTTAGGATTTGATCTAATTCTATTGCTTATAGATGATTTTATTACCTACTACCTTAATAGGTTATTGAGATAAAGACTACATTAGTTAGATAATGACAATATTAATTTAGATAAATATGACTTTAGCTTATACTAGTTATATTAGGAATATATTTGTATCTAGATAAGGATCTCTACTCTTGTATAAATACTTCTCTTGTACAATGTTAATATGAAGATTTCCATTCATAAGTTATTTCATGGTATCAGAGCAGACGATTCTGGGCCACCCCGTGGATGTTATTCCCACAATTGCCCACGTTTCAGATGATGATCTCTGAACGTGAGGTGGGGTGTTAATGATGAAATATAATCAGAACCACCCGATGTTGGGCCACCCCGTGGATGTTGTTCCCACAATTGCCCACGCTTCAGATAGTGATCTCTGAGCGTGAGGGGGGGGGTGTTAATGATGAAAGTCCCACATCGGAAGTTAGAGAAATAATTAAGTAATATCTAAAGGGTTAGGGCCTCTCCATCTATTGCCAATTGGTTTTAGGTTGGATGCCCGTTTAATCCAAATTTGACAAGGATAGATCAAGAATCGTGAGTTGAATAAGTATCTCCATACTCATTAAGTTTTTCTTTTATCTTCCTCAATTCCAAATTAGAGCTCTTCAATTTTGTTCCGAAAGAAAGGAGTAGTTTGATTGAAGATCAATCGAGCTTTTGGTCTCAGTACACTCTGATGCGGATGTCGTTTGGTCATTCGAATAATGGTTTATCATATGAAGGATGAAAGAGCAAGAACGAAGCTCTTTTTCAACTCTATTTTCCACATCTTAATTCGTCCAACATATAAGTTCGAACAAGGTTCGGGAAAGGTCCAGAAGTAGTTTTTCATTTTTCTCAACTTCAATCTAAAAACGTATTTTTAAAATTACAAAAAGGTAGTACAATTGGGGACCTCTGTTGTTTCCCTCTTTGTATACTGTGCTAATCTGAAAAGCTCATAGGATATGTTATAATGTTATTATATTAAATAAGTTTGTATCTAGGCCGTAATGAAATGCTAATCAATCTATTTTAACTTTCATACACGTACAAAAAGTGCGGGTTAACAAATCATTACGAACAATAGTTATTGAGAACCAAAAATTTAAAGGAACAAAAAAATAAACTTTTGGAAACAGTAAACCCGCGCATTGCGCGGGCACTCTCCTAGTCATAATAAACCGATTTGTGTTTCTCCACGGCTCTTTTCTTCTTCTCTTTTGAGATATTATCTTTGAATTACAGACTAAAATAAAATCCGCAGACTGAAATTATTCAATAAATTAATAGAAAAAATCGTGTGATTGGCATAACACATACACATGTGAAATAATAAATTCTTACAAAAATTATTATAACAGTACGGACATATCTAACATTTAAATCTAATTTTACACATTTTAAGTAGAATGTGGTCAAGTCAAATTCATGTGTATGATACTATGATTTGTTCATGAAAGCAAATCATACACAATTTTTTAGTTTTTTTTGAGAAAAGTTTCAAGCAATAATATAACGATCATCTTTCTCTAATAGAATAATCTGATAAAGACTTTGAGGTAAAGAGTAAAAAATGAAATATGTTGACATTATATTGCCAAGAAATAGAGTAATAGACAACCCAAAAAAAAAAACCAAAAAACAAGACACTATGTCATGTCAAAGAAAAGAAAAGCACTTGTTGCTACTACAAATACAATTATTAAATATAAAATAATTTTGAAGAAACCCTTTTGAAAGAGTAAAAAACGAAATATGTTGACATTATATTGCCAAGAAATAGAGTAATAGACAACCCAAAAAAAAAAACCAAAAAACAAGACACTATGTCATGTCAAAGAAAAGAAAAACACTTGTTGCTACTACAAATACAATTATTAAATATAAAATAATTTTGAAGAAACCCTTTTACGCTTTCTTTCATTTATTTTGCCTAATACATTTTTTTACATAAATTTAATAATCTTAGAACTTTTGGTAAAAAATAAAATCCTTAGTTATTACAAGATAAAACCTCTGACAATGCTATTAGATAAATCTTTAACTTTGTACAATTTTGTTATTGGTATTAACCATGATTAATCCTTATACTTTACTATAACATCTTATTATGATTAGTTTATTTCTTTATTCTTGGAAGAGAAATTTTATGAAATACACCTCTTGAGGTGCAAATTTTCAAAACTACACCTATAATGTGGAAATTTTCAAAAATACATCTTTCCCCAATTTTAATATATATGTTTGGGTTCATTAATCCTATATTAGGGTTTAGATTTTGGGGTTTAGGATTTAGATTTAAGGGTTCAATGTTAGATTTTAGGGTTTTGGATTTATATTTTAGGGTTTAGAGTTCTTTTACTAAATGAAAAAAGTGTAGTTTTGAAAATTGGCACCATAGAGGTATATTTTTGAAAATTGGCATCTCAAGAGGTGTAGTTTTGAAATTTCCCCTACTTGGAAATCTTTTAGATATTTGTTATTTTAGCTTACTTTTTTTTGTCCCAAGTCATTGTAATTTGATAAATACAGAAATTATGTAGATTTTACACTACTAGGTGTCATGTCTGTGTAGGACTAGATAAACATAATAAAATTATGCACTTTAAGACTACAATATAAATAGATGGCACAAGCATGCTACGAAGTTGCAATCACATTGTTTTCACAATATCTATTCGTATTTTTTTTGACCATTCAATATCTATTCATAATGGTCAGTTCATTTGTCGGAAGCCCGTAAAAAATAAACTATTCATATCGTTTATAGTGCTTTACACGTTCAGAAACCTGTATTCTTTATATAATGAATTCCTTATAACTTTAACTTGATTTCATTTTTTTTCTTTTGCAGAGCGAATGTTATGAATTCTTTTTTGTACCTGCTGATGAAAATAAACAGGAACAAATTCGAGCTTATATCTATAAAAAATATGAAGGTACACACTAACACAATTACACAATATAATGGTTAAGTCGAGCCAAATAAAACCATTTGTTATAGAAATATAAGCATGCATTCTAAACAATGTATATACTAATAAAAGTTAATTTGTGTTAGCAGTTGAGTCTCTCTCATTCGAAGACGGCGGCGTACTTATCGTGAAGGGAGTTGGACTTGATGATCAAAGAATACAGAGGAAGATTGATAAGATTAATGGAGGGAAATCGGGTGGTGGGTGCGTAGGGTGTTTTTAGTCCCCAGCTAATTATATGGGTATTTGGGTTTATGTCTTCGTATTTGGGTTTTTTTTAACTAATAAGTAATAACTATATGGTGTTTAATAATGTATTCATAATCTATAAAAGTGTTTAATTTTTTCTTATTATAATTATTGAATAAATCTAAGTTATACTAGTCTACTCGTTTCAAATTTTCGATTTATGTTCATAATATGACAAACTGATAAAAACAAATAAAACTTCCATTAACGTGTTTATGCTCCTTAAGACCATAACGTGTTTATGTATCGGGAACTCTTGACAAATATTTCAAGATTGGTTCTTTCTCAAAGCTACAGATTATGATGATGGTTTTATTGCTATGAAATTTCTGTCATTTTCTTCAGATTTAATAACATCTAAGGCTCCTACATTGATTTTATAAACAAAAGAAAAATCAATCGCTGATGACATTAGGAGAAGGGAAGGTTTAATGTTTGAACGTGTAAGCTCCTATAAGTAGGAGTGTTTAAAAGATAATTCAAACTCAGTCTATAGGAGCTGCCGAGCTGCTCTTCTTTTGTTTAGCAGGTTCTCTTACTTGCGGAGCAAGAAAACTTATTTTTCAAGTTTGCCTTCTTTTCTTTCTTGCTGGGCAAGAAACTTATTTCAACATTAGGTGATTAACAGCATCGCTTCATTGGTTTTCACCTTTTTGCGCCATTGATAATAAGAAAAGAGTGATGCGTAAACTGACTAGTTAATAGTGGCTAACATATACAGTTAATGAGCTTTCGCTTAGATGCTTCCAATGCTCCTCAATTGACCAATCAATAAGGCTTCGTCATAACGACAGAGATGAAAACGAACATGGCTAAAGATTTATATAAAATGGATGACCTAAATGTTTATACCAAGTGAGACTAAGTATCTTAAAGAGCTGAAACTGAGAAAGACGAGCTTTAGTACAGGACAAAATATAGTATAAAGCATGGCTTAGAGGTACCTGAAAAATATAAATGTTTTCTATATAAATAGATGATTCCCAAACTGAGTCATTAAGATAGAAGGTGACGAGATGGTTAGATAGCGTCCATCGGCACTCTCGCTTGGCTCTAGACTGGATGATGAGTTTGAGCTAAAGCAAAAGTAAAATCGAAAAATCGAACTGAATCAAAGAAACGAGTTGAAATGAAGTTGGACCGATCAACCAAAGTATTTTTTTTTAATGAATTTAACAAACAAAACGTTTCCATAATGAGAAACAAAGATGCTCAAATATAACGAATACGAAACCAACCAATGAGCTATCTAGCGTTGTGATATAATAAGATGTGTATCATCATCACACAAACAAGCAAACTGCAAACATATACTATATAACACCAGTTTTGACACCAACCACAAAGTATTTTTCCTCCTTCCGATGGTTTCTCCTTCCACTACTCTCCCATATAAATTAGAGTCAGCTCCTTCAAAGAAGTGATCAATCTTATTCCATCAGGAAGTTCCTTTAACTTCTCATTGTTGTTAATTTCCAGAGTATGAAGAAGTGGCATGGAGCCTTCTTCAACTACCCAACCTTCCAACTCATTCAGTTTCCATATTTTAAGCTTGTGCAATTTAGGAGCAACCCATTTTCTTCCCATAGAAAGCTACATAGTATAATACAACATCTTTCAAGTGTAGCAACTTCTCTAACATTGACTAAGGATCCTTCTCCAAACTTCTCTAACATTGTCTAGGGATCCTTCTCCAAACGACTGTTAGATATTTTAATGAAACGATAACATCGGCATATCTATATCCAACTACAATTGTTTGAGATTTATGAAATCCAGCACAATTAATCAAAGTCTCCAGGTTTACTAGATTACTCAATTCCAACTTCATCTTCTTGCACATATTTCTTGGTAAAGCAAGGTATCTTAATTCTCGCATCCCCATTAAAACATTGGGTTGGAACGTACGTCCGAAGCATACACGTCGATCTAGATAGATCAATAATTTCTGATTTCTGAGAGAAGAGGGTAGATTAGATACCTGAATGAATGCTAAGTTCAAGTATCGTAAGTGTATTAGCTTTCCAATGCTAGAAGGTAACTTCCATCCTACAAACCAGACTTCAAGGAGATCTAACAGCCTCAACAATTATAAGGGGTGTTGTTGTGGATAGTCATACCCATCCCACACACCTATCCCACTGAAACATGCCCAAAATAATACCCAGCTTCGAAAACACCCAAAACATATTTAATATATGGACTGGTTTTTAGCCCATATAGGGACACTTGTTTGAGGAAAGGTCTTTCCAACAAAAGTAACAACATATAATCAAATCACCTTGTTGATTAAAGAGGACTAACGATTTAAAATAACTTAGTTCGAGATTGGGCATAGGATACAAACAAATGTTTCATTGTGCATATTTAAAAGTAAAACATAAGTAAAATATAAGCAAAAATAGTGCAAATACAAAATCAGACCTTTTTTTAAGACGAAGCAGAATCCGGTCTTTTTTTTTTAGTATGATCGAGGCAGAATCTTTGCACACGACAGTACGTAAGCAAAGAAAGTGAACAGTTGTGGAAGTTTTATTTGTTTTTATGTGTGTGTTTTCCAGTGTAAGGCCACAATTTCAGTCTCTGGTTGTTTCTTGATTCATAGTTTACGTACATATACATGGAGTACAATCGACTACTCACTCTGTTCAAGCACACTGAACCTTGCTATTGATCTGACATGGAGCTCTGGTTCTCCATCAACGTGTTTATGCTCCTTAAGACAACTACGTGTTTATGAATAGGGAACTCTTGACAAATATTTCAAGATTGCTTCTTTCTCAAGCACATAATATGATGATGGTTTTATTGCTATGAAATTTCTGTCATTTTCTCAGATTTAATAACATTTAAGCTCCTATATTTATTTAGAAACAAAAGAAATCAAAATCAATCGCTGACATTAGGAGAAGGGAAGGTTTAGTGTTTGAACGTGTAAGTTCTTATAAGTAGGAGTGTTTAAAAACCATTCAAACTCGGTCTATAGGAGCTTTGCTCTACTTCTGTTTAGCAGTTCTCTTACTTGCGTAGCAAGAAATCTTATTTTGAGTTACCTTTATTTTCTTTCTTGCCGGGCAACAAACGAAACATCAAGTACATAAAGTTTGTACTTAGTTCATTATATCAAACGAAACACAGGCATATGATATGACAAAGGAAAGCTACGATTTTTATATTTCTTGGAACACAATGGGTCTTATATAAGTATAAACTTTATGTACTTGATGTTTTTCTTAATCAAAACGAAGTTAAATGACAAACAAAACAGACCAAAAACATGAATATTTATGAGTTTTTATCTTCCTTGGACCGCAGATTGTGTTAACTGATTCACAGAGATACGATCTTTAGATTTTGACTGTGACATTGACTCAACGTTAAGTGAATGCACTGCAAATATTGGCTGCTTCGGTGTGGGAAGATCTGTTGCCGAAGTAATCGTAGACAGTACTTGAAGAGTGTTTGGGTCTATCAACAACTTCATGTTGAACACAGAGGAGACCAATCTGAACACATCTCGCAACTTCAAATGCGTTGCATGAATCAGCAAGATCTCTGTCCAGAACATTTATTCCCCCGGTCTCGCACCAAGATTCCCATGCCTGCATGTAAAGAATGAGAAATGTTTCAAGAAGGCAACAGGGAAGTAAATATTTGCATTTTATGGGAATCAAATTGTTAAAACAGTCAATGTTCCACTTACATATGCAAGAAGGCCTTTGTTCTCATCGCCAAAGATGAACCGTGAAATCCTCTTCCCGCTGATATTTCCAACATCAGAACTCCGAAGCTATAGATGTCAGACTTCTCAGAGAACAATCCTGTCCATGCATACTCAGGAGACATATATCCTCTGTGCAAACATGAAAAGTTTAGTATATGTTTATGACTATGAACCCTTGTTAATGTTAAGCATGTTACTGAATAATGGTTCTTACAGAGTTCCTACAATCCTACGAGTGTTGTCCTGATTTTGAGTTCCTTCAAACATCCGAGCCAATCCGAAATCTGATATTTTTGGAATCATATTCTCGTCTAGAAGAATATTGCTGACCTTCAGGTCTCGGTGTATGACCCTCAGGCGTGAGTCACGGTGGAGATAGAGAAGTCCACGTGCAGTGCCTTGAATGATATCAAATCTCGTTGGCCAATCAAGCTCGAACTTTAGAGATGGATCTAGACAGAACAGATTACTGACAGTGACACGGTGGAAGGAAAAGGAAAAACGACGAGGAATATGGAATAAAGGACAGACCAAAGAGAAAAATATCGAGGCTTTTGTTCACCATAAACTCATAAATCAACAGCTTCTCTTCTCCTTCAATGCAGTATCCGAAAAAGCCGAACCAAGTTTCTGTGCTGTAATTTCGAGATCAGTGTTATTTCATTCATGAACTCCTCTGTACCCTGACCGGAGCTACTAGAAAGGCGCTTAACAGCTATTTCCTTCCCATCCGGCAACTTTCCCTGTAGGAATAGTTGCAGAAAGCTAATTGAGAACAGCAAAAGTACAGAACAAAAAAAAAGTAAACAGACCAGAATATCTCTTACCTTATAAACTGGACCAAATCCACCTTGACCGAGTTTATTTGAGGAACTGAAGTCATCGGTAGCAGTTCGTATGGTCTGCATCTCAACAAAATTTACTCCTGATATATCTCGTGGTGCGAAATCATTCTTCCATGCATCTTCTGATGTATCGATGACAACAGGAGTTGGTTCTACAAGTAACAAGTTAGCATGTATAAGTGCTTAATCTGCAGTTTAGTATTCAATAGCTAAACTTCCAATAGAAGTGAACAGATTAACCAAGCTTTGACAGATCATATACTAATGGAGAAGTGAACATGATTAAAAGAAAGAGAAGTGCAGTAGTTTACTATTGCATCGGTTTTAGTTACAGAGTTTCATGATTATAAAGAAACCTACAATAACCTTTGTAATAGACCAAAGTTGTGAGTGTCTCACCATTTTGTTTTGCTCTGTATCTCCAGAACATATATGCTGCAACGGCCAAGATCACGAAAATGGCAAGACTGACACTGATACCTACAATAATCTTTGTTCGACTGCTTCCAGCTGAGACATTCACCAGAAAACAAAATCTAGAAATCATGATGCTGCATAAATATCATCGTAAAGAAAGATGAAACTTCAAATGTAATAATCTTTAGAAGAAATGTGTTTCAGCCTTACCTAATTCCGAACTTGCAAGACGGATGGAGATAACCTCTCCATTAGCCAAACATTGAACTGTGTCTACTAGCTCCCCATTCCATATATGTATAAAATGAGTATTGAGATCAAGAATAGTAATAATTTCGTCTAGACGTTTTTGCTTTTGGTTCGAACATTCTTCTTTGAATATTCTAAATCTAAGCACTCAAAATAAACCATATTGACGGTTTAAGAGAAAGAAACAAAAAAAAAACAAGACTTGAGAAAGATACTCTCATCTTACTGTCCACAGAAAATAGCGTGTACTACTTGATATTTGTTTTCCCTTCATTTTGTTCTACAGAAATGTCAAAGCAAAGAAAATTGCAAAGTGAAGATCAAGATCCTAAAATAATCTCTGTACGAGATTTAAAAATCAAACCTTTTGGTCAGGCATTTCATCGAACAGTTCCAGTGCGTACTGTAGATGTATAAAGCATCAATATTAGACAGCAATCTCACCGCAAGTATGGCCGATTATACATCTCCCGCCATCTGGGGAACATAAATTCAAACGATTTGGCGTGCAAAGGTAACGGCAAAGTCGCAGAGACAGCGACAAACCCAGAAATGTCAACGCTTTTTAGCTACTCGAAGACTTTGACTAGCGAGAGCATATATCCGAAGAGAAGAAGAAGAAGGGCAAATGTGTAACTGTGGTGATATTTGTTCTTGTTCCAAAGTCCCACATCGCTAACAAAAAAAGAAGGGAGGAAAAGAGGAGTAGTATAAATAAAGGAGCTACGCTATTGAATAGCTCATACCTTTCTCGGCCTTTTGGCTAAGATCAAGTGTAGTATCTGTTCTTATCAGTTTAATATCTGATATGTGGGTCATCGGCCCACACGATATTAACTCTATTTTTTAAGGGAGAAAGCCCATCAAGATAGCTTGCTATCTGGGCTTTCACGAGTCGCCCATGCGTTGCACTACTGCACGGGCCTGGCTCAACCCGCCAATATTAACAGTTTAACTTTTTACTATGTAGCGGTTAATCTTAATTAACATATATCGATGAAACTGGTTTAATGGGCCGTCTAGTACTAATTAACAGGTGAAATTGGGCCCATTTGAATATATATGGTGGAAGATGTAGTCCACATACCGTAATTGCTAGTATCTTAACACAATTGAACAAAATAAAATAATATCCAGTTGTTATAGAAATTTATCATTTAGAACATTTTAGTCAATGTCGTTATCAGCCAAGAATCTTGTACTCTTAGATCCTTCATGGCAACAAGACAAGTTTGACAGAACATTAAGCATTTCTATATAACTTGTCTTGACACAATCAGTAATCACATAAAGTTATGGTTACAATGAATTTGGATACTAATTACACATTATATGCCTATCTCTTCTTCACACTCATAACCATCTTCCTTCTTCACAAACTCTTCAGCTCCTCCTCTAGCCGCCGCGACAATCTTCCTCCAGGTCCGCGAGGACTTCCGGTTCTTGGTCATATGCATCTTCTACGATCAAGCATCCCTCGTTCTCTACAAGCCTTGGCTCACACGTACGGTCCACTCATGACCATACGCATCGGATCACTACAAGTCCTCGTCGTCTCAGATTCCGACACAGCTAAGCAAATCCTCAAAACTCACGACGCTGATTTCGCTTCCAAGTTCGTGTTTGGTCCTAGACAGTTCAACGTCTACAAAGGAGCAGAGTTCTTCAACGCCCCTTATGGACCTTACTGGAGGTTCATGAAGAAGCTATGCATGACTAAGCTATTCGCTGGTTATCAGCTCGATCGGTTCGTCTATATAAGAGAGGAGGAAACGTTGGCTTTGCTGAGATCTCTCGTTGAAAGATCGAGCAATGGAGAGGCTTGCGATCTCGGTTTGGAGTTCACTGCTTTGACTACAAGGATCTTGTCAAGAATGGTTATGGGGAAACGTTGTCTCAAAAACTCGAATCTTCCCATAGAGATCAGGAAGATCGTCAGTGATATAATGACTTGCGCCACAAGGTTCGGTTTCTTGGAGCTGTTTGGACCACTTCGTGATTGGGATGTGTTTGGGAATGGTAAGAGGCTTAGATCTTCCATTTGGCGGTATGATGACTTGGTTGAGAAGGTACTAAAGGAATATGAAGATGATAAGAGCAAGAATGAAGAAGAGAAAGATAAAGATATCGTTATTAATATCTTGTTGGACACGTAGCATGACCCTAAAGCAGAACTCAAGCTCACTATGAATCAAATCAAATTCTTCATTCTTGTAAGCTTTTTTTTTCTTGCCCTTTCTTTTTTATATTAGTCCTTTTAAAAATATTTTTGTACATTCATTACAGGAGCTGTTCATGGCGAGTCTAGACACAACTTCTGCAGCTTTACAATGGACAATGGCAGAGCTAATCAACCATCAAGATTGCTTGACAAAGATCAGAGACGAGATCAAATCGGTTTTAGGAACAAACACGCATCGGTTAATCAAAGAATCAGATTTGAAGAAGCTTCCTTACTTACAAGCAGGTATCAAGGAGGCATTGAGACTTCATCCAGTGGAGATCAATGGGTACGATGTAAAATCAGGGACAAAGATCTTTGTAAATGCTTACGGGATAATGCGTGATCCAACCACATACAAAGATCCTGACAAGTTTAGACCTGAGAGGTTTCTTGTGGTGCAAGAAAACACAGAGAGAAAGATTGGTTATTACCAGCAGCAATATATGTTGGAACTAAAGGGACAGGATGTGAATTATCTTGCGTTTGGGAGTGGAAGAAGAGGATGTCTTGGAGTTTCTCATGCTTCTCTTCTTTTAAGTCTCACTATCGGATCACTTGTGCAGTGTTTTGATTGGAAAGTGAAAGGGGACGAAGACAAAATCAAGATCAAGATCAAGTTACCTAATGGGTTTTCGGCTTCAGGCACCGCAGGAGGAAGTTCTCTTATGTGTTCTCCTGATTTGTATTTTGATCCATTCGGAAACCAAACTTAGTAAATTCTCTGTAGAGAAAACATCATTAGAAATTTAGAATCACCTTATAGTTTGCTCTATTTTGTGCTCTCTTTTCATAAACTTCAAACTTGTGATGAAGAATAAAAATATTTCAGTCTTGTATAATGATCACACATACGTATAGATTTGTTCCATTGCTTTTGGTTGCGATGATACAATGTTTTGAGTTATGAGTGAAGAGAATTGCGAAGATGATGGATGGAACATGAGGCGTGGAGGAACCTGCTAAACGAGAGAGAGGGTGTTGTTTTGTCACACTTGTTCTTGCTCAAAGTCCCACATCGCTAACACAATAAGAATGCAGGAAAAGAGAAGGAGTATAAATAAAGGAGCTACAAATCTATTTATCTCATACCTTTCTCGGCCTTTTGGCTAAGATCAAGTGTAGTATACCATTGGATTTAGCTCGATATTAACTCTATTTTTTTTAGGGAGAAAGTACATCAGATAGCTTGCTATCAGTGCTTTCTGAGAGTTGCTCATGTGTTGCACTATTACATGAGTTTGGCTCATCCCACCAATTATTTAGTTTAACTTTTTAGCTTAACTTTTCTGTCGGTCCTAATTGAATTTCTCATAAAATTGAAGTGCCCTTTCCTAACATTTACGTATCTGATGAGCTATTCGATTTGGGTCCAAACCATGTGAACCGTGCTTCCTTCATATCTGAAAAATCCACAGGAAATTATAGGTGTAGAAACCGTAATAATTGAGACGTACTTGTTATATGGTATGTTTATATTTTGTATCAGTGAACTATTGTGTGGTGTCCTATTTCACAAGGTTGTTGAGAGGCTAAAACAAGGAAAGGGAATAAGTTAAAACAGTTCTTGGCCATGTACTCAAGTGTTGATTGGCTGAAATATGAGACTGTATAGTTTCTTAATTTGTAATAAGAGAAAGAACCCGTGGCGGTAGCTACATCTTGAGCAATGCTGAATTGACTTCGGATTCATCAAACTGTGGAAAACTTCGGTACGCCTCCCACAACCACCAGTCCAGATTCCTCTTTTCCAATCTTCACTTTATTTTGGTACAAAGCCTTTGAAGCAATTACATTTTGGAGGAACGGACATCACACACAACCCAAAAGGTCCACATACACCATCATCACATAAGTTCACTGGAGCCTCAAAGTATAACTCCCAGTCAGTCCCATTATACAGAGGAATCTTCAGTGAGCCCCTCTGACTTGTTGGTGTTATAGCTGCATAGGCATAGCTAAAACTTAAGAGCAAACCTTGTCATTACCATGTGCGTTTCTTGTGTCTCCAAGAACGACCTCCTTCTGATTAGTCAATAAGAACCAAGAAAAGAAACTCCGGGAACTTATGATACTATTCTGAATCACCTATAAACAATGTTGACCAATGACCACATCGTACTTATGTTCCAAAATTCTGCATTACTTTATTCAGGATCAACTTAAGCCTCTGATTAAATAATACACAAAGTCATTGTCAAGAAGAAGTCTCACCTGTTACCCAATCAGCAACGTTTGACCTCATTATATAGCAACATTGTCGTCTTCATGTCCTTTTTAGCCTCGCTAAGTCCAGAACAAGTGAAAGACATACTCTGCATCAATTGAAAGATGAAAACTGAAAAGATCATGTCGTTTCTATTTCTTTGTCAGCTTTTCTCAGAACTTGTGAAAGAAAGATCATATGCATCAATGGAAAGATAATTATATTAATCAATCAGAACACATGCACATACCGTTCAGAGACCGATACTACACATGCAAGTATGTACGCTGATTTCAACAGTTGGTAAAACGGTACTCAACAACTTTTAGTCTTTTAAGCTTTTAACAGAAACAAAACACTACTTCACGAACCTCTCTTATCAAATGTATTAAGAAATATGAATAAATGTTGGAAGACTTGAAGTTATCAACAATGCAAATTTGTTCACTTTAACTTACAGGACTACAAATGAACAATCCACACGCTTGAATTCTACAAGTACTCCATCGAGCATCGTTTCTTAGCGCCCTTCGATCACAGATTGTGTAATCTCATTGACGGTGATCAAACCCTGGGATTCTTCAACTCTCGTGTGCACTACAAATGTGGGTTGTTTTGGCGAAGGAAGATCTGATTTTGTGGTGAGCATAGACAGCAACTCAAGTGTGTTGGGTCTGTCTGCAGGTTGGTGTTGAACACAAAGCAAGCCAATCTGAACACACCTTCCAACTTCAGACTGGTGACATGAATCAGCAAGATCTTGATGCAAAAGACCAACTCCTCCATTTTCAGACCAAGATTCCCACGCCTGATGTTTAGTTTCAAAGTTTAGAACATATGAGCAAGAAACGTTGTGAAATATATGCATATGAAACCCTAAAGTCTTACTCACATATGCAAGAAGTGTTTTCTCTTCTTCGCCATAGCTGAATCTTGAGATCTTCTCCCCGCTGATGATTTCTAAAAGTAGAACTCCGAAGCTGTAGATGTCATTTCTCAGAGAACATCCCAGTCCATGCATACTCAGGAGACATATATCCTCTGTGCAAACATCAAAAAGTTTCATCCAAATATATGATTATGAATCTTGTTGTTAAGCATGTTTTTAGAGATAGATTCTTACAGAGTTCCTACAACCCTGCGAGTCTTGTCCTGATATTCAGTTCCTTGATACATCCGAGCCAATCCGAAATCTGATATTTTTGGGTTCATTTTCTCATCTAGAAGAATATTGCTAACCTTCAGATCTCGGTGAATGACCTTGGGTGTGAGTCACGGTGGAGATAGAAGAAGCTCCACGCGCAATGCCTTGAATGATATTCAATCTCTTTGGCCAATCAAGCTCAAGCCTTTTTGTTGAATCTAAGCAATAATACCGTGTAAAATGTCAGGAAACTGTTGTACACAGAGAGAAAAACTTTAATGAGATTTCAACGAGGCAGAAGGGACCAACCAAAGAGAAAGGTATCAAGGCTTTTGTTTAACATGAACTCATAAACTAATAGCCTCTCTTCTCCTTCAATGCAACATCCCAAAATCCGAACTAAGTTTTTGTGTTGTAGTTTTGAGATGAGTACTATTTCATTGGTGAACTCCTCTTTGCCCTGCCCCGAGCTGCTAGAAAGACGTTTTACAGCAATTTCTTTCCCATCTTGCAGCTTTCCCTGAAACAGATTGCAAAAGGTCATCCCGAGAACATAAACAAGAGAATACACATGAGCAGAGAGGATTGAAAATTCTCAAACCTTGTAAACTGAGCCAAATCCACCTTGTCCGAGTTTATTTGAGAGGCTGAAATTATTGGTGGCAGTTTGAATTGTATGCATCTCAAAGAAGTATAAACCTGAGACATCTTGTGGTTCCATATCATTTCTCCATGCAACTTTTGAAGCATTCTTTGATATATTAGCTGAAAACAATGTGTTGCCATTATCAGTTTCAAGAATAGATAATAAGGTAATCATTGTGTTACCATTAGCAAATGAATACAAAACAAGAAATAGATAGAGATAGTGAGATCATCAATGTGTACCATTATGTTTCACTCTGTATCTCCAGAAACCAAACGCAGCCGAAACCCAATATCACAAAAAGAGAAAGGCTCACAACGCTAGCAGCAATGGTCTTGTTGCGCTCATTTCCACCTGAGATACATAAGACGGAAACAAATTAAACATTAAGCAATGCTACTACCAAAAAAATATCAATGGAGCCTGAAGATAAAGTTGTGAAAATATATATGTTATTTTATACACCCATACCTAGTTCAGAGCGTGCAAGACGAATGGAAAGAATCTCTCCTCCTTTAGAAACTTGCATTACATCCATTAGCTCCTGCTTCCAGATTAAGCACCCTATTCCACGGATATAAGCAAAGGCCAAGCAAGAACAATTTTGGAGGCAGCCTCGGTAGCAATCTTCAGCATTTCCAGAACTTGCCACAAATTCATAAAAGTCTGGAGGCTTTATGTTGGCAACTGCATGGAAGACGTTTGCATCTTTACCAGTAGAGTTTCCTTGACAATGTAGTTCGGTGCGTCTCACACAACCATCAGTCCAGTTTCCTCTTTTCCACTTCTCAACGTCTCTTGGCACAAACCCTTTGAAGCATTTACATTTTGGAGATGCTGACATAACACACAATCCAAAAGGTCCACATACACCGTAAGAATCGCATGAATTGGCTGGAGCTCAGTGATTACTTCCCAGTCTGTCCCACTATGATGATAGCTGTTCGCTGATCCCTCTGATGTTATCACTATCCGTGCACGTTTGAAGTTTCGCGTAAGTAATTGAAGGACACTGACCCGTTTGCGTCCTGCTCAAGGCTGAATGGACTTGTATATGTTTCATCCATTGCGGTATCCCAGTGAACCTTGTTTTAGCCCATGGACCGCTTCTCCAGTAAGGCGTCGAGCCTCTCATAGTAATCGCCTGTGATGGCACTTGCGGTGTAATCTGAAGCACAAAGTCGCCAGGCGATGGATCAGTGTCACTTTTCCAACAAGTCAACACACGGTTCTTACTAGTGTCGAGGTTATACATCAGACTTGAGTACGGGAGCATAGTATCACCAGGATGCTCAAAGCTTTCCCATATAATTCCTTCCCGAAACATTGTCTTTGACAATAAGATTTCCAGTGTCTGAAAGCTCTGCACGAGACCCGTTAGATGCAGAAGTTTCTCTTGGCAGACCACACAACGCCACGTTTCCCATTATAAGAGAAGGCTTCCATTGCTGCTGATGGTGAGTCTTGCCGTGGGGTCTGTGACAGGGCTTTCTCTGTTGGCCACCCACACAACCGTCCGGGGAGTGATATCCTTGAACCAGATTCCAACATATAGATTCTGGGAGTTATTAGGACTGAAGAACCCCAGTTCATAAACTCCATTAGGGGAGCTGAGTGTTTGTCCTATTGACAAAGGATTCTCTGTTGTAATCCCTGCAAAGCAAAACTTTAAGAAGATGGTAAATAAGAGCAATGAAGCAAAGAAAACGATCCTCTTCTTCCTCATCTGTGTTTTTTCTTTCCAATAACTATCTTCTTGAGATGAAGTTTAAGAAAAAAAATCTCAGAGACTTGTGAGAACTATTTCCAAACACTTATAGATAAACAACGTTGAGCTTAGTTTATAATACAAAATTAATCAGTACTTAGGTAATTGCCACGAAAAAAAAGTTCGGAATTTCACCATGTCAATGACGCAAATTGTCATTTTCACGTCTCTATTAGCTTGTTGGGCCTAGAACCACTGAAAGATAGGCACCTATCTATTCTCTGCAATCTGCATCTATCGAAAGATGAGAAGATTCACAGTTTGACCTAAAGAATCCAACATTTGACATTGTCAACCACGCACTGATTGACCTAAGATCTTTCTTAGTGGTTTTTGGAATCTTTCTTTCACCCTCACAAGTCACAACACGCTTTAAACGTTACAGGGACAACTCTCTAGAACTAAGACTAGAGCCGTGAGAGAAATGAATGATGTACATACCTTATTCTGATTTACAAGGTAAATTTTTGAAACGTTAAATCTCTTTCTGGCATTTCACCGAACACTTAGAGCGCGTAACCCAAACGTCCGAAGACATTCAGTTCCAAGCTTCGCAGAAGTCGCTGGACCGATTATCTATGGCCGTCACTATCTGGGCTTAAGTGATAATGCCAAAAGGAGCGGACTTGAACATTCAACATTACTGGCAGTGTCACACCAGCGAGAGCCTAACTTGTCAGACGCGAGGAAGACAGCGTACACGTACACACCAAATCTGTTCGACTTGGGTCAACTCTAGACATGGGCCCGTTCGTTTTGGGCCTAGTCAAATTTAATAGACAAGTAGTTGGGCTCAGTTGGCTATAAGGCCTGTGTTACAAGTTATCCTCGTGTCTTGTCTCACAAGTTATGCTCTCGCTCTTGACAGTGACACCGTAATGTCGAATGTTGAAGTCTCCTATTTCTGTAAGAATCAATTAAGTGTATATAGTATCGGCCATCATACTTCCATTAAATACTATCGGTCCAGCCAGTGCCGTGAGTTTTAGGGTTTCAAAAGTTTAGGAGGAACCTTGTAAATCATTAATGTAAACTGTAGATGTTTAACATTTCAAGCTGAACATGGACAATTGGACATAACACAATATGTGTTCCATCTGATGTCAATCGATGCGTAGTTGACTAGGTCAAACGTTGGACTCTTTTATGTCAAAACTGTGAATTGTCTCATCTCTCATTGGTTCTCGGCAGTGCCGTCCCTGACAATACACGGGCCGCAAGCTCAAATCAATTTTGGGCCTGTGAAAAGTAAGTTAAAAAATCGAAAGTTCGAATAAGCTGAGTAGGATTCGAACTTTGTACCATTTACAAGGCTATGAGTGTGCTTAACCAACAGACCTAAAGGAGATTCGATAGAAATTGCGGCCGAAATTTTACTTATTGTACACAAGGCCGCAAGCCCTGCTTGCTCAGCTTGCTCCCAGGGCCGGCTCTGGTTCTCGGTCCAACTAGCTAATAGAGAGACATGAAAATGACAATTTGGCGAAATTCTAAAATTTTTTGAAATTTATTTCTTTAGTACAAGTAACTAAGGCTTCAGTTGGTTGAGTTTTGTTTAAATCTGAAGAATAGGAGAGGGAAAAAAAAACAAGGAGAAGAAGAGTGTCGTGGTCTTTGCTTCACAGCTCTTATTTTCCATCTTTTTAAAATTTCAGCTATGCAGATGCAGCTATAACGCCAACAAGTCCTTTGTCAATAGGACAAACTCTCAGCTCCTCTAATGGAGTTTATGAACTGGGGTTCTTCAGTCCTAACGACTCCGAGAATCAGTATGTCGGAATCTGCTTCAAGGGTATCACTCCCCGGACGGTTGTGTGGGTGGCCAATAGAGAAAACCCTATCACAGACTACACAGCAAAACTCACTATCACCAGCAGTGGAAGTCTTCTCTTACATAATGGCAAACATGGCGTTGTGTGGTCCATCAGAGAAATTTCACACGTCGGAAATCTTATTGTCAAAGAGAGCATCTCAAGAAACACTCTATGGGAAAGCTTTGAGCATTTTGGTGATACTTTGCTTCCTTTTTCTCCCCTCATGTATAACCTCAACACTAACGAGAGAAGAGTGTAGACTTGTTGGAGAAGTTACACTGATCCATCGCCTGGCGAATTTGTTGCTCAGATTACACCGCAAGTGCCATCACAGTTGTTTACTTACGAGAGGCTCCATGCCTTATTATAGATCCGGACCATGGGCTAAAACAATGTTCACAGGTATACCGAGAATGGATGAAACATTAACAAGCACATTCATCATTCAGCAAGATGCAAATCTCGGGTCCTCCTCTTATATAAGCAGAAACTTAAAGCTCTCACGTTTGGTTTTAACCTCAGATGGCTTCTTGAAGAGGTTTCAGCATAGTGGTACCGACTGGGAATTAACCTATGACTATGAGTCTCCAGCTAACTCATGCGATCATTATGGTGTATGTGGACCTTTTGGCGTGTGTGTCACGTCAGCGTCACCAAAGTGTAAATGCTTCAAAGGGTTTACACCAAAACACGTTGAGAAGTGGAAAAGAGGAAACTGGACTGATGGTTGCGTAAGGCACACGGAATTGCTATGCCAGAGAAACTCTACTGGTAAAGATGAAAACATCTTCCATCAAGTTGCCAACGTAAAGCCTCCAGACTTTTACGAGTTTGTAATCTCTGTGGATTCTGAAGACTGCAACCGAGGCTGCCTCCAAAATTGTTCTTGCTTGGCCTTTGCTTATATCCGTGGAATTGGGTGCTTAATCAGGAATCAGGAGCTGTTGGATGTAGCGCAATTCTCTAAGGGAGGAGAGCTTCTTTCCATTCGTCTTGCACGCTCTGAACTAGGTGTAGGTTAAAAAAAATAACACAACTTTATCTTCAACTCCATTGATACTTTTTCTTTTTGCTTATTGTTTAGTTTGTTTTTGTCTTATATATCTTAGGTGGAAATGAGAGGAACAAGACCATTGCTGCTAGTGTTGTGAGCCTTTCTCTTTTTGTGATATTGGTTTATGAATATATGGTGAACAAAATCCTTGACACTTTTCTCTTGGTTGGTTCCTTCTTTTGCCTCTTTCCCTTTCTATTAGTAGCTTCTACATGGAACTGTTTTATCTGATATATTTTTGCTTAGATTCAAGAAAAAGGCTTGAGCTTGATTGGCCAAAGAGATTTGATATCATTCAAGGTATTGCACGTGGACTTCTCTATCTCCACCGTGACTCACGCCTCAAGGTCATTCACCGAGATCTCAAGGTCAGCAATATTCTTCTGGATGAGAACATGAACCCGAAAATATCAGATTTTGGATTGGCTCGGATGTTTCAGGGAACTCAAAATCAGGACAACACTCACAGGTTGTAGGAACTATGTAAGAATTAGTATTCAATATGCTTTAACAAGATTCATTAGTCATAAGCAGAAACTTGGCTGAAACTATTGATGTATTTACAGTGGATATATGTCTCCTGAGTATGCATGGACTGGGATGTTCTCTGAGAAATCAGACATCTACAGCTTCGGAGTTCTTCTCTTAGAAATCATCAGCGGAGAGAAGATCTCAAGATTCAGATATAATGAAGAGTGTAAAACCCTTCTTGCATATGTAAGTAATACGTTACGTGTTTGATACGTTTGAAATTGTTTCTGCTCCTTATATTCTGAGATTACAACAGGCGTGGGAATCTTGGTGTGAAACGGAGGAGTTGATTTTCTGGACAAGATCTTGCTGATTCATTACCATTACAAGTTGGGAGATGTGTTCAGATTGGTCTGCTTTGTGTTCAACACCAACCTGTAGACAGACCCAACACACTTGAGTTGCTGTCTATGCTCACCACAACAACAGATCTTCCATCACCAAACAACCCACATTTGTAGTGCACACTAGATGTGATGAATCCACGTCTAAGGATTTGATCACTGTCAATGAGATTACACAATCTGTGATCCAAGGTCGTTAAGAAAAACGATGCTTGCTGGAGTAATTGTAGTATTGAAAGTGTGTTATAGATTGTTCTCCAAAAAAAATCAAGGTGGATAATTAATGATTATAAAATTTTATAGCTCATCATAACTGTAGAAAGTTATATGTAAGTAACTAACTAACTACTGTCACGTGATTATACAAGATTGAAACTTATTTCAACATAAGGAGATTAACAACATCACATCATTGGTTTTCACCTTTTTCCCATTGATAATAAGAAAAGATTGATGAGTAGACTGACTAGTTAGTAGTGGCTAACACTGGAATTAAAGAAACCAGTTGAAATGAAGCTGAACTGATAAACCAAGTATTTGTTTATGTGACATAACAAAAAAAAGTTTCGCAAAGAAAAAACAAAGAAAGCTCAAATAGAACGAAAACGAAACCAACCATTGAGGTGTCTACCGATTTGATGACACTCAACAGAAATTGTGTGTCTGATTTAATTATACATAAAGAATAAGAATGCAAAGAGTTTATTTCGCCGAAGAGTTGATAATATGATTAGCTTCATAGCAGATTCATCTACAAAACACAAGATTAAAAAGGAAGTGGTAAGAATTGTCCAACATCAGAAGTTTGGAAGATTTGTGGACAGTATATATAATATATGACAATCCTCCACTCTTGAGCTAGCTTTTGAAACTTGTGATATCACTACAGAATTGGATTAGTATTTTCTTAACTTAATTAGGAGCCATTTGTGTCATTTGGAGTGCAAAATATGTTCACGTTTTGATTATTACAAAAATTGACTTGATTATTAACTAAACTTGTTAAATTCCTTTTTGAAAGATGCATATGCCAATACACATAAAAGTGCCATGGTGAGAAACTGTGTTGAAGAGATAAAAGGAATTGTTAAATTCTTTTCTGAAAGATGCATGCCAATAAACATAAAAGTGTCATGGTGAGAAATTGTGTGGAAGAGATCAAAGGAATTGTTTGTGATGCAGAAGATACAATCGAAACCTTTCTAAAAACATATCAAAAGTATTAAGTATTGTTTGTGTTATTCCGGATCGTAGGAAAATTACAATAGATATTAGAGGCATAAGTAGGAGTATCTCCGAGGTGATTAGTGTTATACAAAGTTTGTTCTATTGTATGGGTCGGCTGCAAGAGAAAATTAACAAACAGTAACCATAATATAAGCAAAACATATGCAAATTATAAGCAAAAATTATAATATATGGTTTATAGATGATTTTATTAAATACATTTCATGGTTAGGATTTTATCACCTATTACCTTAACAGGTGAAAGTGTTATTGATTAAGTTATTTGTTTTTAACGTACGGTTGCGTGTTTGCGGCTCCTCCACTAGTATTCTTACAATTTAACAAAAAATATTTCATTGGACAAAACGTACATAGTGTCAAACTGTCAATAATCAGTTTAGTCACAGTAATTAGATCGGTTAGTTAAATCGGTTAAGTAGACCAAGAAGAAGAAGATGTGCCAGTTTTGTGTTCCTCCACGGCTAATTTCGTCTTCTTTGATTCTTTTGTCTGCTTTTTAGTGAGACATTATCCTTGTATTACAAAATGAAATAAAATCCGTAGACTGAAAATTTGACAAATAAATTGCAGAATAAAACTAAGGGTACAAAAAATTCTGATTGCATAACACTTCTGAAGTAATAAAATGCTACAAAACTTAATAGTACTTACATGATTACATCTCTAATATTTAAATTTAGTTTTACACATTCTAATTTGATGTGGTCAAATTCACGTGTAAAGAAAAATTAACTTGCAAGTTTCAAGCAATAATAAAACAGATCATTTTGAATTATCCAGACACTACGAGATCAAAGACAAAGCAATCACAAAACGCTAACAAAGGAATCAGAATTCTTTACGCACTCAGCTAAAATCTTTACCTCTAACCCATGTTTTTCCCCAAGAAAGTGACAATGTTTTAGTACTCAAAGATCTTACCTTGCGTAGATTTTGGGTTTGAAATAGTGAATGCCTCCTATTGATGATATTGTTATTAGACTGATGAGAGAAGAACAATTTAGTGTACTCATCAGAACTGATTTACATGATACGTGTATTTATATAGTGGAATGATAATAATCACAATTAACCTACGTTTCCTAATGTAGACATATGCGTATAATTAAAATAATAATTACAAAAAATATTCAAAGATATCATGGATCATTCTGGATCCTTCTAAAATTGTTTTCTTTATTTCAAGTTGAATGATTTTGTCAACAATGGCATCATGTAAAAATGGTTTTTCTATTACCGTTTGTGCTGTGTGACAAAGTAATTGAAAAAAAAAGAGCTATTGAAGGTGTCAACGTTTGACCACATCCCGTTAGTCAACCTTGTAATCCCCGTTAACGGCAGTGACTAAGCCGTCACATCATCTGCTCCGTCGGAACGGAGGTCGAAAAAGACGTCGTTTCGTCGAAACGTAAACGGAAATTGAAATCGCGGTTTTGACTCGATTTTCCGGTTCGTAAAACTGAACCAGGAATTTCGATTTAATTTAGAAACAAGAAGTTTGAAATGACGTCGTTTTGCTTCGCAACAAAAATGTAATTCGAATAAACGGTTTTGTAGTTCGTACCCGGTTTACTCAAATTAATCAGTGAAATTAGCTTCGGTTGTTAACTTATTTTAAACCTAATGGTTTTAAACGACGCCGTTTTTACTCTGAGACAACTTTTCTCCTCTTTAGCGACAATTTGGAAGTCGAGTATGTGTATTTTGTGAGTAGGTTTCGTTGATTCAGCTACCAATCGAAGGAATTGTGATTCTGTGTAAGTGTGGATTCGATTTCGATTTAGCAATGAGGTAAGCGTAAAAAGTTTGGCTTTTGTTTATCATCTCGAATTCTTAGTAATGATGGGAATTGTTTAATCAGAGGTCAGATTTTCTTAATGGATATGAATTGGCAGTAGTGATTGGCTCTCTGATTTTGTCTATGCTTTGACTCAGCTTTTTTTTTAAAACCATTGACATTTAAAATTGGCAACTTGAAGAGAGAGAACTCTATTGCTATTAAACTGATAAAGAAGAATAGAGATAATCATACACTAACCCAGAAACACTTGTATAACCATGAGAATGGCCAAGAAGATTTCTTTACTGATTTTCTGTCTTCACTTGTATAAACTCAGTCTATAGGGTCTCTATAGGAGCTGCTCTTCTTTTGTTTAGCAGTTCTATTACTTGCGGAGCAAGAAATCTTATTTTGAGTTTCATTTCTTTTATTTCTTGCAGGGCAAGAAACTTACTTCAACATTAGGAGAAAGTTTTTGAAATGAAGCTGAACCGATAAACCAAAGTATTTGTTTACCAACATAACCAAGAAAAAAAGGTTTAAAAAAGGAAAAACAAAGAAGCTCAAACAGAACGGAAAAGCAACAAACCCATGAGTTATCTACCGTTCTGATACAATATTAATTAGGAATTATCGAATAAGATGTGTATCATCACACAAACAAAGAAACAAGAATGCAAAGAGTTCATTTATTACCTTCAGTTCAAAATATAGCAGAGGTCATATGATGACATCAAACCGTAACCGTTTTTAAACCGTAACCGGACCGTAACCGTATAAATTGGTTAAAACCGTAACCGTCAACCGTAAAAAAATATTAGTTATGGTTAAAAAAATATTAACCGTAACCGCTATTTAACCGTAACCGTATAAAAACCGTTGGTTAACCGCAAGGTTAAACCGTTTAATTTTAACCGTAACCGTCTAAAATATTATATTAAATAAATAAAAAAATTAGCTATGACATGGAGAAATTAAATTTATAAAAATAAACTTGAATATTATATTGTGATAAGTTTAGTTAAATTCAAAAAGTAAAATCTAATTAAAATATAAAATATAGTATATCCGTTAAGTAATAAGATTATTAGATAAAAATGATTTTGACTATGGTTAGAGGCAGCCGTTTGATTCAAATTGTTTTGAAATTTTCCAAAAGATTTTATCAAGTTTGTTTCCACCTTTTTAGTAACAAATAAAGACGTTGTCCACCTTTGTAGTAACCACGTAACCAACGTTATTATAAATATGTGTGCATGCATGTGCTAAGTAAACTGATCACTCTCACAATCACAACAAATATTTACTATTATCTCTTTTATTATTCTCGACTCTGCTTTTTTTTCTTGCTATTAACAATGTCTTCAGGTTCATTTTTTTCAAATGTGGACGTTGAGAGAGAAGGTGCTGCCATACCAACCATCAATACTCAGGAAAGTGCAACTCAGGAACAAGCTAGCATAAACGTGGAGAGACAACGTTTGAATGCTTCCGACGTTTTTAAGGTACACTTTCGAAAAGAAAAAATTAATGGTATAATGAAAGCATGTTGTAACTATTGCGACAAAAAGTTTTTTTGGAAATCGGGTTCAGGGTATGGTTCATATAAATATCATTTGAAAAAGACTCATCCTGAAAAATTTGGTTTAGAAACCAACCAAGATCCTCATGCTAGTTCTTCTAATCTTTCATCTTTTCGTTATTCAGATAAAAAAAATAGAGAGGAATTAGCAAAATGTGTTGCAGTTGACCATCTTTCATTTAGCTTTGGTGAAAAACTGGGTTTTAATAATTATTGCAAAAATGCTTTAAATCCTCAAGCTAAAAGAGTTCCCCGTACTACTCTTACTCGTACTTTAAAATCACTTTATCGGAAATCAAAAAAAGATTTACAAAACTTATTTTCTAGTTTTCATAATAAAGTTTCAATATGCTGTGATATTTGGAGTGATCATTGGCAAATTCATTATTATATGGGTATTACATGTCATTGGATTGATAGTGATTGAAATATTCAAAAAAGAATTATTGCTTTTCGAGTTTTTGATGAAAGACATACAGCTAATAATATTTTTAAATTAATAAAAGTTATTTTAGAAGAATATAATTTAACATCCAAAATATTTTCTATTTCATTTGATAATGCATCAGCTAATACAGCTTCACTTGATGAATTAATAAATAATTGTAATCCTATTTTAGGTGGAAAGTATTTTCATGTTCGATGTATTTGTCATGTTTTGAATTTATGTGTTCAAGATGGTTTATTAGTTTCTCAAAGTAATATTATTGCACCAATAAAAAATGCTTTAAATTATTTGTGGGGGCATCCACAATTAATGAAACAATGGTTTTCATTTTGTAAAACTCATAATGCATCTCCCAAAAGGTTTTCTCGTGATGTCCCTACCCGTTGGAATTCAACTTATGATATGCTTGTAGATTCAATTGGTTATAAGGATTTATTATGTAGTTTTATTCAACAAAAATGTATTTCTTTAACTTTGTGGCCTACTCATTGGGACGAATGTGCTGCACTTTTAAAATTATTAAAATGTTTTAATGATGCAACATATTTATTATCTGGTGTTTATTATCCTACTGCTCATTTGCTTTTATATGAATGTGTTAATATTGCTGATGTGATGCATGCACATGAACATGATATTGTTTTGTCATCATGTATTAAGAGTATGAAAGAAAAATGGTTAAAATATTATAAAGAAATTCCACCTCTTAATTTGCTTGCATCTATTTTTGATCCTAGAACTAAATTGGATGGTTTAAATGAATATTTATCTACATATTATGAGTTATTGCATTTGTCTGAAAGCATTAATATTCCAAACATTATTTCAAATTCTAAAAAAGATATAGAGACTTTGTATGATGAATATTATAGAGTATATAAGCATCTGGCACCACAAATGGATGAATCATCTGTACAAAATGACATGTCCTCAACATCTTCACTAAGTCTTGCAGAAAGGATGCGGAGACAGAAACGACAACGACCATCACAAGGTAATAATTCTGAACTTGAAAAATATTTATCTACTAACTTTGAGTTTAGTGATGCAGATGCAGGTAATAACTTTCAAGTCATTCAGTGGTGGAAGTATCATCAATCTCATTATCCCATTTTAGCTATGATAGCAAAGGACATTTTCTCTTCACCAGTTTCTACAGTTTCTGTGGAACGGGCTTTTAGCATGGGAGGTCAAATTTTAGACGAAACTCGATCAAGAATGAGTCCAGATTCTCTCGAAGCTCAAGCATGTCTTGATGATTGGACCAGAGCTCAATATAGACAACAAGAATACATCCGAGACAATGAAGAAGAGTTAGAAGATTTTGATAGTGATGTATCTTCAGTAAGATCCGAAGACAGTGACTAATATTTTTTTAAACTTTATTATTGTAATAAATAATTCTCATCATGAATAATTCATTTTTCTTTCAAAGTTTTATATACATTTATAATTATGTTTTAATTTATCTCTTTCATATATGTTAGTGTAAATTTTTACATTATTCTGTTTTTTTATAATATTTATTTAATCATAAACCGTAATATTAACCGTATTATAATTATAACCGTAACTAACCGTAACCGTACTAACCGGATTGATATTTAACCATAACCGTATTAACCGTATGTTAAATGGTTAAGGTTAAGGTTAACAAAATTTCTAACCGTAACCGGTGGTTAAATAACCTTAACCGTGATAACCATAACCATGGTCAGAAGAACTCGATTTTTGTTAAAGATGGTATCGATTTTCCCTTGATTTCAGTTTGAGTAATTGAATTTAGGGTTTGCTCACGAGAAAGAAAACAAAAAAACCAAAATTGGATTGCCGTGAAAAAATCCCAAGTCGCGAAACACAAATCATTTTTTTGAGGTTTTTCAGTTTGTAAAACGTCGTCCTCTTGATTAGATATCAAAGTTGAAGAAAAAAGAAAAAGCCCATGTATACCCACGGGTAAAATAGCCCACTTATTTAGAACCCATATTTTGTTTAATGGGTAGATAAATTAGGGAGAGACAAAGATTAGATGTGAAATTAAAGTCTTCCAAAATTAAAACGGTAGTTGTTTTGGAAACGCCAAAATCAGTTAAATAAGTAAACAACTAAAGTAACAAATAAAACATTTAAATTTTATGTTTTATGTTTACTTCATAACAACCTCAAATATCTATTTCTTTCAAAACACCACCGATTTTGAGACATGATACTCTCTATAGAGATACTTGTCTAAGAAAAGGTATTTCCTACTAAAGTAAGAACACATAATCAAATCACTTGTTTTACTTTTAAATGTGCACAATTAAAAGTAAAACATAAGTAAAACATAAGTAAAATATAAGCAAAAATAGTGCAAATACAAAATCAGACCTTTGGATTACTTATATCTCTCTATATCAAATGTAGAAGGACTATGGGGAGCGTTTGCCGAGAATTTCTAGAAAACTTTCTTCTATTGCTTTAGTCAAACAAATCTCTCTCATCATGTCATGGAGATAACAAGTTTCGTATCTCTCGGTTTCCACATGTCTTTGAGAAATAACAACATTTCTCCTTACCAACTCCTCCATGTATCCATCTCCAACATCTCTAATGCTTTCTCCTCCACTGTAATCCCTCAGTGATCCTTCAACTGCCCAGAAATAACACAGCTTCTCTACGTAGATGGTATGGTCTTCTGGAAAATGGGCCAAGTACAGAAAACAAGTCTTCAAACAAGCAAGGAGATCTTCATCAAACAAACAACTCATACACAACACATGGTGAATGAAACTCTTGTTGCTATCTTTGAACTTGTTTCTTCCCAGGATATGAGCCATAAGATTCTCACTTACTCTTTCCCAATCCTCCAATGTCTCTTTCGCGGCCAACAAACCTCCAAGAACTCTCAATGCCAAAGGCAATCCTCCACACTGATGGATCATATCCTTACCCATCTCTTCCATTTTCTCATCAACTTTCAACTCTGCACAACACCATCCCTCGGTAAATATAATGGTTCATAAAACAAACGATACTGCACATGCTTCATAAAACAAGTATACACAGTGGTTCATACGATACTGCACATGGACACATAAAACAAGGATACAGTTTGAGTACTCACCGGATGCATCATTCTTTTGGAAAAGCAATCCTTTGAAAAAGTTTCCAACTATCTTTAGTAGATAGGCATTCTGCTTTAAAGTTGAAACATGTAATATCTCCACGTGTTGTGACATTCTCATGTAATATACCCTCAGTGATCCTTCAACAGCTCAGAAATAATACAGCTTCTCTATGTTGAAGCAATCCCCCACAGTGTTTGATCATTTACTTAGCCATCTCTTCCGTTTCTCATCAACCTTCAATTTTACACAACATTTGCTCTCGGTTAAATGATACCACTGATGGTTCATAATACAAGTATAAAATTAACTGGTTTTGATAAAACGATATTATTACATGTGGAAAGATAAACTTGATATACAATGACTTAGTTTAATTATTAATGATCCAATAACCATTTGTTGCGTTAAACCCAAAAGGCTGTTGATGTTGCATAACATCATCACAAGGTAAATAAAACACAGCACATGGTTCATAAAACAAGTGTACAATTTAATTGGATGTATACTCTCATGTTGAAAGATAAACTTGATTTTGAGTAAATTTAATTATTAAGCTAATGATCCAATACATTGGGTTAAACAAAACTTTTTGATCCAATCTGATCCAAGTTTTAGAAGTTCTCCAAATACATTATTATCCCCTTCCAATAAAATCGGCAGACTGAAATTATCTCTAATATCAAAAAGTTTAATTTTACATATTCTAAGTTGATGTGGTCAAATTCACGTGTATGGTTTATTGATTAGTTTAGTCAGTAAGTAAAAAAAAAAAACTATTTTGTTTTTTTTTGCCAACAAACTACATACAGAAATATTAATTTCAAGCAATAATAACACCGATCACTTTTTTTTTATAATAAAACATTAGAACTGTTAAGGACAAATTTTGGCATTATATTGCAACGAAAGAGAGTAATAGACAACCCAAAAAAACCAAAAAACAAAGACACTGTCATGTCAATGTCACAAAAAAGGGGAAAAAAGACATTTGTCTACTACACAGATCATCATTCTACACTTAAACTTCATCTCCAAGCTTGTAGGAACTAAAAATGTTCGACCCTAAACTTCCACTCGCCATTAACAGCATCAAACGAAACAAACTTGGCTCCTTGTTCTTCAGCTTTCCTCTTAAGCATCTCCTTATACTTCTCCACTCTCGGACCTTCCTTCACTTGCTTCCCACTCTTCTTATCAACACACTTGATGTTCAGCAGAGTCACTTCCGCAGGCTTATTCAACCCTTCACCAACCGGCGGCTTCTTGCTCTCGTCCATGTACACAATCACCTCCCGGTTATTGAACTGAACCAGCATTTCCAAGTCGAGCTTACGCACGTCCGTCTCTCCTAGAAACCTTATGCTCCCGTAACCGTGTCTCCCAACCACAAAGTCCTTCACTCGCCCGCAGTAACCAGGATTCACCTTTTCCTTTGCGGATAGCTCTTGGATCCGAGGCTCTGTGAAATACTCGGCGTGGTGCAGCTTCGGCATCACTGACTCGACCTCTGCTACACTTGGTGAAGAACTGTTTCCACCGTTTTTGTTCTGTTTCTGATTGGCTTTGACTGGAGGAGGAGCTTCACGAGTTTCACCGTTACTCTCATGGTTGTCTCCATTAGTAGTAACCTCATCCGAAGTCTTACCTGAAAATTTCACATGTAAATAATCAAAATTCAACCACTAGATATACAATATATAAAGCCAATGATGAATTGTGAAATAAGAAAGCTTACCATTCTCTTGCAGAGGAGTCGGGCGATCCTTTGACGGTGTTGATTTCTCCTTATCAACTGGGCGTATGAACAAAGCTCTAGGGTTTTCTCTTGGAACGAAAAACGCATCAGCTTTTGGCGTGTTGGAGTTCTCTTCATCACTGAAGAATGGAACCTGAAAAAGACATTTACGAAACTTCACTAACAAGAAATATAAAGACTATGAATACAAAGCCAAACCAAAATTCAGAAAAATTGTGTACCTTTGGACTATCATCGCCAGGACGGTACTTTCTTGCAGGTAGCTGCTTGACACGTCTTTGTAAAAGGTGTCGAGAAGTCAAAAGTGGTGATACTCTCACAGGAGCGGATTTATCAACAACCTGAGAAAGAAAGAGAAGCATATGGGTTAAAGAACATTGAATCATCATCATTCACCGTTTCTATATGGCAGAGAGGAAGAATAAACTTACAGGCATGCTGGAGATTCCATACTGAATCGAAGGCGAGTTTCCACCTTGAGAAAGTGACATCTGAGGCAAAACAGGAAGAGTTCCAAACGGGTTTGCGATAGGGTTTTGTTGCACAACGGCAGAGTTACCCAACGGAGGCCTGTCAAAAAGAGAAAAGTTTTACTGGTAAATAAATTATCAAAAGGGAGAAAGAAGAGTAACGGAGACACTAATGTCAGAGAAGAACATACGTTTGCGCAAAGTTGCCTTGGCTAAAAGTTCCCAGTCCACCTGCTAAGCCATTTGTATTGGCTTAAGAACATAAAAACATACAAAGCGTTAGCTTCAAGAATCCAAAGATGATAATTGTTAAGGTGATTTGATTTGATTTAATTGACATACCTGCTTGCGTTTGGCCCAAGTTGCTGAAACTAAAAGCACCACCTGATGGTTGAGTTTGCTGAGTTGTGTTGAAACTAAAAGCACCACCTGATGGTTGAGTTTGCTGAGTCGATTGGTTGGGTTGCAAAACACCAGGCTACAAAACAAAAAGTAAACCAGTATTTAGAAATCCATGCTCAGAAGGCAGTGAAAGAGATATCAACTATGAAGGAAACAAGCATACAATTGAAAAGAAACTCACCGTTGGTTGACTGAAGGGAGATGTGTTTGTAGTCAAGGATGAGGAGCTTGAAAACATGTTTGAGAATCCAGTGGAAGGTGTACTGAAAGTGTTAGGTTGGGGAAACACAGGAGTGGTGTTCTGTGCAAACGGTGAACTAAACGCAGAACCAGTCTGCGCAAGTGAGGGGGTTGAGTTAAACAGCGGAGCTGACTGACTGTTGTTAAAGTTTCCACCCATGTTGAATGCTGAATTTGACCCCTGTGCAGGAGCTGGTGAACTAAAGAGTGATGGAGAAGAGTTAAATCCAAGATTGCTCGATGTACCAAACGGCTGTGTTGTGTTTGTTGGTCCAAAAACGGATGTGGCATTTGTTGATGCTGTTCCAAAAGGGGATGTGTTAGTGGGTTGGCTAAAGGGAGAGGAGAAACTCGGGGTATTATTAGTTGGAGTCTTCTGTGCGAAAGGGTTTGTGGCTCCTGAGTTTCCAAAGGGGTTCGTTGTGGCTCCTGGGTTTCCAAAGGGGTTCGTTGTGGCTCCTGGGTTTCCAAAGGGGTTCGTTGTGGCTCCTGGGTTTCCAAAGGGGTTTGTTGTATTCGCAGATGGCTGGTTAAACGATGTTGGCTGAGAGAATAAACTTGACTGAGAATTTGGTACACTAGCAGGAGCTTGTCCACCTGAAGATTGAACGACAAGAGAAGAATCAGTATTTTGATAGATAGATAATAAACACATAACCTTAAGACGAGTACATCAGATGGATTTGTTTGGTACAGTACCTTTATCTCCTCGCTGGTGGTCTTCCCATCTAAGCTCCTCATGGCATTTATCTTTGTACACAGTCATGGCAGATAAAGATAGTAGCTTAGTGCCACTGCCATCTGTGTCAGCTGTAGATGCATAAGGCATTACCCTACTACCCCCTTGTTGACCCCCAGAATTTGTCTGACCACCTGCAAAACAAAACATGTGAGCAAACTCCGATACAATTCACTTCTTAATCTGTAACTGAATAAGAGTGGCTGAAGAAGAACCTTGGTTTCCAAAGGGAGATTGTGTAGAACCACTAGCAAATGGTGAGTTATTCTGTCCAAAAGCTGGAGAGGAGCCAAAGCTGAATGATGGGGTGCTCGGTGCTCCAAAAGCAGGAGTGCTTTGTTGTACTCCAAACGCAGGACTGCTTTGTTGTGCACCAAACGCAGGAGTGCTTGATGCTCCAAAAGCATTTCCAGAACCAAAGGCATTGTTGCCAAATGCATTGCCAGAGTTACCAAATGCTGGAGTTGGTGAGGTGCCAAATGCAGGTGAGCTAGTGGCACCGAACGGATTTGTGCTTGGGGTACCAAAGGCAGTTGTGTTCGTAGTACCAAAAGCAGGCGTGCTAGAGGCACCAAAAGTGCTGTTTCCAAACGCAGGCTGTGATTGCTGTGTGTTGCTTCCGAAAGGATTTGCCTGAGGCGTTGATAAGCCAAAAGGTTTCTGTCCAAAAGTAGAAGTCCCTGTACGAGGAAAACGAAAACACTAGTCAGTCCTTGAGAGCAGAGAAAGAAACCAAACAGACTAGACTATATCAGGAGCTATAAAAGCGTCACTTACCACCAAAAGTTGAAGACGAATTGCCAAACGCAGGAGCAGAAGATGCTCCAAAGGCCGTAGTAGAGCTCCCAAACCCTTGTGATGAAGCACCAAAGGGAGAGGAAGCTTGAGGAGCACCAAACATACCGGTTGCAGTGCCTCCAAACATACCGGTTGAACTCTGTGCGCCAAAAGGACTAGCGTTATTGGTCTGACCAAACGCAGGCTGAGTCTGAGTCCCAAACGGACTGCTGCTGCCAGACGGCTGTCCAAAGAGATTACTAGTCGCGCTATTGGCCTGGCCAAACGCAGGCTGAGTCTGAGTCCCAAATGGACTGCTGTTAGATGGCTGTCCAAAGAGATTGCTAGTCGCGTTATTGGCTTGACCAAACGCAGGTTGCGTTTGCGTCCCAAATGGATTGCTGCTAGGCGACTGTCCAAAAGCTGTAAGGAAAAGTTAGGCAGGTAAGGTTAGCAAAAATCTAAGTTTGATCAATGAAACAGACCAAAAGCCAGAATAAAGAATGAATAAGGTTTAGGTAGGATCACTTACGATTAGAAGAGCCAAACATCTTGCTCTATATAATCAAGAATCCGGACTTAGCCAAGGGAATTGTTTCTTCTCGCCTGATACATCAAAGAGAGAAATATCATTAGCAATAGTAATTAGAAGAACCAAAAAGCAAACACCATTACAAATTTTGAATAAAAAAAAAGAATTATGTTTGTTCCTTAAACATGAACATGATTATGAGAAGAAGCAGCCAAATCAAATTGGTTCATGCGTGGATTAAAAGGATTTGAAACCAAAAATTGAAGCAGAAAATTCCAATCTACACCAACAATTAGCCACACAATTACTCGACATTGAACAAGGCAACAACAATCACAAGTCGCTATTCATAACCAGGAATCATCAAAACTGGAAATCGAGTGCTGAATCAAACTGACACTAATCGAAACATAATCAAATTCCTGGATCAAATCAAACAAACTACGCCTCTCGAGTAACAGAAAATAATCGAAAACTACAGAGACCAGAAGATTCGGTACTCGTTCGTCAGATATCGGAAAAAAGTAGGTTTCAGGCGTGAAACAGCAGAAACTGTAAAGGAAAACGATGTAATTCAACGAGAAACAAAAGAGGAATTAGAGAATAGAACCTGAAGGACGATACGGAATCGAGGGACACGGAGGTAGAGGGAGAGAGAGAGAGAGAGAGAGAGAGAGAGAGAGAGAGGCTGATATCTCGCCGGAAATTCGAAAGCTCGCCGGAGTTGGAAGCGTAAAAGTTTGGCTTTATTGTTAAAACGGGAAATATGAAAAAGTGGGGAGAGGCGGAGTGTATATAAACTGGCCTCGGTTGCGTTATTTTCAAGTGCGTGCGTCTAAACTAAGTCTAGCGTCTCTTCGACGCCTCTTGTGAACCGGACTCGATTGATCGATTCGACCAACAAAACCACGATTTCTGGCCGGTTGAGTTTTTTTCAAGCGCGTCTTGTCTACGTCTGGCGTCGAAGAGACGCCCCCTTGTAAACCCGATTTGATTGGTCGGTTCGACCAACACGACTATGATTCAGTATTGATTCTCTTCCTCGACCCGGTTCGAATTAAAATGTTATTTTTGAAAATAAAACTATTTGTTTTCTAATTTCATTTTATAAAATTATTATGAAGTAAAATAAAATCAATATATGTTTAGTTAAATACTAATTGTACTAAGAATTATTATATGATATATATGGGATTGGTTTGTGTGTATTAAAATATGTGATTGGTTTGTATAAGAATTTGTTTCACTTATGAAATAATTAAAAGTAATGGTGTTTTATGATTTTCGTAGTGTTAGGTTTAAAAGCCAACTATAGTGAGAACTGTTGTACGAAATCCGAGATTTGCTTGTTTATATTAAAGTTTATACTTCTTTTGTATAAAAAAATGAGTTTAACCCAAATATTTTTTTTTTTAATTCTTTCTTAGTTCAATAACACACAATCGTTGACATTGTATAATTTTGTGATACATTCCCATGAATTTGATTGATTGAACTGATTTCATGAATAAATCAAAAAGATAAATTGATATATATATATATATATATATACATATATTGTTTATTATTATATTTACTTTTATTTTAATACTATAATTTAACAAATATTTCTGATATTTTCCTTTAAATGAATAATATGTTTATCTTAAATTTGTGTGGTTATCTTATATTTAGAGAGTGTTCTCTCCTCTAAGGCTATCCACATCAGTCTAGCTTTATGAAGATAATGGATCACACATTTACTTACATTTCTCTAATTATATATAAGATTTAAAAAATATTTTTCTACATAACTTTAAAATTCAAAATATATAAATAAGAAAAAAATAACATGTTTAAAATAATATATAAGATAACATAGATTTTATAAGAGCTACAAATTAATAAAGATATTAAAATTATAAGTTTATTTGTAAATGTATATAATTTTTTTGAAAAGGTTTATAATAGAAATAAAAAGAATCATTATTAATGTCAAATTAAGTTAAGAGCACGGAAAACGGCTCAGACGACAAATGAAAACGTAGTTCAAAAAATTATTATTGAAAATGTTAGACGAAAAACGGCAAAGAGCACAACTCGAAAGCTGACTCAGATGGTGGTTGAGTGTAGATAAGAGTCGGACATGGCTCGGGATGCTGTTAATAAGAACTTTGACTTAGAAAATCAGAAGGTCGATGGTAATTAGAGGAAGTTCTAAGTTCATCAAACAACTGTTTTTTTTTTGTATTAGAAAGTTAATAACTATTCATGCAACTCGATGCAAGCCACTAGATATAAAAAGTATGAACATTTTTTATGTGAGTAGTTGGATTAATCAAAAATATAGCCACCAAAAGTTAACATAAAACCATCATTTGAATTTGAATTAGGGAGATACAGTTTAATGAAAAACCAAAATTAAAATCTTTTATGTTGTAACTATATATAAAAACCTTCTTTGGGGTTGAAAACATCCATAAAATCTTCTTTTGGCATAGATTGAGTAGGAAAAATAAGAACGTCTACAACAGAATTATAGAGCATAATAGTATCACTATCACATGTACAAGCTAAAGAGGTATAAATAAAATACAATGGTTCCACTTATAGATGCGCATGGTAACATCTTTTCTTACGTTTTAACGAATTGAAGCAGATAATCGAATATATTATTGGTGTTTTTTTCAGTTTATAATAGTATAGATATAGATAGCAAATCTGTAGAAATGAGCCGTCTCTTTTTGGGTTCCTTTTTGTTTCTTTATCTAACAAATGACTAGAAAGAAAATCAACAACATACGATGAACAACACGCAAGAATTTCCGCAATAGGCTTGCAGGAAAACAGGAACAACGAATAGTTTGTTTATAGTAATGAATAAATGAAATTAGTTTATCACAACTGAAAGGAAAATAACTAACGGAAAATCTTAGATTGACGTTTTGAGGAATGGGTGTACTAAATATTTTATACAGCCATTTCTACGGCACGGCATCTCCATATCACTGTCTACCTCTAGTTCCATTCAATTAAATTTCCCAAACGTGATAAACGTCAGCGGTTGCGTTTAGCCAAGATTGCTGCTTATTTTTAGATCATATTTTCTTTTTACCATAATCCAAGCAAATCTATTTGCACACTGCCAACGTTATGTTTTGTCTAATGCAATTTTAGTATTATATGTTTGCTTCGTATCAGAAAGAAATTTTTTTTTGCTGTCATGAAAATCTCTAATCAGTTATATATAGGATTTTTTTCATTTTTTTTCTTCAGGGAAGTATGTCTTTTGTTTGTATAGTTAGAACTTGGATTATTGGATAGCGGGATAATTACCAATGAAAAACAAATATTGGTGTCATTCTTTATTACTTGCTTGTATATCCAAAAGTCTAGGCATGGAACCGGTGTATTGATTTTGACTCCTTGTAAATCAAAAACTTGGACAATCTTTATTATATTCGAAAAGAAAACATACTTCCCAGAATATATATATATGTATATATATATATAAACAAAAAATAAGACCTTCCAACTTTAAGGCTTGGTATTAATAATAATAACGTAACCTGTTTGTGAATATGCATTTCTTAGAAAGCCGTTATATATGATAAGAAATTTATTAAAATAATAAGTTTGATGCCAAAAGATGTAAATTCACTCATAAGTCATAACTAACTGTTTTTTTTAGCTGAAAACCCATAAAATTGGATAAACCTGAATTATTAATCCAAATACGATACGATGGTCTCCATGACTCCATAACTTGCAAACTCATATATATGAAAGATATGTACATTATTGAGTTGTAACTTTCATATATGAAAGATAACATTTTAAAATAGTTTTTAATTAAAACGAATTTGAATAATCAAACTAAATGTTTCTGAAAAAAACATTATTTAAGAGAGTGTATTTTAAAAATCGTACATTAACTTAAAAAAACATATTAACCTTAATACAAAAGAAAATACATTAATCTACGTCAAAAATGACAACTTGTTATATTGAAAACCTTTTATTGTAATTCCGTAATCATCGAAACTTCATTCTTGTTAAAGAACAATTTAACAGAGAACAGTGCAACCAAATGGTTATAAAAAAAAAGTGCAGCCAAATAACCCTAAAATTACGTGGACAGCTCACAAAACGAAACCACGTACGCAACTTTACTTGCATGCAATATCTATAAATACCCCCCATGAACCATTTCATGCAAAAATAAGATACACCAAAAGACATTTAAAAAAGAAACATTTCTAAAAAGTGATAACTAATAATGGGCAAGCTCTTGGTGATAATGTTAGTTTGCATTTTCATGGCTTTCGAAAGCTTGGAAGCTCTTGATTATGGAGATGCACTAAACAAGTCCATCTTGTTCTTTGAAGGCCAACGATCCGGTAAACTCCCGGTTAAACAACGGGTTAACTGGCGAGCCGATTCTGCCCTCTCTGACGGTGAACCAGATCATGTAAACTCCATTAGTCTCATCAATATATAATTTAACATTATTAAAAAACATTATATTATATCTCTTAACCAATTTTTCTTGTGATTTTACCAGGTCAATTTGATTGGAGGGTATTATGATGCAGGTGACAATGTAAAATTTGTGTGGCCAATGTCATTTACGACAACCTTATTGAGTTGGGCCGCGATTGAATACGAAAATGAGATTTCCTCCAAAAACCAGCTCGGCTATCTCCGATCTTCTATCAAATGGGCAACCGATTTTATTCTCCGAGCTCATACTTCCCCCACCACACTATATACACAGGTGATTCCTTTTATCTTTCCAGCTTAATGATATCTAAACCAACCAAGCCGTTATGTTTTGGTTAATGGTTATCATATATCTTGTGGTTATTATATTTAGAGGGCAGAGGCATGAGACTGATGCCTTTTTCAGAACTCTATAAGCACGGCCCTGATTATATAATACACAAGATTATTTGTTGTTGTACTCAAATACTTTTTTTTGATCTCCATTACCAAAAGAAGTAATCTAAAACCGCCGCATTCAAGTTAAATGATGTTTGCATTTGGTTATTTTCTTATTTACAATTATTGAATTGAATTGGACACACCACCTAAGTCGGGTTCATCTGCTAAATATAGAGTTTCGCTTAATTTCTTAAATTTTTCTTTTACAATGGCCATAAAAGGTAGGAGATGGGAATTCAGATCATAGTTGTTGGGAGAGGCCAGAAGATATGGATACAGCAAGAACTCTCTACAAGATTTCTTCCTCTTCTCCGGGTTCTGAAGCTGCCGGTGAAGCCGCAGCTGCTCTTGCCTCTGCCGCAATTGTGTTTAAACCGGTCAATTCTAATTATTCATCCAAGTTACTAAGCCATGCAAAATCCGTGAGTATATATACAACTTAATTCCAAAATAGTTTTTTTTTTATCATTACATTCCAATCATAAGGTTAATTAAATTCTGTATGGTTAATCGATCATAAACATTATTATTTCATGTAACTTATTTTTATCTATTTTCCGCAGCTCTTTGAATTTGCTGATAAGTACAGAGGTTCATACCAGGCATCTTGCCCTTTCTACTGCTCTTACTCAGGCTACCAGGTAACTATACCTAAATAAACCGGTACACATAGATAAAGTACAACTATGGAACATATTTTCATGTTACATACTTGTACAAGTTGTTATAATATATGTTATATAAATGAACTTTACATTATGTCTTTTGTATTGAAATAACAATATACTTTATTTTTCAATATGTTGTTTGGTACCAAAGGACGAATTATTATGGGCTGCTGCTTGGCTATATAAAGCAACAGGAGAGACGAAGTACATAACTTATGTTATAAGCAATCAAGGTTGGAGCCAAGCTGTGAATGAATTCAGTTGGGACAGTAAATTTGCCGGCGCTCAGGCTTTACTAGCATCGGTTAGTAAATAAACAATATATACCAAGGTTCGCTAAATTCTATAACCAGATACAATTAGGCTAATTTTTCTTGTTGATTTCTATTTTTAAGGAGTATTACAATGGAAGAAAAGATTTGGAAAAATTTAAGAACGATGTTGAGTCGTTTGTCTGCGCATTGATGCCAGGAAGTAGCTCTCAACAAATTAAACAAACTCCTGGTAATTTTCACTGGTTAAATAGATAACCGATGTTTTTATTAATTTTATTTTGTCCGTTGGTTTTTACGGTTATGTGTGTTTGTTCTTTTTTGTTTAATCAGGTGGCCTTTTGTTTACTAGAGATAGTAGCAACTTACAATACGCGACAACCGCTACAACGGTTTTGTTCCAATACTCAAAAACTCTAACCAAAGCCAAGATTGATTCAATCCAATGCGGGTCAACCCGGTTCACGGTATCTCAAATACATAGTTTCGCCAAATCACAGGTAATTAAATCACCCCCTAGTCCGGTTTTGTACACCATTTCCATTTTATAATAGACCGGTTTAATTTTACAGGTGGATTACATTCTTGGAAATAATCCAATGAAAATGTCTTACATGGTCGGATTCGGGTCAAAGTACCCAACACAACCTCATCATAGAGGCTCATCTTTACCGTCGATCAAATCTAAACCGAGAAAATAGACTGCAATGGAGGGTTTTCATACTACAATTCTGATACGCCTAACTTGAATGTGCATACCGGCGCAATTGTGGGTGGACCGGATTCATCAGACCAGTTTAGCGACAAAAGAACTGACTTATGCCCATGCGGAGCCTACAACTTACATCAACGCCGCCTTTATTGGTCCTGTCGCTGCTCTGATTGGCCGGAATTCTAACTAGAGCACCGGGATGATCACTTCTATATCGGAAAAACTCGCTTTTAGATTTAGTTGGGGAAAAACAAAAAAATTGCAAAGAAGACTATACGACTAATTCATCAACAGTTATTAGACTAAAATTTCGAATAACTAATTAACCAGGGTATCATTTGCTTCTTATATGTATATATATTACACACACAGTTACACATCGTATTTGTATTGTATATTTGTATAGCTTAATTAAAGTGAAAAGTATATTATTTCAGATACGTATTGGCTCTTAATTCAGACAAAAAAAGTTTCTATGATGATCATAACCATTTAATTTGCATGATATTTTACAAGCTCATCACAGATTTTTGAAAAATGAATATTATATACTTTAATTTTGTTGAACTATATATTTCTTTTTTTTGTTCAGATTTGAATCTAGGATTTAATATTATATTTTCGTAATAGTCATTTTAGTGAGCTTATGAATATTCAAATGTATTTGGAATAGGAATTAAAGTAATCTAATAATATTGGAAATTTATATGTTTGGCAAGAAATATAGAAAAATTAAATAATTCAAAAATAGAAATCATAGCGTACTAAATTAATGTGTTTGTCTTCCATTGAATCGTTTCACAAGGAATATAGAAAAAATATAGGAATGAGACATCAGCAAAAATAGTCTTCAATGTTCTTCTTTAATATATAGAGGATTTAATTTTTTATCGTAACTTTATTAGTTGATAAATATTAAGTGAAAACCAGTTGGAAAAAGAGTAAATCATTGTTTCAAAAAAAATCTTGCGCTTCGAAACTAGAGATTCTAATCTTTTTATCAAACAACTTAAATTTAATTCGTGTTAGGGTTGTTCATTTAATTCTACAAAACTATTGAAGTAGGGGTTAGATAGATTACTTTCTTTTAGTCTATGATTGAATATGAAAACTATGGAATGTAAAAATTCAAAACCGTGAAATCATATTCAAAATCATTCTTTTTCGAAAAAAAATATTCTAAAAATTGGTGTTACTTTAAGGTACGATTAAAAGAGGTTCATAAACAAACACGGTTTTTCTTGACATTGAGCATAAAAAAATATGAATGCTGATATTGGATTATTAGCCTCCAAATTTATCTTCACATAAGTATTTCTGAAGCTCCAAAATTTTGTAAGAAACATAGAGTCATTAAAATAAGACACTTTAGGCAAGTGAAGCACCAAAAAACAAAAAGTGAACGTAAACTGTTACTTGGTGAGAATCAAAGAGATCAAGAATCTGGGACGAGAGATAATAGTTGAGAGGAAACTCTCCGTTATACTTTTCCTAAATCAAAATCTGAATTACATGAAAGCAAGAGACTATGCTACTTATTCACCTAATGAAGATAAAGCTTAAATCGTAAGAGATATATAAACACCAACTAACTTGACCTTATATAATCAAGTGAGCAAAACAAAGAATACAATCCCGAAAGCCAATCATTAGTAGGAGACTAGGAGATGCTTTTACCAACCACCGTCGGGCTCTGACTCAGTTGTTGTGGCCTTTGCACCTACAAAACAAATTATATGAACGTTGAACATTTACTGGATATGAAATGTTCATTACTAAATATGTAACTGAACAAGAACTAGTTGAAGACGAACCTTGGGCACAAAGGAACATTGTGTGGAACCATAGGAACCGCTACTGAATGATATAGCAGGCTGTCGAAACGCAAGGGAGGAGGAGACAAAAGTACAAAACACGGTACTTGATGCCCCATGGCAGGATCTGATGCAGCAAAAGCAACTCCACATAGGCATTGACGTTGCCAAATAAAGGAGTGCTTGAGGAACCAAAGGCAGGTGTGTTGAAGGAGCCAAAAGAAGGAGTGATCGACGCACCAAAGCCACGTAAGTTTGTGGAACCAAGAGCAGGACTGCTTGATGCACCAAAGCCATGTATGTTTGTGAAACCAAGAGCAGGACTGCTTGAGGCACCAAAGCCATGTATGTTTGTGAAACCAAGAGCAGGACTGCTTGAGGCACCAAAAGGTGAAGATGAAGCGAAAGTGAATGCAGGCTGTAATTATTGTGTTGTGCTCCCGAAAGGACTTGGCTGAGGCGTCGAGAAGCTAAAAGCAGGTATGTTTATTGAACCAAAAGAAGGTGTGCTTACGGCACCAAAGCCATGCATGTTTGTGGAACCAAGAGCAGGACTGCTTGAGGCACCAAAGCCATGTATGTTTGTGGAACCAAAAGCAGGACTGCTTGAGGCACCAAAAGGTGAAGATGAAGGAAAAGTGAATGCAGGGCTGTGATGGTTGTGTTGTGCTTCCGAAAGGACTTGATTGAGGCGTCAAGAAGCTAAAAGCAGAAGTTCCTGTACATAGGAAAAATAAAAATACTAATCACTAATGAGAAGCTGGAACCTAAAGAAAAACAAACAAAAAATACCAAATCAGGAGCTAGTACGTAGTGTCACGAACAAAACCAATTAGACAACTGAAAATTTAATACTTTAGAAAGTCTCGGATTACTTGTTTTGCAAGTAGTAACAAACAAAATTTGAACACGACAAAAAATAGGTTATTGCTACAATGCTACCCTTGAAGAAATCAAAAACCAATAGCAAAAGTGTATTCTTGCAATGAAATACATAAAAGGTACGTACTAACCACCAAAAGGTGAAGCCGAACTGTCAAGTGCAGGAACAGAATATGACTGTCCAAAGCCCCAAGTAGAGTTATCAGACGCCTGTGATGAAGCAGCAAAAGGGGAAGAAGCCAAACGCTTAACCATGTTTCTCTATAAATATTCAAGACTCTGGACTTAGCTAAAGGGATTGTTTCTTCCTCTAGCCTGCCAGCCTGGTATATACGAAAGAGCAAGAAACATCAGGAAAATAGTAATAAGCGGAACCAAAAAGCAAACAGCATGCATGCAACGGCAAGCTTTTCGCTAAGCTTTCAATAAAATAAAGTTTTATACTATTCCTAAAATTTTAAAACATGAACGTGACATGTATAAACTGATGAGAAGAAACAGCCAATGAAACAAAAGTGGGTTTGAAGTATGGAACCTGAAGCACGAGAAGGAAGCAACGAAGACGAGCAGAGAGAGACAGAGATCTCGCCGGTGTTGAAACCTAAAAGTTATATTTTGATGTTTATACTAGCCGTTAGCGTTATTTTGAAGTGCGTTTAGTCTACGCATTAATTAGCGTTAACGCCCTTGTGATATTGGAAAAAAAAAAAGGAAAAAATAAATTTTGGTAACACAGTTTTTGTAACCTTTTGAGTCTTTGACCAGAGAACAAAATTTGATTTTTCATAAGTTGTTAAATAGAATTTATTAATAATATATAAATTAAAAAATACATTATCAAAATCTGGATTTTTTTTACAGTTGTTTTAAAAAATAATAATAAATGAGAAAAAGTAAATTATTTGTATTATTCAATATTCTTTACCAATTTATATTTGTCTTATAGAAAGAAATTTATTTCATTGGCAAAAATAGTGAATAATATATTATTTTGAAATCTTGTATTTTTGGAAAAAAAAAAAATTCTTTTATCATAAACTTTTTTTGTCTTAATATATATATTTTTTTTCATCATATTAAGGTAACATATCTAACCATTCACATCTTTTCATTTAATATCCTACACTAACATTGACTACAATTTTATATCATAAAGAACAAACCATAAAAACATCACCCAAACTTTTCTCGTTATACCAGTCAAGAAACTCAAAGTATCCATTGTTCGGTTGTTCCTCTAAGAAAAAAAAGCAAAAATGTCACAAAAGAGGATGAGTCTCACAAGAACATTGCCTGATGATATCGTGGAGCACATCATGAGCAGTTTCCTCCCGATCAAAAATGCTCTCAAAAGCCGTCTCGTATCCAAAAGATTCAGGCACGCGCCTGTTCAATCGAGAAACCTCGACTTCAGCTCCGTGAGAGGCACCCAATTCAAGGTGGTACGAATCATCGAAGAAGTTTTTGAGCAGCACAAAGGAGTAGAGATCAACCGGCTAGCTCTTAATCTAAATCACAAGGGCGTGGAGGATAAGATATTAGCGTGGATCCAAACGTGTCTTAACAAAAACATTCAGGAGCTGGAGTTGGATTTTTCCAAATCCAAGAAATCTTTGGAAATCCCGGTGGATTTCTCGGCCGTCCAGACGCTCACGGTGTTGAAGCTGCGATGGTGCAAGTTTGACATCCCCAACAACTCCCCAACGGGTCTAAAGTTGTTGAGGACGCTTGCACTGATGAAGACGAAGGTGAAGAAAGAGATGCTTGATGCAATCTTTGTGAACTGCATCCACCTTGAAATCCTTGAGCTAGTCAGCTGCCAATTGTACGGGATCTTGAGCATCAACGCTCAAGGTAATCAGAAGTTCAAGACGTTGGTCATGTATTCTAATCCGAAAATTCGAAAATTTTTGTTGAACGCTCCAACACTGGAATGCTTCAAGTATGATGGAGCTGTCAGGATGGTTGATTTCTCGGGAGTGAATGCAGTTAAAGAGGTAAATCTTCTTTACCGTCATACTTACCAACGGAAATTTGACAATATGTATGACATCGCGATCGAGAACATGGAAGGCTATACACAAGTTCATGTCCTCGCAACGACACAAATCTTTCTTGAGGTAATTCTTTTTTTTTTTTTTTTTTTTTACTTTTCTAAATTTAGAAAATAGTTATTTTCGTGCGTTTATTATAATACAGCTATGTACAGTTTATAGTATTGGCATATGCATGCACGAGTTGAGATCATTTTAGAATGGAACTTTTACATGACGTTGGTTTCAGTCATCGACAATATCTACTTAGATTTTTTTTTTTTTAATAAAATATTTTAATAGATTTTATTTAACGCTTTGCTTTGATCTAAAAAGAAATGGTTAATTTATCTGAATTTTTTTAAGAAACCTCATATACGCTAGGAATGTAATAAATAATTATAGATTATTAGATTTAATTATTATGGAACAAATCTATAGAAAAGGAACATATCTCTCTACAAAATTTCAATTTTTTATTTGTCATTGATTAATAACTATAATTAAAACATCCAGATCGGAAAAAATGTATATGGAAACATATTCTACAAAGATAGCAAATATAGTTTTTATACATTTTTAAAATATTTATTTGGAAATATTTATTATAATACAGCTGTGTACAGTTTAGTATTGGCATATGCACCACCAATGCACGAGTTGGTTTCAGTCATCGCCAGTATTTACTTAGATGGATAAAATATTTTTACTTAGATTTTATTCAACGCTTTGCTTTGATCTAAAAAGAAATGGTTAATTGATCTGAAAATTTTAAGAAATCTCATATAGCTAGGAATGTAATAAATAATTATAGATTATTAGATTTAATTATTATGGAACAAATCTTTAGAAAAGGAAAATATCTTCCTCTAAGAAACCTCATAAAGCTAGGAATGTAATAAATAATTATAGATTATTAGATTTTAATTGTTATGGAACAAATCTTTAGAAAAGGAAAATATCTTTCTCTAAGAAACCTCATATAGTCATATAGCTAGGAATGTAATAAATAATTATAGATTATTAGATTTAATTATTATGGAACAAATCTTTAGAAAAGGAACATATCTTCCTCTAAATATTTTCAATTTTTTTGTCACTGATTAATAACTATAATAACTATTCAGTTTGGTTTTATTTGGTTCGGTTTTAGTTCAATTCCGTTTTAGATTGGTTTAAAAAATATTAATAAATCAATGATAATAATTTAAAAATTTAATATAAAGATAGTGAAAGATGTTAAGTTTGTCATACCAAATGACAAATCAATTAAGCTAAAACTTAACTAAAAAATAGAATAAATTTGTGGGTAATAAAGTAAAATTTTAATGAACATAATTATATAGACAAATAATTAATTAATTAATAAAAACATATTGAATATTTGGTTTGATTTGGCTTTGAACCAAACCGAACCATTTGGGTTAAGAATTTTTTTAACCAATTGGTTTAGGTAGAGAGTATGGTTTGGTTTGGGTCAGTTTGGGTTCTATTGGGTCGGTTTGGTTTGGTTGGCTTGGTTGGGTTCAATTCGGTTGGGTTCAGTTTTTCTCAGATGGAATTTGGCCAGGTGAATGAAATAATAGACGCCTAATTTTTATAAATCTATATTCTCCCAAAAGCTTTCTATGTTTATAAGCTCAAACACCTAGCAATGTCTCCATCGATAAGTAATCTTGAACTTGCATATAATCTAAATCAATCCTTTTATCTCATATTGGAATGAGAGAGGCTTTTCCACTAGCATATTGCACAAAATAGTTGTACATTACACTATCTGTACATAAATCCACACCAATATTGAAATTGTGTCATATTTCTTCAACATGCTGTCAATTTGACATAGTATAAGTTGTGCAATCATACCTTACTAACTACTATCTTCTCCAATCATATCTCCTTCAAAAAATGGATTCGAGAGTTAGCATTAGAACAATTTGTAGGCTCGCTAGTATAGCATAATCACTGAAAGTTCTTTTTTTCATTTTGAACTTTCCAAATGAACCATTTAAGTATGGGATCCTCTAAGAATAAATGTTTTACATGTGACAGATCCTTAATATTTTGCCTCATGGAGTTACTAAGATTACACCGAATAGGTTAGCTTCAGAAGCTGCCAAATATGGAATCAGAGAGTCATCGTGTTCCGGCCCTTTTTGAGAGGCTTGATACAAACATTTAAAATACGTGAAAAAAAATAATGAGAAATTATTAAGATAAAAAGCTTGAAGCTCTAATTTCAATGTCTACTCATATCCAAATCTTCCTCAGTCCTTATTTGCTAAAGCGCACATAGGCTCAATTGTCAGGATATCGTCAACTCTTTCATTGTTAGGAATGATTAATATTTCACTTTCCGTTGTTTTAGGAATGATTAATATTTGACCATCCTCATTTGGCTAAGAGATATCCTTTTCAACCTCCTCCCCTTTCGAGGAGAGATTGTTTCCATACTCCTCCCATTACGGGAAACGGTTCTGCCAACTTCTCTTTTTATGAAAGATCTTTTCTACTTGGAATCAATTATGAGTAGTCATATCATCTAAATACCGAATCCATGACCGGCCCAAAGAATATTAAAGCCTTGTGTTGGATATAATGAAAACAAGCTATGTTTATATGGTTTCTAACAAGCTTAAACACCTAACAATGTCTCCATCGATAAGTAATCTTGGACTTGGACATAATCCAAATCATACCTTACTAACTACTATCTTCTTCAACCATATCTCCTTCAAAAACTGGATTCGAGAGTTAGCATCAGAACAATTTGTATGCTCGCTAGTATAGCATAATCACTGAAAGTTCTTTTTTCATTTTGAACTTTCCAAATGAACCATTTAAGTATGGGATCCTCCAAGAATAAATGTTTTACATGTGACATATCTTTAATATTTTGCCTCATAGAGTTACTAAGATTACACCGAATAGGTTAGCTTCAGAAGCTGCCGAATATGGAATCAGAGAGTCGTTGGGGACCGGCCCTTTTTGAGAGGCTTGATACAAACATTTAAAATACGTGGAAAAAAAAAGATGATGATAAATTATTAAGATAAAAAACTTGAAGCTCTAATTTCAATGTCTACTCATATCCAAATCTTCCTCAGTCCTTATTTGCTAAGGCGCACATAGGCTCAATTGTCAGGATATCGTCAACTCTTCCATTGTTAGGAATGATTAATATTTCAACTTCCGTTGTTTTAGGAATGATTCATACTTGACCATCCTCATTTGGCTAAGAGATATCCTTTTCAACCTCCTCCCCTTCCGAGGAGAGATTGTTTTCATACTCCTCCCATTACGAGAAACGGTTCTGCCAACTTCTCTTTCTATGAAAGATATTTTCTACTTGGAGTCAATTATGAATAGTCCTATCATCTAAGTGCCGGATCTATGACCGGCCCAAAGAATATTAAAGCCTTGTGTTGGATATAATGAAAACAAGCTATGTTTATATGGTTTCTAACAAGCTTAAACACCTAACAATGTCTCCATCGATAAGTACTCTTGGACTTGGATATAATCCAAATCAATCCTTTTATCTCCGAGTAGAATGGGAGAGGCTTTTCCACTGGCATATTGCACCAAATAGTTGTACATTACACTACTTGTACATAAATCCACACCAATATTAGAATTGTGTCATATTTCTTCAACATGCCGTCAATTTGACATAGTATAAGTTGTGCAATAATACCTTACTAACTACTGTCTAGTCCAACAATATCTCCTTCAAAAAATGGATTCGAGAGAATTTAGCATCAAAATAGTTTGTATGCTCGCTAGTATAGCATAATCACTGAAAGTTTTTTTTTTCATTTTGAACTTTTCAAATGAACCATTTAAGTATGAGATCCTCCAAGAATAAATGTTTTACATGTGACAGATCCTTAATATTTTGCCTCATGGAGTTACTAAGATACACCGAATAGGTTAGCTTCAAAAGCTGCCCAATATGGAATCAGAGAGTCATCGTGTTCCGGCCCTTTTTGAGAGGCAATTGATACAATCATTTAAAATACGAGAAAAAAAATAATGAGAAATTATTAAGATAAAATACTTGAAGCTCTAATTTCAATGTCTACTCATATCCAAATCTTCCTCAGTCCTTATTTGTTAAGGCGCACATAGGTCAATTGTCAGGGTATCGTCAACTCTTCCATTGCTAGAAATTATTAATATTTCACCTTTCGTTGTTTTAGGAATGATTAATATTCCACCATCCTCATTTGGCTAGGAGATATCCTTTTTAACCTCCTCCCCTTTCGAGAAGAGATTGTTTCCGTACTCCTCCCGTTACGGAAAACGGTTCTGCCAACTTATCTTTCTATTAAAGATATTTTCTACTTGGAGTCAATTATGAGTAGTCCTATCATCTAAGTACCGGATCCATGATCGGCCCAAAGAATAATAAAACCTTGTGTTGGATATAATGAAAACAAACTATGTTTATATGGTTTTTAACAAGCACAAATACCTAACAGTGTCTCCATCGAGAAGTAATCTTGGACATAGACTATGTCACATAGTCCAAATAAATCCTTTTATCTATGAGTGGTATGAGAGAGGCTTTTCCACTGGCATATTGCACCAAATAGCTGTACATTACCGGGTTTGCGAAAGGGTCATATTGGAATTATGTCATATTTCTTCAGCATGCCGTCAATTTGACATAGTATAAGTTGTGCAATCATACCTTATGAACTACTATCTACTCTAACCATATATCCTTCAAAAAATGGATTCGAGAGAATTTGGCATCAAAACAATTTTGTATGCTCGCTAGTATAGCATAATCACTGAAAGTTCTTTTTTCATTTTGAACTTTCCAAATGAACCATTTAAGTATGGGATCCTCCAAGAATAAATGTTTTACGTGTGATACATCTTCAATATTTAGCCTCACTGAGTTACTAAGATACACCGAATAGGTTACCTTAGAAGTTTCCCAACATGGAATCAGAGAGTCGTCGTGCCTAGACCCTTTTGAGAGGCAATTGTTACAAACATTTAAAACATGTGAAAAAAAAGATAATGCTAAATTATTAAAAATGGAATGTGTAAAATAAAAATCTTGAAGCTCTAAGTTCAATGTCTACTCATATCCAAATATTCCTCCGTCCTTATTTGCTAAGGCGCACATAGGCTCGAATGTCGGATATCGTCAACTCTTATGATGTTAGGAATGAAAAATATTTCAACTTCCGTTGTTAGGAATGATTAATGTTTCACCTTCCTCATTTGGTCAGGAGATATCTTTTTCATCCTCTTCCCCTTTCCGGGAGAAACCGTTTCCATCCTCCTCCCATTACATGAAGATAACGTTCTACCAACTTCTCTTGAAAGATATTCTCTACTTGGAGTCAATCATGAGTAGTCCTATCATTTTCCTCACTAGTTGTTATCTTGCGTAGCGGTCTGCGCGGGACAAGAAGATGCAATCTATATAATTAACAGCCAAACTTAGTGATTACTTTAATATAATAATATATGCATATAAGTTGATATAACTACATTGTATTTCATTTTATATGACTAAATCTACTTATGTCATTAGTTTTTAATAACATAGGTTTAATTGAGTATTTAATTTTTAATTAAATAATACCAAAGTTTAATATTTCTTAATAAAGCATGATTTACATTGTTTTAAAACATAATTTAGAATCGTTAGTTAAGTAACATTGAACTATATAGTTTGATTTAAGTTCTATTAATATCCATGATTAAACAACATAAAACTCATTTTTGTCTTAATGTTCCATTATTAAAGGGTTTGATTTCCTCTAGCGAACGTTAATCATACACAGACTATGCAACTTTCACTTGCTTTGTTTCCTTTGCTTTATCGCCTATTTCTTTTGTTCATAGTTTTACAGTGAGGTTTGATGTTTCCTCTTACATGTATGTATAGGCTTTCACAATGAGACGAGGAGCAATGGGACAACCGACTTTATGGTTTTTGAACCTACAAGAGTTTCAGATTTGTTTTAAAGCTCCAAATGATACCACCCTTATTCACATCGCTGAGTTCCTCAAACAGTGTCCTAATCTCAAGAAGGTTTTGATCGATGTACGTCTCTCTCTCTCTCTACACAAACAATATTTCTCCTCTATCAAGCTAAGTCCATTACAACTTTCGTTTGTTATGTTTGCAGATAAATGATTTCACATTTACTCCTTATCTGTTTTTGGAGTCCTGTCAGAAGCCAAAGATTTATGATGGCAGCTACCTTATGAACAATATCAAGAACGTCAAGATCATGGGCTACAAAAACGAGTGGCATGAACTTAACCTACTAGAGTTTTTTGTCAGAAACGCAGAATCTCTGGAGGAGTTGGTGCTGGTCGAGCCTAGGGACCCAAATGCCACAATGTTCCCACCCAATTATGAGAGGATCGCCAACATAAGACGCATGTGTCCAAAGGAAGGTCTCATTAAATTTGTGCCCAACACAAGTGAGTGAGTTCAGTTTGTGCCCAAACATGCCAGACTATAACTATTATAGCTTCTTTCTTGTTTTTGAAACAGAATCATTTTATGTTTTCTTTTATGACATTTTAAGATTTGAACTCTATTTATTTTCGGTTTAAGTTTCTCCTCAGATTTGAGCTTATGTGGGTGGGATCAAAGTGATTCATGACTAAGCTCATAGTATAAGATCATGTATTGCGTGACTGTTTAGTGTTTATGATCTTTGGAATATTATATATTTCATAGTATATTTTTACTTCTTGCAACTAGTTCATAAATCTTTTTCCCCACTCATTAAGAATTAAGAATCTTCTGAAAATCTGAAAAATGATAAGAAACTTCGAATGTTTTTATAAAAAATAATAATAATTAGTTCTTTTGAAGATCTGTAAAAATGGAAAAAGAAGAAAGTTGACAAAAAAAAAATATATATATAGGAAGGAATAACTAGCAATATAAGAAAACATAAGGAACGAAAATCAGACGAAAAAAAATGGAGATCAAATGTTCAAATTATAATAAACATAAACTCAAATAATTTGAACATTTTATCTCCTAAAAATAGTCATATTCGAATTGATAATAAAATTATAATTGATCTAAATAAACAATAACTAAAAATGAACAGAAAATAAGAATGATAAACTCGAATAACAAGTTTAGCTAGTTTTAAATAATCAAGTACGTACAAACCATGTGTTAAAATAAAAACAAAACACACATACACACCTTTTACCAAACATAGACCAGTTTTTGTCTTAGAAATGAAATAACACGGAAAGATCCACCATGCTTTTGCTTCTCCATCTTAGTTCGCCGTCACCTCACGAATAGCAACACCTTTAACAACAAGCCCGGTCTTCTTGATGCTGTCGTCATATTGATAAATAGTGAAGATGATCTTCGCTGGTGCGTCTTTAGGTGGTGCCACGAAATTTCCGGCTATAATACTGACCCAGTCGTCACTTATGTAGTCATCCAAACACACACTATTCTCCTGTAGATTCTCACTCCTATCGCGCATGACCAACTTTAGACTCAAGTTGACCGGGACCTCCCATCCTAATGCAGTATTTTTTAACTTCACCACGAATACCACCTCGTACCTTGTCCCTGGTGTCAGACTTCTTGTATTCGAAACTCCTCTTATGTCTAGCCAGTAAACTTCTTTCAGTTCTGCAACTTCAATGGATCCTTCGCTGAGAAGTATTTCCAAAATATGTCGTTTTAATAAACACGGCAATACGATATAAGGTAATTATGCTTTATCAAAAAAAAATATAAGGTAATTATTAGAGAAATTTGGTCCAAGAACAAAAAAAAAAAAAAAAAAAAAAAAAAAACAATAAATTATAGGGCAATTCTCACATCTACAATCAAAATGTTTTTTAATTCCACTAGGTGTTTTTCAATCTTATACCATCTTTCCATTTATAAAAGTAACTTTAAACCATCAAAAATAAATCCTAAACCATCAAAAACTAAATCCTAAACCCTAAATTCTAAACCCAAACCCAAATATTTAAATTATAAATCCTTGTAAAAATGGTATGAGAGGAGGAAAAAAACTAATGATAGTATAAAATAAATTTAAACATTTTTATGCTATATGATGGATTTTCTCTAAATTATATGTGTATTAAATGCCATTATACCCTTGCAAATACAAATATATATTTTTCTTTCTACATATTCAGATGATGTGATCGAATGGTTTTTGGGACTTTGGCTATCTAGTAATTGTGTTTTTTTTTTTGATAAAGGCTATCTAGTAACTGTTAGGTATATATAACTTGTAGACTTGAAATTATCTTTGATAATCGTTGTAGGATATATTTAGTTATTAAGTAACTAGGAAAAAAGTAGAACACAAAGGTAATTTTGTTCGAAAATAAACACTTACTTTTGTTGCTCTTTAATTGAACTCCATGTCCAATTTTCGGGTTTCTCCGAATGAGTGATCTCGATTCCCCTTGCATAGACCATGCAACCCTGAGGACTTACAACAACATCTTCTATATGAACTTCAGGTGTCAAAGCAAGCTCTCTAAATTTACCAATTAAGTATCCAAAAATCTGCTTCAGATCATCAAGAGCAATTCCGAAACCAAAACAAGTCAACATGGTGATATGAAGAGAAACAAATGTTTTAGGTAAAAAGCATATACTTATGACGAAGGAAGAGAGGATGAGTTAGATTTTCTATCCACTTTGTGTTTTGATTTCTGCAATTGTTCCTAAGGACGTTTACTTTAAATGCAACTATATTCTAACAAAACACAAAGGTCAATGATTAATTTCCGTGTTTGGATTACCATAATCACGTAAAATGCAACTGTCTTAATATAATACGAAGTCAACGATTTATTGCCTCGATTGGATTAATATAATCACTTTCGAGGAAACTGACCAAATGAGATAGAAAAATAAAGAAGAAATCATTGTTCGTGATGATAAATAATTCAATTAATAATTGCAACATTGAAAAATTCAGAGTTATCAAGAAAAGTTGACGTGTTCATTCATATCAATGAAGAATCTTACCTATCTAATGCGGAGAGACAAAGATCAAATGATGCAATCTGCCATTTTAATTTTCAATCTTTTATGGTTAAACTTTTATAAACCAAGATTGATTCGAAGATGCCAAGGTTTGTAGAGAACCAATTTGGTTTTCCATTAGTGAGAAACAGTATGATGATGTAAGTAGATACGAAAAATAAAAAATAAAAAAATTATACTTCAAATGAACAAAATATGTTTTGTGGTAATTTTGTAACTAGTAGAGGTAATCATACATTTTTAAAGATAAATTAAAGTATGTAACCATGAAATTTTGAGGAAACAATGCATTATCTAAACTGGACTAAAGTTCCACTTTTAAGTATTTAAAACAAATAAAAGTTCTCCTGTAAATTTCAAGAGAATTTGGCATCACACCAACTCTTATGCTTGCTAACATAGCGTGTGATCAAGAATATCTGGTGTTGTTTTTTTATAATCATTGAAAGTTTCTTTTTCATTTCTTTCCAAATAAACCAGATTGACTAAAGAACTATTTTTCTTTATTAATGAATTCCATTTAAGTATGTGATTGAAACTTCCCACTTAAATTACACGAATGGTAAATTTGAACTATTGATGGTGAGATCAAATTAACATGACATGAAACTATTATTCTCCACTTGTCATTTTTTGGGGCATAAATAATTGTTTTGAAACATGAAAAGCATTTAGTGCGTATAATTTCAAGAAAATAAAACAGAACAGATGTCGATTACGTTTGAGCTTGAGTACAAAATTCGAAATCAAAATGTGTGTAGCTCACTAAGTTTTCTTCTCTTTTCTAAGACAAGTCAGTGGTACAATGACATTTTGGAGTGATCTATTTATTTTCCACACCAGATTATCATCATCCATCATTTCATTATTGAGTTTTTCTCTTAAAAAAAAAGAAGCTTTTAGATTTTGTGTTCTTGATGAACAAAAAGTAAAAAAAGAGAAACAATTCAAAGAAAGTCAACTTTTTGTATTATCATAGAAAATCTTGACTAACAGCTAACTGATGATAATTCATGTAATCAATCCCATTTAACCGGACACAACACAGAATCTGCTCCGGTAACTCCTCCGGTTTATTCCCCTGTAACAAAAAAATGACAATTAACCAGTTAATAAACCATACAGAAAATCTAAAAAAAAACCTCAAAGAAGCAAAACTTACAACACATTTACCTGAATTGTAAGTCCAACATCAAGAACACAGTGCTTGAGCCTATCTAAAAATGCTTCAAATCCTTTCCTCGATATATAACTGAATCTATGCATATCTATATCAATCTCAAAGTAATTTTCACCCTACAAAGATCAAGAATTTCAAGAATTACTTAGTAAAACCATTTTATTTCAACATTCCGATAGGATTAAAAAACTTGAGAAATACCGAATAAAACTCGTGCTGAGGGCGAGAAAGCACAGGTTTTTCATTATAAGCATTCATGAGTTTCTTCTCCGCACCATTCAACTGAAGATCATCCACATTCGCAACACGCCCCAAGATCTTCAACCGTTCTCTAAATGGTACATTAGTATCCGTAGCAAAGCCTCTAACTTTCTCTACTTCATCATCTAATAATCTCTGCAAGAAACATCCAAAAGATAAAACAAATTCAAGAACAGAGCAAAAAACAGAACAAAAAACAGAACCAAGAAGTTGGAGGAAGAGTTCAAGAACCTGAATGCTTTCTTGAAAATGAGGAGGAAGCTCCTTTAAATAGTTATCCGAAAGTTTAAAGTATAAAACAAAACTCATTCCTTCTCCATCAGTTTCACCTTGGAAGATTGCAGCAGGATACAATGGAATCTGAAAATTACACCAAAACATAAACCAAAAGGAAGCCTAAGTGTAAAAGAAGAACTTGTTTTCAAAAACGTACCTGAACATTTACAACGAGAATCGATGGGAGCTTGCTTGAGGCTGTATTAACAACAGGAAGCTCCACGTATTGTGCTATATGGTTTACTTTACGTTGCGATAAGAACACATCAACACCAAATGGATTATATGCAGCATAGTTTGGTGCAAACTCTTTCTTCTTATCTCTACCAAGTAACCAAAACAAAAACAGTTTTTGAGTGAGTAACAATGGATGTAATCAAAACAACAAAGCTCAAGCTCTCTCTCTCTCTCTGTGATGTTTACCTGAAGTAAGTTTTGCTACGAACTCTGAAACTACTTGGCTCAATGATAGACCAACAATCGAACATTTTCTTCTCTAGAGGACAAAAAGGAACCTGAGAACCAGCAATAGGTCTCTGCAGCTGCATTTTTGGAGAAACTGAAAACAAACATTGCAGAGAACAACAAAGTGAGTTCTTGTTCATTCAAGTTCAAATGCAATGGAGCCAAGATTGATGATACTTACACATAGGACTAATACCATGACCTTCTCTCCACTTGAAAGATAGTTTAGTGGCAGCTTTCTTACTAGGAGGACTAGAGCTCAAAGATCTTCGCTTTTCGATAGAAGGAACAGTCGCAGTCGAGGAATGAAGACAAGGCAAGCAATTGCTCGGAAGAATCCCACAGCTTTCCAACAATCCTTCGTCTTTCCTTGAGCTATCATCAGCACTTGAAGATATCTCGTCTATGAACACAGGCTGCTGCTGATGCTTAGTGTCGTCAACGTTAGAGTCTCTAACAGATGACATACTCGATACTGAGATACGCTCAGCTCCATTTACTGACATAACATCTGAAAATAAAACACCTAAAACCATTTAGCTCCATTTGATCCACTAAGTAAAAATCAAAAGAGGTTTGTTTTTTTCTACCTTCAACACTGTGAAAATCCTCATCACAATCTGTTTCAAAGGCCAGATTTGAATCAAACCATGCTTCATCAACGCTTGCTGTTCCATAAATCAGTGAGACAGAGTCAATAACAGATGTTTCTCTTTCTACACAATTCAATGCTCATCAAAGACTTGACCTTTAAGAGAAAGATTCACTCTTTTGATCAAATTTGTCAACATAGATTCACAAATTGTCAACATAGATTCACTCTTCTAATCAGAATCTAATCTCTAATTCGATCAAAAGCTATAAAGTTGAAACCTTTTGAGATAAGCAAGAGAGAGAGACATAACCCATGAAGCCAAAAATCGATCAGAAAACGTGAAATCAAGCAAATCAATAGAATGCAGAGCAAAAAATCAGAGCGCTTTGATGCTCACTAAGAAATGTTTCTCTTTCTAAACAATTCAATGCTCATCAAAGACTTAACCTTAAAGAGAAAGATTCACTCTTTTAATCAATTTGTTAAGCTAATCTAACACTCTAATCAGAATCAAATCTCCAATTCGATCAAAAGCTATAAAGTTGAAACCTTTTTGAGAGAGAGAGAGAGAGAGAGAGACATGACCCATGAAGCCAAATCGATGAGAAAACGTAAAAATCAAGACCAAGATCAAGCAAATCAATAGAATGCAGAGCAAAAAACAGAGAGCTTGAGTAAACCCAAAAGAGAGAGATTAGAGACCTCGGAGAGTTGGATTGGAGGAGGGACGATCGTGATTATCGAAAGATCCGTCAGATAAGCGAGAAGAAGAGACAACTCTCTTTTTCTGAATCTTTCGTCTTGTCCGATTCTTTCTCCTCTTGCTTGACCTTAATTTGCCTCCTACGCAGCTCTTAGGCGTTGACACGCAACCTCCCATCTCTCTCTCTCTCCTCTGATCACAAAATCAGCGCATAAAAAGATCCCCAAATACTCAGAACTTTTAGAGAGAGAAAGCTGTTTTTTTTCTCTCTCCTCTATCACAGAATCAGATAGAATCTGCCAGACAAGATCCTGAAATCCAACTAATTTAGAAAAACCCAGAAAATTTTAGAGAGAAATGTGGTTCCTTTTTAGAGAGAGAAAGAGAGAGGGAAGAAAATGAGAGACATAGACAACTAGACAAATAAATTTGGTGAAGAAGAAGAAGAAGACTCTTTTTTTTTTCTCTACTTATTAGTTAAATAATAATTTGGTGAAGAAGAAGAAGAAAAGGAAAGAAAATGGTAAATCTTTTTATTTGGTAAATTTATTGGGATTTTGGGAAGTCAATGAAATTTGTGGAAATGATAAAAATGACAAGTTGTTTGTAGTTATCTCTTAACTCTTAAAGCGATTATGGTCACTAATTTAGATTTAGGATTGAAGCAAGCAACAGCACATTGGATTTTTTTCTTATTTATCTGTTTTTGTACTAATCTGTAATTAGTATATTGCAATGCTTATTTGGGATTTTTCTTAATACAAATGTATCCCTTCATGTGATGGAGATTGGAGAATGAGAAAGTTACAGATTGTGATGCTTATGGCCTGAACCGATAACCAAATCTGTTTTTTTTTCAATTCATTAACTAATCAAATTTAACAATATTTAATTTTTTGTGATAAACATATTGATTCTGTTGTGTACTGATTCTCCATATCACTAAGATTTTCAAATATAAAATTTTAGCAATACAGTAACATCTCCAATTTCTAGATAAAACTGATGGGTAAACCAACTCAAACTAACTCAAGCCGAACTAAAACTACACCAAATTGTATCAAACAAAACCAACTTTGGTTTGAGTTCGCTAGAGCTTTGTTAAAACCAAAAACATGTATTTGTCTATTTGATTAAGGCCGTCGTGGTGGTGAACCAACGTCACTACAAAAAGAATGGCCAATTTTATAGTACACGTGTCAAAATGTTAGTAGTGAAGCTTTCGCATCTTGATGAGTGCGTGAGCTTTCATAGGCCCGATTTGTTGTCTTGTCCTTTTATTAAACTTTACAAATCGTCACTGTCTTGATAATTAGATGTGCTTGTGATTAGGTCACAATATATCGACTCTACTAATCAACCGGTGTTTAAGAGTATAGTTTTCATGTTCGTTCAAACGTATATATGTGCATGCAAAACTGCAGATGTAAATATGTAATAGTAAAAAAGTAAAAGCACATGATTCTTGTCAAGTTTACTGTTGGATCAAATAAATTCATATTAAGGGTTTCGAAGAGAGTGACAAAACAATTGAGAAAAGAAACTCTAGCTAGATGCTTCGATAAATTAAAAGAGGAGGTTGAGTCCAACTTATTTCTTTTACTTCCGACAACGATACAATATCTTCTTCATGGATCTTCACTCACTTTTCTTTCTTCCTGTATAATTATATAGGTATCAATAATTCTCACCAATAATCATAAAATTTTAAGACTAACACGGACGGTGGTGTAGGCCTACTTTTACAAAAGTGAGAAAAATGTTGGTTTATTTTAAATAAATATATTAATGAAAAAGTTGTTTTCATTGGGTTGGCATTTTGTGAAATGGTATATATAATTATGTTTCCGCAATGAAATGATTAGACGCTGGAAACTAATAAGTGGATGCATGCATTTGTGCTCTTCGATTTGCTTGGTATATTGTAAAATTACATAAACGTATACAGTTACCTCTTTTTGATGTTGATAGAATGTTGTAAATCATTCTTTCGAGGATATTTCTTTAGAGCTATAAAATTTTATAAAGACCACCTAGTACACTAAGCACAATCAATTAAACGAGTTATAGTGATCACGATGTTTACTAGTTTAGTTACATATACGTTTTCGTAGGATTGATTATTATCTACTATTTAAAGTGGTCTTACTCTTAAGAGACCATTTGGTTTCGGATCAAAATGATGTTGCTATATATCTAAAGGTTTTTTTTTGGCCAAAAGATATATATATATATATATACATATATATATAAAGTTTAGCATTGTCAACTGAAACTAGCCCGTGGATATTGAATATTTTGTTTAAATATAAATTGTCCTAAATCGTCCGCGTCTAGACAGTCCAATTTGGACCAAGGCCGCGAGTTCCATGCAGTCACTTTATAACAATGGTAAGTCAAAGTTTCTATTCTTCTTTGTCCTTTCTGTAAAACTCGTCTTGGTATATATGAAGACTTCTCCTACAAAATTAGGTTAGTATAATGGTCTTTGGTCAGAACATGCTACTTTTCAACTATCCAAAAACAATTGGAATATTTTTAGTAAAATGCATTATTTCTTAGACAATTACTTTTATTTGAAATTCAGAGACAGAACAGGATTTGATGTGAACACTTATCAATTTATCATGTAGATAGCGGCGGTTCAAAGTTTTCCAAGATATTGGTTGTTTTCATCACAACTTGTTTTTAAAGTGTTTTAAAGACTTGAACTTGACACACGATGATTTTAAGTCTGCCTCATCTAACTTATGCTACCAAACGTAGAGAACATCAAATTAATCTTACGTTGTTTTCTAAACAGTTGAGTACAGAGATCCAACGAAAAAGTTATTGAGCATAAAAGCTGAACTAGACAACTGCAAATTCATGGGCCTTATGGGTTATTTTCAGCCCAGCATCCAAAAGTATATGGACCACAAGCCATCTCTTCAACGTTTTTGGTTCCCTCCAATAAATTTTATATACCATGTATTGGTTTAAAACGTAATACTGCATGATAAATACAAATTGAAAACGATATGAAATGCAAATTCAGCCACATAATTCTGAATAAATCGTTTCACCAATAAGTTGATCAAATATTGTTGTAAAATTGATTGATACTTTGATAGAGATTGATGTTGATCAGTGGTACAGTGTACCATCTTTTTCTACCTTAAAAAGAGTTCATAGTTTCCTATTTAAAACAAGGCACCAACCGTCACCTCATCATAAATAATGGATTGACAAATACATTTTGTAACAAAAAAAAAAACTGATCTGTAAATTTTGGGCTTTGTTCGTGGACCATGACTTCAACATCTATCTACCACTAGCAGTCAGATTAAATTCATTTTTATGGAAGCTCAACTAGTGTTTTATATTGAAGACAGTAACGTTCATCCAATAAAATTTAAGATATGTACTGTGAAAATCAGTTTTTATTTGGAAATAAGAATCAGAAAGAAATGAAACACAATGATACTTTAGAAAGTACATAAATATTTTAGGATAAGTAAATTATGATATTTACATTTTGTGGTGTTTTTCATGGTTCTTTTGGCTGCGTCGAGTACTGAAGTTAGATCCTTAAAGCTACAAAACATACCTGCTCCTTTATTCTCTTTTAACACATCACGAATTCAAATGGTTTTTCTCATTTATTATCAACAAAGAAACTTGTTTCATAATCCATTTAACATTTTTTTCTCTTATTTATCTTTCTTTATATTGTTCTTCGATGCTTCCAATCAATTATTGTTTTGAGGAATATAAAAAAGAATAAAACGAATGCGGAATATTATTGAATGGAAAATAATGAGTGAAATAACATAAAGTAATCTATAATTTTTAAAAATATGCTTTCATAGCTTTTCTTAGGGTGTTAATTGTTATTATAAATTATTTCTTTCAAAAACAGATAAAAATTTATCTCACATTTCTCTTTTGTGATATAGCCTCTAGTAAAAATCAGTTAAAACACATTGCAGTATTACATTAAAAACTCATCGTGGATTATGTAAACTAATCGAAACACAACAAAACACATCCAAATCCAAATACATTAAATCCACTAAAACACACAATCCAATAGCACCTCCTTAGTTTATTAATCAAGATGTTGCTTCTAAAACTAGCATTTACAGTTATCTACCTAATCATTTCCAAACATTTTCTAACGTGCGCCAAATGAAAGAAATGAGAACACTACCTTTCAGAGAAATTAATCACGTGGAGTATTGTTTTTGTTCATTTCGTGATGTGGACATGCAGTTCATTTTCACCACACGTTATGTATTTTCCACGTGCCTAGGCTAGTTTCCTATCCAAAGAATGAAGTTTTTCTATATGTTTCGGCTATGTGGATGATCTCGTTATCGCTGGTGATAATGCGATTTTATCTCTTGGTTCAAAGAATACGTACTTTTATAATTGTTTTCGTATGAAGAATCTCATACCACTTTCTGTTTCTTGAAATATTTTGTATCAACTTGGTTTCTTCGATTTACATTGTATGTCTTTATACAGTTTGGTACTTCCTATTCTCTACGGTTTTTCCGTGACATGATAATATCAAATCTATGATTTATATGTATACTTAGTATTTTGGCTAAAAATTATAGAAAATTGTTAATGACAAAAAATATGCATTGATAATTAAGTTTTAATTTATTCTTTAATATGTGTGATAACTTCAAAATTAAACATTCATTTTTATGAACAGAGGGAATATATGGATTGAACGTCAAGAATTTTTAAGAAAGGCTGTATTAGTAGTATATGATAAAAGAAAATGATGACGGGTTTTTAATGTTTTATATTGTATCCAATTATTCGTGGCTGCTTGTAAATGCCTTAAGTGGTAAGAAAGACAGTAAATTCTGTCGGTTTTGGTCATTTTCGAAGATCATTTTGAATTTCGGAGGTAGAAATTTCGGTTAAGAAGACACAATGTATTTCATTGATATAGATGGAACACAAAACACAATTATGTTTGAATCAAATTTTCATAGCAACAATAACCACGTCGAGGTTATATTCATACAACATTTTTTTGTTAAAGCATATTCATATTATTAATATAAATATTGGTTGCATCACACTTTATCCGTCTGAAAAGAGACTAGTTAGGCGGAACAAAATGGTACGGGCGATGATTGCGTGATGCTCACTTACTCACGTAGTTGTCGGGAATCATCGGTGACACGTGTCGAGAACTCATAGGAGGGAGACATGGGCGGTACTGAGTTACGGAAGAGAAGAAGGAAGGAGAAACAAAGAGCTTTATTGGTGAAAGTGAGACCTAACGAATCTTAAACATCAGAATTGGTCAGAAGCAAGAGTTTGGCACAAACTACTATTCCTCTTTCTGTGCCACAAAAGCTACAATCAAGCAACAACTTATAAGTTACTAACACTGATTAATATTTTCTTTTAAACGAGTTCAATTATTGATACACAATTTTTTTTTTTTCTTTTATTACTCCCTCCGTTTCAAATTAGTTGTCGTTTTGGCAAAATGTATCTGCAAATATTTGGATATATCTGGACGTGTTTTGCATTGCAAATACATCCAAATAATTGCAGATACATTTTCCCAAAACTATAACTAATTTGAAACGGAGGGAGTATAAAAAAGTAAGAAGTTCATATGGTTTTTGTAAAGTCTTTATCCCACATATATTTAGCATCTCATTTGGTTTTCTCATAATATTTTTTAAAATGTATAATAGTACTTTTCTCCATTTCATATTATTTATCGTTTTAGAGATGTATTTTAACTTGAAAGACATCCAAATATATTTCTAGAACGGAGGGAGTATTAATTTGCATTTGAGTGGTAACACAACAATCATAAAGTAGATCGTTTTAGCAATGCTGCTATTTTAATTCAACGACATAAATATGATAACTAATCATGGGTGAGACTTTCCGTTTTTGACTTTTTTTTATTGGTAAACTTCCTTATGAAATATTAGTAGAACAAATAATCCAACATGAGATGATCCTGTCTGTCTGATTTATCCTATTTCCACATGATTAAAATCCACAGCCTCATCATTTATCAATAAAACAATATTATTATAATAATAATCCCAAAACAGATAATCGGAAACCTACGTGGGTCACCACTTCCCCAAGTCCTTTTCCATTTCCGCAAAAGTATGTTCTTTTTCGTATCAGAGCTAAACTTAACCATTAAACTCTGATCTCTGTCGATCGAACGGTGAGCGTTAGAGAAGTGTACCTGCACCCGCGTCGCAGAAGATACAAAATCTACGATCCTCGCAGAAATATAAAAGTATTAATTTTATATTTTATTTAAATCGAAGAAAATTATAAATTTAATTATTAAAATATAAAATCGCGAAGAAGAGGAACACAACAGTAACGCAAATCAGACTGCACACTCCAAGGAGCTTTGCATACTCAACAAGCCACATCACACACATCATCAACTGAGTCAACTCGCTGGAGGTTATGTGCAATCAGTGAGTCGATGGATCCGAGTGGGATGATGAACGAAGGAGGAGGACCGTTTAACCTCGCGGAGATCTGGCAGCAGTTTCCGTTGAACGGAGTTTCCACCGGCGATGCTTCCACCACCGCCAGGGGTTTCGCTGTGCCTAACGTCTCCAATCAGTACGCGGATACGAATCTAACCACAACGGCATCTTCCGGCGATCAGGCGCGTATGAGTCACGCGCTATCTCAGGCCGTGGTCGAAGGTATCTCCGGCGCGTGGAAGCGGAGAGATGACGAGTGTGAGTCGGCGAAGGTCGTCTCCGCCGGAAACTGCAATGACGCGGTAACAGATATTCATGCTTTGATGAATAATTTAAATTTTGGAGGACTAATCTGAAATAATTTATTACAAATGTGTTTAGTTTTTTTTTGGTCGTGAAAATGTGTTTAGTTTGTTTTCAATTAAATTAATATAAATTAAAACACTCAAAAACAAAACAGAAGAGATTGGTAATAGTGTGACTGTGTGATGATTTTATAAATTTTTCCATTTGATTAATTTGGCCACTCAGGCACTCATAATTTGTTTTTGTTGGTTTGATCAGAGTGAAAGTGACAAGAACAAAAGACAGAAGATGATAGATGAAGTGTGTAATGAGAAAGGTGAAACAGAATCGGCAGGAACAGATCAAAAGAAACAGCAGCTGATGGAATCAACAAAAGATTATATTCATGTCCGAGCAAGAAGAGGTCAAGCTACTGATAGTCACAGTCTTGCTGAAAGAGTAATCAATTATATTAATTGGTGTTTTAATTTTTTTTTTCTTTTTGGTTAAATGAGTGAATCTTGATTTAGAAGTAAAGAATTTTGATTTTCTTTGGTTCTTGGCAGGCGAGAAGAGAAAAGATAAGCGAACGGATGAAAATCTTGCAAGATCTTGTGCCTGGATGTAATAAGGTAATCAAGAAACTTTTCTTCTTTTTGCTTTAACACAATTGATTTTTTAACTTTTTATTTTACAGGTTATTGGAAAAGCACTTGTTCTAGATGAGATCATCAACTATATACAATCATTGCAACGTCAAGTTGAGGTTAAACTTAATTTTCTCTCTTTTCTATTGTTTTTTTTTGTTACGTACTCTATGTTAGTCTTATAAGTCTCCTTTCGATTTTTCTTTCTAGTTTTTATCGATGAAGCTGGAAGCAGTCAATTCAAGAATGAATTCTAGCATTGAGGGTTTTCCACAGAAAGAGGTGATGAAACTCAAAAGATTTTTTTATTTTTAATTTTTTAATTTTTTTGGTTAGCTAATCTCTGTTTATTTTTTTTGGTGAAATTCAGTTTGGTCAGCAAGGGTTTGAGAATCAAGAAATGCAGTTTGGGTCGCAGTCTACAAGGGAATACAGTAGAGGAGCATCACCAGAGTGGTTGCATATGCAGATAGGATCAAGTGGTTTCGAAAGAACATAACAACAAACATGTTACTCACTACAACTAAGAGAAAATCCTCAGAAGAAAAAAAGTATATACTATACATATATATATCTCATTCTCATTACAGATATGGATGTGAATATATTTACACGTCTTACTGTTATGTAAAAAAAAAGAAGAAGAAGAGGAAGCTATATATTGTTTAGTTTCAACATCAAGCAAAAAGCTGTTAAGGATTTCGTTTATTTTTAGAAACGTGTTAAAATGTTCTTTTTCATATTTCAAAAGTAGAAATCTCTTGTAAAAGAAAGTAACGTTCTCTTGGTTATAAATTATTGTGAAGTTGATTACGAAACATACCATGGTTTAGGATAAGGTTTTCATAATAGAAAACCTTCTTCTTCTTCCTTTGTTTGTTTTCTGCAAAAGAGACAAAAGCAAACACTTGTGTAAAACCTTGGTTTCTCTTGGATTTTGAGGGCAAGAGATCCCTCACAATATATACATGTAGCCACTCAAGGTTCCTGGTTAATTTCTTCGTGTCATTTACTTTCTTGCTTTTATAATTAAGAACAAAGAGAGCAACTAGAACAAGGTCTAGGAATCCGATGTGCCTCTAACAAGTGGTATCAAAGCGCAAGGTTCATTGCGTCCTGGTGTAAGAAGTTTGAAGATTATAAGCAGTTAAGGAGACAAACATAACATAAACATAAGAAGAAGCCTAGAGTTTTTATTCGGTTTGATATAAGGAATATACCTCTTTTTTGCTACTCGACTGCCAAGGGGTTTTCTTGGGTATCATGTGGTAATTTGCTTTTGTCTATGAGATGAAGACCAAGATATTCACATTCTCTCCAGCCTACCATCAAAGTTTGAACCGTCAGTACATAGTCTCAACTCTCAAGTATGAAAGTGGAAGTGATGGTGAATGAAATTGTAACTAGTAAAAAGATTACTTAAGAGTAAAAATATTGTCCACTCCCTCGTAATATTTTTGTTTTGGTTAAAGGGCTTCTCCCTCATAATGTTATGTTAGTTATGCCGTCTCATTCTATTTTTACACTTGAAACATGATTCTGTTACGTTATAAATAGCTGGCCACTTTGCATGGAACAAATGAAGTGTAAAAACACCATTTTCTCATTGGTGTCATGCATATTGATTTATGCTAAAAACCTCAAATGAGTTTCCTATATGATTGTTACGTTATTTTGACACCAAAAGAGGTTACTTTTGTTAGTTTCCCTAATTTTTCATCTTCTTAATTTAAATTACATAATATATTTGCATATATCTAACATCTTTTCTTTTAAATGCTGAAATAATGCTAGTATTTTTTTGTTTTAGATGTTAATTCTTGAAAGTAATCATATGGAGCTCTCCATCTTAAACATATGATTATATATATATATATATATTAGCAAAACATGATAAAATTGTCATATATATTATAATATTTTACTTATGATTTACATATATTTTTTTGTTAAAGATGATTTACATATATTTTGCTTATAAATTTCTTATAAATTTCTTATGTTATACTTATTTTTGTAAAGCAAATTTTTTGCAACTTTCTACTTTCTATGTATAAATTAATTGTTTACTTATAAATAAAAATAATTTCCTTATTCTAATTACTAAGCCAATAGTTTCAAGTAGAGACTTCTCGACACGTAATAAGTTAGCTAAGTCTCTTTTGGCTTGCAACTGGATTCCGAACGTGACAGTGGCCAATGACGGGAGTGGAAGAAGTCAATATTACTTTGACTTCTAAACGACCGACAATTTATCACCAAAGGATGATCGCTCACAATATGTTAAAGTAATTTTCGGATGTGTTTTGGGTGTAAACGAAATGTAATGTAATTTCCGGCAAACATGCCGGTGGTGGTCTGGTGCTTTTTGACAGTTTTTTAACTTTCGCAATTACTGTTCATCGTCACTATATGGTTATTGTTCTTCGTGATTATATGGTGAAGACATCGCATTATAGAAGGATCGAATATGGAGAAGAATAATATTTTTTTTTGTTAATTATATACATATATAACAACTAAAATTCTCTTAATGGAAACTTAATTTTCTTAATGAAAATCACAACTTTCATCAAAATAAAGAAATGAAGGTTTTCCAATTAGATTTGTAGTTATTTATCAAGAAAAAGTTAGTTTTGCTAATTAATTTCCCATTTAACTTTTCCAAATATTTTTAATTTTAGTTTTTTACTGTTGACAATGATTTTCATTTTTTAACTTTGTGATATACATTGGACTTTTTTACATATATGTTTATTAATTAATAATTATGGTGATTTTAAATATTTTGTTCCACATTCTGCTTCTATCTATAACCATAAATACATGTGATGAAAATATGTTTTTCATTTATTTATTTCATGACATTTTAAAAAATAAGAGAAACCATATGCTTCTCATGATAAAAGACAAACATTAGGAAACTAACGTTATTTCACATAATAACAACAACAATGATCAGGTGCCACAGGCTTTTTGAGATCCAGAGGACGACATTCTCCATTATTGTACCCTTTTGATATGCAGTACACTTCACATTCTTTCGATTGATATGAACTCGAACATAAAATATCTAAACATTTTACGCCAACGGAAATATGATTTGCTTTGATCTCTGCACATGTATACACAAACCGTCCACATTAATTTAACCAACATGCTATATATATATATAATATATTCAAAAACCCATATTCTTTAATCACTTTTCAAAATTTCACGTTGTGTATTATATTGTTTTGGGGAAATTTCAAAACTACACCTTTTGAGATGCCAATTTTCAAAAATACACCTCTATGGTGCCAATTTTCAAAACTACAGTTTTTTCATTTAATAAAAGAACTCTAAACCCTAAAATATAAATCCAAAACCCTAAAATCTAACATTGAACCCTTTAATCTAAACCCTAAATCCCAAAATCTAAACCCTATATAGGATTAGTGAACCCAAACATATATATTAAAATTGGGGAAAGGTGTATTTTTGAAAATTTTCATACTATAGGTGTAGTTTTGAAAATTTGCACCTAAAGAGATGTATTTCATAAAATTTCTCTACTGCTTTTAGAAAAATAGATGATAAACGCTAATAAATTGCATTAGCTAGTATATATGAAAGGAAAAACATATCATGGATGTTTAATTTATAGAAGAAAAAACATACTTTGGGTGGACAAAGAAACAACCAATATAACAACAATAAAATAAGTTGCAAAGTTTTTTATGAAATTCATTTTTTCATTTTTTCTTTGTCTAAATTAAATTCTATTGAAGAAACAAACTGATTTGGGATCTCTACATTTTGAGAAAACTCTATTTATAGAGAATTTTTAATATCAGAATTATATACGTAAAATATTATTTCCTTTTTTTATAAAGATCTCAGTATCATTATACTTCCAAAAGATTCTCAAGACTTCATGAAAATTTTAAAATATTGCCATAAACAGTTTTTCATATTTGTTAGTAACATCATATTTTAAATACTGCCATAAACCAAAATGGTCTTGGACTCTTGGTAGAGTCGTATATATGTATTCTTGGTTCTAACCATACTTTCCATGGATTGAAGGATCTCTCAAGCCACATCTCGTGTCACTTTCCACGAGTCATCAATTGCTGACTACCACCAACAATGGATGATTCAATTCTCTATATATAGTTTATAGTGATGAATTCGAGAAACAGATGGGGTTAAAGTGTTTAAGAAAAACTTGAAGTAAGTTCATTGAGAACTTGGTGTTGGTATCATGATAATGATACTGAAATTCAACGATGGGTCTTAACTCTAATATAATGATAATGGGAATCAAAGCTACATCTGAAGTGGTTGATGAGACGATGCCATATTGGAATTGGAACGTACGTTAGTAATGTCATCGCTTCAAGCCATTCAATGGCCGCTTCGATTCAGACTTCAATCTTCTTCATGTTATCACCTGAAATCTTCTCGCACATACATGCTTGTTTTTGTTGCTTTTTCTATGAGTTCAACGTATAGGAACAAGTGTCCACAATGATAATCACATTTAATGTTCATTGTCGAACTCTGAATTATGATAAAATCTCCATCCAACTTGGCAGCACGAATTAAGGTTATACATTATAACAGTAAATATATCCATTCAACAATTATACTTTTGTTCTTCCGTATGGCATTTAAACAGAAGCCAGAAATTTTTAATGGGAATCAGAACACAAAAGAGAAAATAAAACTTCGTTTACATAATCAATTTGTTTTACATAATCCATTTTCTTAATAAAAGAATATATATTACCTGCTTCTCTATTGCTGGAGAGTCTTAAATAATATTCAAAAGAGGAATGTGCTGGACTTTGTAGTATTCTTCTCCTCCTCTAGACAATTTCTTCCAGAATTCTAATGTATGTGTGTTCATATCTAGTTCTTCCAAGGAAGTGATAAATCTTAGCCCATCTGGAAGCTCTTTTAACTTTCGACAATTACGAATAGTCAGAGTGTGAAGAAGAGGCATGGAGCCTTCTTCTACTATCCACTCTTCCAAATCAAGAAGTCCAGATAATTCAAGCTTATGCAGCTGAGGAAACCCACCGCCCGAGCAAACCATTCTCTTCCCACAGAAAGATTTATTCAATAAACTAACCTCATATAAGTGAAGAAGCTTCTCCAGAATCTGCATAGGATCCTCCTCCAAACAACAACCACTCAGAGTTATGCTTGTAAGATAAGAAGGGAAACGTTGCGCATCCGGTAACCTCGGCATATATATACTCAACTTGAGCTGTTTGAGATTCATGCAATCCAAAAAAAATCCTTCTTCATCATTGGTGGGAGCATACAACTTGTAATCATCATATATAGTAAGAGTTTCCAAGTGGCTTAATCCACTTAGAGATGAAGATAGAGTTTCCATTGTACAACCTTTGCCGTTGAATGAGATAGAGAGGGCTTTGAGACGTGTCATACCTTGGAGATCCCTCACACTCCCATGCTCTGTTGAGAAATTCTCCAATGTCTCCAGGTTGACTAAACTACCCAATTCCATCTTTACTTTATCATGTATCATCAACGGAAGGAAGAGGTTCGTTAATACTCGCATCTCTTTCAAGAAATGGGCATGTAGATTGAAGATCTCGCATCTACACATAGGTTTAAATAGAGCAACATCTTCAGATTCCGCATAGAAGAAGGTAGATGAGTTACATTTGCCAAATATAAACTCAAATATCTCAAGTGGATGAGCCTTCCAATGCTAGAAGGTAGCTTCCCTCCCTCAAACTCAGCTCTAGAGAGATCTAAAACCCTCATCAACTTTAACCTTGTAAAGGTTAAACTTGGTGCCATCCAATCTTTTCTCCTCCTGTCCTTCAAGATAACCAAGACAGATCTAAGTTTTGGATTATTCATCTCACTCTCCACATCAAATGTTTTATCAAGTAGATGTACAGCAAGTCTGCGAGATTTACAAGGAGATTCAGAGTTCACAGTTGAGGTGCCGTTAACAATCTGTAGGAAGTTCTCTTCTTTGGCTTTAAGAAAACAAATTTCTCTCATCATGTCATGCAAGTGACATTTCTCAAATCTCAAAGTCCTACCATCTCTTTCGGACATAACCATATTTCTTTTAACCAACTCCTCTATGTAGCCTTCCGCAACATCTCGCACGCTTGCTCTTTCATAATACTCTGGCTTTGAAATTCTTTCCGCAGCCCAGTAGTAGGACAGTTTTTCCACATCTATTGGATAATCTTCTGGAAAATGGGCGAGGTAGAGGAAGCAGTGCTTCAAACAACTAGGCAACTCTTCAAAGCTCAAAGATAATACATGATAAACCAAACTGTTGCTATCGCCATTTAAACTAGTCCCTCCAACAATGTTAGATCCTATATTCTCATATATCCTTTTCCACTGATGCAATGTGTATTGAGAAGCTAACAAGCCTCCTAACACTTTTACAGCCAACGGTAGTCCTCCACAGTGTTTAATCATCTGCTTACCCATCTCTTCCATTTCATTAACCTTATATTCTGCACAACATTATCAAATGTATAATCATTCTTTTCGGTTACAAGAATGTTCGAAAGGACCATATCCATGTGTTGGAGATATTGTAATTTTATTTAAGGCTAAGAACATTATTGTCCTTGAAAACTTACCGGTTGTGACTTTCCTAGGAAATGCTATCATTTGAAAGAGTGTCCAACTTTCTTCTTGATTTAAGCATTCTGGTTTGAAGGTGAAACATTCCGGATCGGCACGTAATGCCACTCCCTCATTGCGAGAAGTAAATAGTACCTTCCAATCTACAAACAAAAATATACACTTTTTTTTACATAACTCCCTATCAAAAGGAACATAATGATATATGACTAATATGCATGTGTGCCTCGTTCTGACCTTTCACTTTTTTTTTTTGTTTTTTTTTTCACCCAAACAAAAAAGTTATGAAGAACATTAATAAAAGAATTATCTAATGTATGTACAATAAGATGTCACCTTTTTGCCGTGGAAACATTGGTTTTATTATGTCCCAGTCCCCTTCATTCCATATATCATCAAGGACAATCAAAGTCTTTTGTATTCCCAACAGTCGAACCAGTTCTTCTTGGAGTTCGTCTTCTGACATTTCTAACACCTTATATTCTGGCCTGAGTTTCCGCAAGGTCGTCTGCCACACATACTCCCTTGTAAAATGTTGTGAAACACTTACCCATGCCAATCCTTTAAAATGACTTTTAACTGTCTCATGATTAAAAACTTGTCTTGCAAGGGTGGTTTTACCAATACCGCCCATCCCCGTTATAGAAACCACTTGACTGCTATCTTCCTCCGCCAAATAGCCAACCAATTGATCAACATTCTTCTCCAACCCCACAAGATGCTCTTCATTGTCAGTAGAAAACGTTTGTCGCATTTCCCTTTGTCTCTCATGTAGAGTCTGTGTATACCTTTCATCGACAATGATTTGTTGTACGCCAAGACTCTGCATATCACGGATCACCTTAGAGATCCTCTTACTTATGGCTCTCATATCGAAAGCAACCCCCATGCGGTTCACAACAACGCTAGAAAATCTTCTAACACTGTTCCTACTAGTTTTTCGGAGCTCTTCCTTTAGAAGAAAGATTTCGATTATATCTTCTGCGTCGTATACAATTTCTTTGATCTCTTTCACAGTGTTTCTCACCATAGCACTTGTATGTTTCTTGGCATCCGCATCTTCCAAGAAGCACCTTAACATGCTCAGATCACTCTTTAATTCGTCGAATTGCCCATCAACTCCCTGAAGTCGCTCAGATTCTCGAGCAAGGAGGTCCCATAGCTTCTCAACTCCAAACGACAAAAGTGTCTCAGCCATAAATCTTGCTTGACCAAGAAATGAGGGTAATAATCAATAACCACTAGAGGGTCCATGAGTTCATAATTCGGATAATACTATTTGCAAAATTTACAGAACAAATCCACTATTTTGTGGGATTTAATCCAACAGATCTTCGTACATAGGCATGATCATTATTGAGATATAAAAAAGTAAACTCAAAAATACCAAAGATTGAAGCAATTTCTTTCACACAAAACAAGAAAATTAAGAATGATTACCTCCTGGAGATTGCTTGTCTTCCAACTGATCTGTAAAAAAATGGCGATGTGTTCGTTTAGTGTTTGGTCGGAGCTTTGCTAAAGATCGAGATAAGGGTTGACTCCAAGTCAATACTGTCCAAAAACCAGCTGTAGCGACTAGCGAATATAATGATGTGTGAATCCAAATTATTGAAGTCAAAAGCAATTTTCTATGATTGTAGCCACTTCCTACTTGCCACGTGTCATTTTACATTTTACACTGAAAGAGTATATCCATCTTAGCTGCAAACATGTAAAAACTCACACACACTTGAAAGCTATATACACCAGCAGTCACATAAAACAGTTACAAGACTGAGGTAACCACCCAATAGAAACAAAATTTCAGGGAACAAACTAGTAAATCAAATGAAAAAGACTATTTGTTTATGCACGGCCACTAGACATTGACATTGGAGTCATTGATGCCCTGCAAAGCCACGGACCATGTCACCCAATTCGTAGAAAAGGCCACCAACCCCGAAATGAGTTTCTTCTAATAAATGATTGGAAACCTTAAATTGTCATTAAAGTTATACAATTGCCAATCTTATTATATAAATTTTGATGCGCGCGACGAGAGCTTGACATTAGTTGACATTAGGATTTTAATAAATCATCAAATCACGACATATGTCATTATTAATTTTGAACATATTAAGATCTGATATATGTAACATTAAATAAATGATAAAATTTGCTACTTAAAAAAATGATATTAGAAAAATAAATAAAAAGGCAAATAAACTTATGGAAAAGGGGAAAAAAAGAAAAAAAATAAGGAAAATAAAAAATCATTAGAAAGAACAATGACATCATTAAAAAGGAATACAAATAATTAAAAAAAAAAAAATCTTTAGGAAAAAACAATGTGATATTTTCAATAAAAAAATCAGAAGTAAAAACAACACGAGGAATTTATTTTATAAAAGGTTAATTCTTATGAAAAAATAGATAAAATTTTAAAATTTTATTGTGTGATTGAGGATAATCGTTCTGATTATGAAAAGCGTTGTGATTAAGATGAATCGAGAAAGCATGACTCTAATTCAATTATTGAATTTTTGAAAATGTACATATTAAAAAAAATGATTTCTAATGGTGCAGTTTTCTAATTTTACTTTTTTTTTAAATGATAAAGTTTTTTATTTTATTTTTCTATATTATCTCTAAAAATGTAAAACACTATATTATGAATCCCGTATACGCGGATTCTAATATAGTTAATAAAAATTATCAATTTAAATTAAACTAATATGGTCAATATTAATTATTTTAATTTTTAAATATGTTTCCTTTTTATTCTATAGTTTTAATTAATTTTATTTTGGGATCTATCGCACTAAACAAAAGTTTATTAAAGGTTAATATGAAAATAAAAGGAAAAATGATTTTTTTGTGTCCAAATCAAATGAAACAAGTATCTATAGAGAATGAAAATTGATGAATTTTATATAAAATGAAATATTTTTATATTTAATTTAGTATGAAATAACTGTTTTAAATCATTTGGAGGGAAAAGAATTAACCAAAAATCTGAACGACCAATGGAAATATAACACATATATTTATTATATGATTTTTTTTATTAATCAGGACGTGACATGGCAACTCAATGCCTGCACTTTCTCTGATTCAACAAGTTATTCAACTCTGTTTCCTCCTTACCATATTCAACTTTATATTCAACACTCCATTAAAGCCATTAAATTAGTCTAAGATCCTCTCAATGGAAATATTCCAAAAACTCTCGTTTGAACTCTATAAAGTCTCAAATCTTCAACACACCACACCAAACACAAACCCTTGACATATTCTTTATCTAAGGAAAAAAAAAGAGGACAAATTCATACGTTTTTTTGCGAAGACGTGAATTTTTCCATATATATTTTGATCGGTCGTGTCCATTAAAACCAAAACATGGTCTTGGTAGTGTCGTATGTGTTCCTAGTTCTAACCATTCTTTCCATGGATCTAAGGATCTCTCAAGCCACATCTCGTGTCACTTTTCACGAGCCATCAATTGCTGACTACCACCAACAATGGATGATCCAATTCTCTAGAGTTTATAACGATGACCTCGAGAAACAGATGAGGCTTAAAGTGTTTGAGAAAAACTTGAAATTCATTGAGAACTTCAATAATAATGGGAATCAAACCTACAAACTTGGTGTCAACGAATTCACGGATTGGACCGAAGAGGAGTTCCTTGCCACCCACACCGGTCTCAATAGCATTAACCTAACTTCACCATCTGAACAGGTTGATGAAACAATTTCATCTTGGAATTGGAACGTTAGTAACGTGGTCGCCGCAAGAAAAGACTGGACAAAGGAAGGAGCTGTGACGCCCGTCAAATCGCAAGGAGGATGTAGTAAGTTTTCCTTTTAATTATATATTAAAATCCGAATTCCAAAGTTATATATCATTCTAGGTTTAGGGTTAGTTCCGTAACAATGAAGTAATCCCTATATGCGCAGATGCTTGTTGGGCGTTCTCAGCGATTGCAGCGGTCGAGGGTCTGACAAAGATTGCACGAGGAAACCTCATATCACTGTCCGAACAGCAGCTTGTAGATTGCGACAGATCACGTAACTATGGTTGCAAGGGTGGATCAATGGAAGAAGCTTTCAGGTACATGGCACAAAGCGGAGGCGTTTCTTCAGAGAACGCATACCCTTTCCAAGTGAAAGACGGGACTTGCCGGTCCAGCATCAAACCGGTCATGAAGATCAGAGGGTTCCAAAGGGTTCCACAAAACAACGAGCATGCATTGCTCCAGGCCGTATCGAAGCAGCCTGTCTCGGTGAGCATTGACGCAAGCGCGGCCAGCTTCTTCCATTACGCTGGGGGAGTGTACAATGCTCGTGACTGTGGGGCCAACGTGAATCATGCAGTGACGTTTGTTGGGTACGGCACGAGCGAGCAAGGGATCAAGTACTGGCTGGCTAAAAACTCTTGGGGTAAGACTTGGGGAGAGAACGGTTTCATTAGACTCCGTAGAGATGTGGAGTGGCCTCAAGGCATGTGTGGTATAGCTCAGTGGGCTTCTCTTCCTTATGTGTGACTAGAATTTGTTAGATGATTTTATATTGAAGTATTTCATACATTATGGAGTTTGAATTATTTTTAGATGTGGTGTAAATCTACATCGTACCATAAGCTTGATCTTGAGCACTAATGTTCATTTTATTGCTCCATATAATGTATCAATGACTTACTTATAAATTGGACTTAGTAAGACAATTTAAGACAACTTGTTTGAAATTGTTTGCTCCACATAATACATCCTCGGCGTCAAAAAAGAGATTTTGTTGATCTCTGATCCACACCATTTTTCACCATTTCACTTTCATGTTTCTTGGCGTTTTAGTGTTTACTTTTAAAAAAGAATCAAACCTTTTTTTTTTTTGTGATGTGGTCTATCTAATTTTGGGGGCAATGTATATTATTTTAATTTTATATTTTGTCAGAAGTGTAAATATTATGATCTCTGAAAAGAATGTCAATAAAAAAAATGTTCATGCTTCAGAAGTAATAATAATAATAAAAATAAAATAAAAAATAAATAGCACCGACCTATGATTTGGGCGGGAAACAAACAGAATTATGACCGTTGGAGAAGGAAGCTTCTTCTGCGTCTTCGACTCTCTTTATATTTGCATTAGCCTCTCAATTTTTTTTTCTTCACATCATTACTTCTCTCTCTCTCGGTTTCTTGCTACGATCAAGTTTCAATTTTTAATCTCTTTCCACTAAATTACAACGCTTTCTTTCTAAACCCTAAAGATGGCTCCTCGCGAGAAGAAGAATCTCGTCACGATCAATTCCGATGACATCGTGAAGAAAAAGAGAGCCTTTTTCAAAAAGAGTTTCCCTAATTTCAAGAAGAAAGCGACGGAGCTCTCAATTCTGTGCGGCAACTCCGTCGGGTTTATCTGTTACGGACCCGACGACGATCTTTACGTCTGGCCGGAGACGAAGGAAAACCCGCAAGCCTTAACACAGATCGTGGCCAAGTTCAACGAGCAGAGCGATCTAAGGAGGAAGAAGAACGGCTGCAATCTCAACGATTTCCCAAATCTCGAGGGTTTGTCTATTGAAGAACTCACGAATCATCTCTCTTGCATCGAGTCCCACTTAGCTGGAATCAAGAAGAAAAAGGTGCTAATTGTCATCGAGAGGATCAAGGGTTCCAAGCACAAGGAGACGGAAGATCATCTTAGGGTTTCAGACGACAACGCCGCCACCTTCTCAAATCATTCGTTAGTTGAAAATCAATTAGGGTTTGGTGGCGTTTTCGACGAATAGGGTTACATCTTTGCAGGGCATTAGCGACTATCATAATTCTCGGCCATGATTTGATGATCATTATTAGTAGTATATCTATGTAATTCTACGTTGTTCTTATTAGGGTATTGATTATTGTATTCAAATTAGTCAATAGCAGCTTTGGCAAAGAGCCCTAGAGGGATTATTAATTCGACTGATGAACTCTGCTAATTGTATATTTCCGCTATCTCAATATGAAAATAGTTTCCAATTTGCGTTTTGGTTGATTCCATTTTCCCTCTGATTAAATCTAGGCTACAATATTTTAACTGAATTGCTTTGTTAAAAAATAAACGAACGACAAATTGTCTACTACTCTGAGACATTCATGTGAAACACACAAAATATAAAGATTAGATGCTAAAAAAAAGAAAAGAGAAAGAAACAGTTTCAATGAAGAAGGAAAAGCAAAACATATGACCAAATGAGACGAAAACTCATGATATGTGTCTCTCTAACAATAATATTTTTCTATCTACAAAAACACACGCAAGTACATCATCATCATCATATCACATATCATAATCATTTTTTTTTTAAACTAGTGAATGAAATAAGAAAACAGTAGTCCCAGAAACAGGGACCAATCCAAACCCCAAAAAAAGAATGTGCTTTTTCTTTTGTTTTTTATGCTTCTCCTCCAATAACAAACCTGTGAAAAATCAAAACAGGTTTCTTCCTCTAATACCTGTAAGACGATCCAGACTGTGGCGGTGCTGGTGGGAGCCGGTTCGGCGTGGTACGACGGCTGCTTCCTCCGCCGGATCCAGAAGAATCCTCACCGTTCTGAGCTGGATCACTGTAACGCCGGCTATGACCACCAGATCCGTACCTTTTCAATGAGTCAGATCCACTAGCAGCAGCGTTGAAAGCGTTCATCCAATCTTCCCCTGACGAACCTCCATTGGTTCTTGGGCTGGCCTCTGCAGATTTATATACAACGCAGCTTCACTGTTACAGAACTAGAGGACAAATTTTATAAAGGAGGTTAATTTGTATGTACGTACCATTGCCACTAGTGTCAGACCAGCTTGAAGCAGCGGCGGCTCGGTTGTCGTGAATGCTGAGCTGCCTTGTGAGCGTTGAAAGAAGAGAGGATTGCTTCTGGTAACGGTCTCTTCGTCTTTTCACATTCTGATCCTCTTGAATCAACGATTCAATCCTCTCGTTACCTATCGCACTGCAGATTCAAGCAAGAGAGCGAGAGAGAGAGAGAGAGAAATAAGCACCAGACCGCAGCTACGTCGTATTAAGTAAATGGATATGAAAGGATGTAGAACCTGATAGAGCTGTATAGCTGATTAAGCATGTCCTCTTTTGATTTCTCCACTTGACAAAGAACAACGGCCTTTGGAACATTTGCAGCTAAGCTGTTGAGAACAGCTTCGACGTAACCACGTACTTCTTGGGACATCCACCGCAATTCCTCTTCCGGGTCAGCTGGTTTCCTAACCATCTTATCCTGGAGAAAATATATTAAATAAACCTAAGCAAAACCGTAATCTACCACAGCATCAAGGAAACTAAATGCCTTACATGCCCCAAACAAAAGCCATCTTCAACGTTTTAGGTCTAACAAAATCTCAACCCTCTTTCAAGTATCAGCTTTTACTTTTTACAGCATATTTCAGTTTTAGCTATATCTTCAACGTTTTTCAGCATCAGTTTTTACGTTTTACTCATTCAACAACGACTATATCATAGTGATATTGGTACTGGATTAAGGCCAGCTGACACATATTTAACCTTCAAGGGAAAGTAGAAAATAAAAATCACTGAAAGTTTCTTTGTGTCACTTACAAGTGAACCTTCTGAAAGACTTTGTCTCATGGAAATGTTACCAACTTGGCCTCCTCGGGCCTGTATAACCTTTTGCAGCTTATTAATCCATTCATTCTTATCGACCATGCTCTCGGCTTTGAGAACCAGCGCATTGTGAGCTGCAACATAAGAGCTTTTGAGGAGTTGCTCATAGTAAAAGAGTAGAAAGAGGATCAGGGAGCTAATTATGTTAATCGCTTGACATTACCTTTAAGTACAGTTTTATATGGAACCCTGCATGTTATCTTAAATACAAGGCCTGGCCCTTTCGAATCAGGTCCATTTGATTTCTTATCTTTCGAGCTCTTTGATTTTTCTGCTTCTTCATCAGGAATTTCTTCGATACTGCATTCCTGAAAAGTTTAACAGTGTTTCAGGAGACAAAGAATACCTCGATAAAATTGCACTAGGCTAAGAAGCATCCGGTTTTTCTCATCAGACCAGGTGGAAAACGAGTATTGCAAGAGAATGATACCTCCAAAGTGACAGTGCCTCGGAAGTTCCTTTCTTCTTGCTTTTTCGTATAACCAAGCTGAAGAAAAATAAATGCAAAGGCAGATCACTTAGCAACAATCATAAAAAGAAGTGTTTTAGAAAAAAAGAGAACAAAATTCAAAATTGTAAAGGATAATATACAAGCTACCATTCAATTTTGCAAATACTTTTGTGATAAACGCTAACCTTTCCAGTTTTTTCATTCAGAACAAACCATCGCCTACTCCACCCATTTGTCTTTGCACTTTTCTTCATTAGGTACCCTGCACGACAGAGTAAAATATAAGTTATAGTCCTTGGAAAAACTCAAACCCATGAAAGTTCATCCTACACTAGTTCAACGCTAAAGTGGCAGACAAGAAGAAGAAGAAGAAGAAGAAGAAGAAGAGGTCGCTAGATTGGACAGAAAGAAAAGCTTGAAAGTAGGTTTTTTATCAGCAAGTAATATCAAGAAACGCTGATCCTACACCAATTCAAAGCTTAATTGACAGACAAGCCTAGAAGCAGTAAAACCATGCAATGCAAAACGTGTTTCATTAGACAGCCACTGTGTAGAAGTATATCAGATTAAGGACCTGCTGTTATTTCTCCCTCAGGTCCAGCAGTCTTCAGACCAGAGACCTCCGGTGTTTCTTTATCTTTATCTTTGTCTTTGTCTTGCGGCATCAATTTGTCTCTCAATGATTTCAAGCTACCACCAGTCGATGGCCCATCTGGCTGAGGACTAGTTGCCTGATTTACAAGCAGAAACAAAAATTGTTATAGTTTGTACTTTCATAGAAATAAAAGTTACAGTAGAAAGCACAATCCAGTAAGTGAATCTGAGATAAAGGCAAACCCGGTTTAACATAGACTGCTCTGCATCTTGTCCCTTTTTGGAGGAACGCCCTTTTAGCTCTTCCTCACGACGCTGCCTTTCCATTCTGATGAAGAAGACAATACGACCAAAGAGCGAAATAACAGTGAAAATCATAAAAACAACAGAAATTGTGTAAACGTGTATGTTTACATATCAAGACTTGAGCGAAAAGTGATGCAGTCATGTTACTAATAAGAAAGGTTAAATTTGTAACTGTCATGAAAGCAAGCAGAAACATATGTGTTCAATTCACAGAAAAGATACAAAAGCAGGACACCCACATCAGTAGATTTATTTGACATGTTTACAACCGTCATACATTAAAAGAGAATTTCCGATAATGAACAATAAGTTTGAGTATGATAAAGCCAATTCAAATGACAGAGCCGAAAAGCAAAGAAAGGCAAGCTGATGTTACCTTCTTTGCACGAGGCGGATGAAGTGCTGGGGTGGTACAAACGCACGTTCCATATCAACTAATGCAACTACCATCTTCTTAGCTTCACTCTTGAATCCATCAAGTGCGGCACTTGCTATAGCTACAACCTGGTTGATGAATATTTAAGAAAAGGAGCAGCTATTAAGAAGATGAAAAATGCTACTAAATGAGCAGTGAAAAGCATTATTACCTCTCTCTTAAAAGGAGGATATCTCCCAAGACCAGGTGTGGCATTCGCAGAAGCTGAAACTATGTCAACAAGTACTCGGTGAACCTAATCAAAAGTTGAGACCATATTAGCTCAGAAACAAAAGACAGTGGCAACCAGGCATGAACATCATCAAACGTGACAGTATTTACAGTAAGACTGTGTAGGACTCCAATGATCCTAGATCATGAAAATTAAAATATGATAGTCAAATATGTTGAATAGTCGATATGTAATAAGCCATCCAGTGTTTCGCAATTTAGTAAATTTCAGATCCTACGTAGTTCAAATTAGAGGAAGAAGACTAGATAAATAAAATATAAACACTAACATGGACACACCTCATCAACGCATAGTTTTGCTGGGTCTTTAGCCAATTCAAGAACAATTTTTATTAACGATCTCAACCCTTTCTCAGGAGATATAAGATACGGTTGATAACCATCTGCCTCTAACACGATCTGAAACAATTAGAAAATGAATCTGTCAAACTCCCATCTACATTTTTTACTTCTTCATAAAACTTGAGGCAGAAAAAGTAGAAACCCACCCTTTTGACATTATTTAAGTCAAAATATCTATCCAATGGAAGCTGCTTGATACGGTTAGGGAAATTGCCTTCAAAACTTGCAACAACTTTCCAACCACTTCCCTGAACCAAAATTTCGTTACAAAAATCATTTACCCAGCTCCAAAAGGGGCTTCAGCACATATAAGGCAAAGCCACAAGAGACGCAGTTAAAAACTTTTCAGTGAAACATATAGCATATACATCCAATATTAGTTTCATTAAATTCTAGGTAATAATCTTCTTGAACTTTTTATCTTCAATATTAAACCAGCTGATCGGTGAAATTTTACTTGGCAATGGAGGTGGTTTGCTTTTATTCAAAATTTCGAGACTAAAGCATTGTTCAACTTAAGTAGGAAAATACTCACTTCACCACCAGCCAAGTGGAGAAGAAACTTGTCCTCAAACTCACGGCAAAGCTCCAAAGCTATAGCCCTTGTACCTTCAGCACTGTTAACCAGTTGTTCACCAAGCCTTGCTAATTCGTCCTGCACTATTTGAGACTTACCCTGGAGCCTGTGCATGTAAGAAAGGAATTTAACAGATTAGCATTTTCATAAGAACCAAAAGGAGTTACAGGAACAACCGTCTGACGGAAAAGTTCAAAAACAAGAGACAGTCATCATGTAGTGGGAGACAAAAGAAACATATCAGTTTCACAGAGAATGAACATCCACCAGTTACCTTGCAAGCAATAGATCTTATTTTCAAAGCTCAGTAATGATGACGACAAGACTAGTACTATCCAATTCAGATGATTATTTCCTTTTGTACAACTATCTATTTTATTTATCTTCCTTAGCTGATACTACCTTTAGTTTTATTCCAATTTATCTAATCATCGTTCCTTTCCATTGCAAATTCAACATAACGGCTGATTTTCAAGACTTTCAGGTAGATATTAGTCTGTTAAATCCATTTGAGATATTGATATTGTTTTCCTTTGGCGAAACTAAGCTTCCACCAGCCTAAATGCAGCTCAAAAATAACAAGGACACAGCCTACTCGTACATATCATGGGAGCTTGAAAGTCTAGGTAACTAAGCCAAAAGATTAACTTCCACCTCAAAGAAAAATAACAGGTTGACTTTCATGGAGCAAACTGCATCTCTTCCCAAACAATCAAGTACAGAAAATAGGCAAAACAAACAATCCATTATTCATGCGCAAATATGACATATTAAAGCAAACATATGGAGAGAGGAAATACCCAGATAAGATATTTGGCAGTCTAAGCTTCATTCTGCTACGAATCTGGCTAGCAAGGGTGTCCACCAGGGCAATTCTGCCTAGTTTGCTTTGTGGAGCACCAGTCAAAATGGATTTAAGACTTTCACTCTCAGCACGCCAAGCAGTTTCTAAGGAGTTCTCACTTCCTCCAGACTGCGCTGATGCAATTGCGACAGATTGACCAATAAGTGCAACCCAAGGAATATCAGTTGTTTTTGAAGGTCCCTGATTTGAAAGAAGAGCCTGAACTGCTGCAAGGGATTTTGGGTTCTCTGTTGCCTGGTCAATTTTGCTGATAATACCAACAGTCCTAGTGCCTATAAACAAGGAAAGATGTCAATAACTTTTGTTATCGTATACAAAAATATATACCCAATGCTTTAGTCCAAATATAGGAACGTCACTAGGTACTTGAGATATATAATGACGGGTTTCTATAATGAAAATGTTAATGTACTCACTGTCTGGATCATACTCCTTTGCGGTCTTCAGGGCTCGAGATGACGAAATTTCAGATGCCTGGCTAGCCGGCACAACAACCAGCAGTATGGCATCATTGTGCTGTGCCTGTTCAGCAATCTGGCCAAGAGAGTAAAGAAAAAAATTACTAGATGATAAGGTAAATATGATACGGAATCTATGTTGCCCTTTCAGCCAGATTGTCGAATAACAAAATATTGAAAATCTCTATGTTTGACAGGTGGATTAGGGGCATGACAAAAGGCATCATAGAGTTCATAATCTTACCATTGAATCGTCCACAATTCTCTGGTCCAATCCAGGCAAATCAATCAATTTTAGTGGTGGAGCTGCAATTTAAAAGGGTACAAATATGTCATGATGTTACAGAAAACCGTAAGAAAACAATGGATAAATGATTGATTATTCATGTTCCTAAGAGAAACATCTTAAGTTAGTGCTTCAATTAGACATATAATCAATACCCACAAGTTAGCTTCACATTCTAAAAAAAAACAAAAAATTAAGCAGGGAATGTACATAGACTTAGTTAGTGGTGGCAACACATTACAGCTGACTTGTTCACTAATTCCGGGGACATATTCAGATACCCAACTTAGCTTTGATGATATGGATGCTAAATTGACCAGCAAATGGGGCTTCACATGTATGACTGCAAGTAACAAAGCAATTACCTGTGCTTGTACGAAGCTTTAGGTATATTTCATCACGACCCCTCCCTGTGGCTCCTTTGCTCAGCCTATCTTGTAGAGAATGTCTTAGGGCACCTATAATACACGAACAGACAAAATTACATCAATATTAATCTGAAGCATTGTATCATACACGCAGAAAAAGCTTAACAAATCATTGCCAAATTGCATATGTTCGCATAGGAAGCCTTACTTGCAGAAACTTGTTGAGTTTTATTGTCAATTTGTAAGATTATTGCCTTGCTGCTCAGTGATTCTTCCCTACTCAGGTCAATGATTATAGGAGCCCGTGTGGCACCATTCTCTCCCGTCGGCTGTCCATAGTGTAATTTGTAGCAGACAGACACAAGAGAAAGTGGTTAACTTAGAGAAAATGTATAAGCCAATAGTGACGTAAACAAACTTCGGCACACTCAATACAAAACTTACCAACACGGGGTGGCCGATTAAGCTATTCAACACTGCCGACTTCCCCGCTCCCTGATCCACCAAGCAAAGTGAGATAACATGAGAAAATTTCGTTCCAATCAATGCAAAGAAATGCAAAGAGCAATCTATTTTTCCATTTTACAACAGACGGAATCATTCGTTGTATACATAACAGAGAGCTCAATTGAAAAACAAACAAATCACAGTGGTCAGGGAAAAATTCGATCTAACCAGCGAAGCTCATACGTTTTTCTTCCAGAAATACACTTTCTGGAAGTGAATTTCTCATAGTTTCCAGGAATCAGTCTCATACAATCAAACAACTCCTGATACAGAAGAAACAAATGAAGCTACGAACGAAGAATGCATCCTACCAAACTCCTAGGTTACGGGAGCATTTCTACGAACCTCATCGAGATCTACAAGATCCGCAATACGGCATCCAAAATCTACACTCGATCACAGCATAAAAACTAGCAAACAAACCCCAAATACAACTAAATCGAGAAGAACAAAAAGGAGCAAGACGAGACTCACCACATTCCCTAGGGCAACGACGTTGAGAGAAGTGGCCGGTCGTCTAGAAGAAGAGCTCTCCTCAGGATCTTCGTCAGCGAGCAGCGCCGCCGCTTGTCTCATCGAATCCGAAAGCTGAGACAACTCATCGATCGCCTCCATCGTGACTTGCGCGAAATCAAAATCGAAATAACGGATTCAAAGTAACGAGATCTGGACGAAGAAATGGAGCCACTAGATCCGAGGAATACCGATGCCGATAGCCACACGGGCGGTGGATTTTCCGGCGGTAAAGATTACCGGAGTTTCGAATTCGGTCGCGGCGGTGCTAAGCTAAGATTTGTTTGTGTGTGTGTGTGTGTGTGTGTGTGTGCGTTTCTTCGTCAGGGAGAGAATGAGCGAAGACGAGTCATATAACACCGAACCACGTATTAATTAATTAACAAAGATTTCAAACTTCACAATAAGCTGAAATTTCACAGAAATGTGAATGCGTAAAATGTAGTTTAACAGAAACATTATAATCGCTAAAACCCAAACGAATTAAACATTGAGCATGTCCTAAACAAAAAAATCTTCAGCGTATCATAGACTTCAGATTTAAATTATGTGATTTGATTTTCTTCAGAACATGGACAAACTAGTTACTAGGCTACAAACTTCAAAATCAAAAAACATAAGTGAAAATGTGGGGAACAAAACAAACAAATATTATTGGAGCTGTTTTTCAAAAGGGATCCGTTTCAGATTAGTTGTCGTTTTGACAAAATATATACAATTATTTGGATGTATTAAACTCAAAACACATATAGATACATCCAAATCATTGCAGATACATTTTGTCAAAACGACAACTAATTTAAAACGGAGTGAGTATAACAATTTTATGTTCTTATGCATAACATTTTTCAGTTTTTTCTTTTTGGTCAAACCTTAAATTCATTAATTAGTATTTAGTACTAAGAAAACAGAACACTCACGAATTTAAAAATATTCACGGACTTCCGGCTCTTTTATACATCTAGAATACGAATAAGACCTATTCATACACCAGTTTAGGTATTGTTTTTTTCTCGGCTCTGTTAATACACCGTGTTATGCTAAGAGTATTTCCAATCCAACCCCATTTTGAAGACAATTTACTTTAATTCAACTCCATTTTCAACTTCAAAATGGCAAAATGCCATATTTTTTCTCAAATTGAGGATGATCTCATTTCTATTATGAAGTGGAAGATTTTTTATTTATACAAGAATCCTTAAAGTTTTAAATTATTTCACTTTAGGATATGTAATTAATTATTTTGATTTTTATTTTTACTCTAAAATAAAAAATGACACATATTTAATAAGAAATATAATTATTTAAGCTAATAATAAAACTAAAAATACAGGAAAAATACTGAAATTAAAAATAACATCAAATTATTTTATTAACATAATAATGATGATTACATGTATAATTTTACATAACATAATATAATGATTACATCTATAATTTTACATAACATGATAATCAACGATGAGCGTGATCTCACTGCACTAATTGAGTTGGAAAAGAAGCCCATCTCCAGAAGATGATATTGCCGAAAACGACGATATTAAGTTTGTGTTGTTATTTTTAGTCTTGTAATGTATTTAAATATTTAAATATTTAATTTTAAATAACTTTAATAAATTGTGAAAATTTTGAAGAAACAAAAAAAATATGGGGCAGTTTTTAATATATATATATATATATATAAATATACAATGTAAATTTAGTAATTAATAAAAAGAATGTAAGTTAGAAAATTATTTTTGAAGTAAAATGAGACAATATATTGGAGTAAAACCCAACTTCATTTTGAGAATTCTTCATTTTGAAATAAAATATGGGGTAATACATTGAAGATGTCCTAATATTACATACATAAAGTATAGTTTTTTTGTTAATTTATACGACAACTAATCTGTTTTGGTTAAAACATATGACCATTGATAACTTAGATGACACATCAACTCTCATATACTCGTCATCTGCCACATCATTTTTTTTATTTAAAAATACTTTTAAATAAACAATTTTTTTTTCAAAATAATATTTTTCTATAATTGTTTTAAATCATGACAAACAAAAATAATGGCTCCATTTGAACTTTTTACTGAATCACATTTAGAAGACGATTTTGATTATGTAAGTAGTTTCTTTTCATTCTTACATTTTGATTACATATTAATAATCTTCAAATTTATCTAATGAATTCAAGATCTTTTGGATTTAAAGAGAAGCGAACAACTCATAAAGTCGAATTTGGAGGAGCAAATATTAGATTTTGGATCTTTCAGTTATCGAATTTCTAAACTATGGTGGAAAAACAATGAGCATTGCCATGGTGATCTAGCATCTCTTGCATCGGAGTTGTTCAACACATCAATCTTTTAATGTTGGTGGTTAGGTAATCAGGTTTGGAATCCATACAGAAGCTGTATCATTCCTCAAACTGTCATGCATTGCTTTGTACCCGTAATTGGGTTAATTTCTTTAATTTCTTTCGATTCTTCGTTTCTGTCATGGATGCTTTGAAATCGCAATTGTCTTGTCGATCCCTCCGCATTTTCGCATGATTTAGAGAAATTCTTTACGCTTGTACATATGCTCTCATAGGTTGCTGAACAGGAGCACCACGAAGATGACGCTGCTGCGAAAAACTTCATCGACGGTGCAAAAAAGCACGAACAAGCGCTGCATAGTTGTTTTAAGTAAAAAACCGTAATCTAGATCTTCAAAATTTAGGTGATATTGAAGATTTTTTTGGTGAAGAAAATGAGGATTGTATAAAGGTTGCAAGTAGCTCAACTGTTTGAGATAAGGATTAAAGGTAAATAAAATGCTTAATATTTTTTGTTTTATTATGTGTTTTCCTATCATTAGGAAGAGTATAATCTGTATTTTTACGTGTTATGTTAGACTAAAAACAGCAGCAATTTGCGAAGAAGGAAGAGGCTGTGAAAGAAAAGATAGTATAATCCTTAATCTTTTAATGGAAACTTTGTGTATTCACATCAAATACACAACATTTGCACTGTCAATCTTAGACAACCTAGAGTAAAAGGAAGATAAAGGAGCATGTTTAGAGTAAGAGCAAGAGTATGAAAATCACTTGATTCCTTCAGACACTTCGATGTCGGTTTCAACAAAAGACAAACAATTAAAAGATTTATATGTTAAAGTTGGAAATGATCGTGTAATTATTTCCAAGTGGTGTTTTCTGTGTTGACACCAAAGTATAATCTGTGCCGAACCTAAGCATTGTATTGGATCCACATTTTTTCACTAATTTTTTTTAAAAAATTAAGGCCCTGAAATTTGGAAATATTGTAAAAAAGACCCAAATTTTAATAATCTCAAACTCATATATATAATATATTTTAATCTACATTACATGCGGAAAGAATGAGCTTATCAAGCGGTGGGATATTGGTGCAGGAGACTTTGTTCAGTCGTATGAGAAAGATGGTGTTGGTTCTGTTTCTTGTGGATGGTTTCATGATGGGTCAGGTATGATTGGTGCAATGGACGACAGACGCATCTATCTGAGATACAGCAAGAACAAGAGCAAGAGAAACGGGCACAAATGGTGTCTGATGTAGCCATGACTAGTGATGAAAAGTGGGTAATAAGCGTGGGCAGAGAGCAGCGTGAAGACTATGTGCAATGGACCAGTTGAATAAAACCATTGCAAGCATTAAACGGTTGAATAATTAAAAAAATCTACTTGGATTAAATAGAGTTGAAAGAATTCAACTAGTTGAATCACAAAAATCTGGGTCCACCATTGACACATGTCAATTTTTAAGTGGTGTGTGTTACACACTCACATTTAATCCGCGTGAAGCAATTTTTTTAATAGATATATGTGCTTTATTTCTATTGGTCATTGAGATTCTTGATATTTTTTTCACCCTATTATTGAAACTCAATTATTTCATATCAAATAATTTTTTATATTTATATATTTTATATCAAAATTCATCATTTTTCATACTCTATAAATAGAGACTTGTCTCATTTCATTTGGACACAGAACAAAAAATCTCATTTTTTACTAAAAAATTCTATTAACCATCAATAATTTCTTGTTTACTCTTGATTTCTTTTGTTTACAAAATGAATCCCAACGATAATCCTTTCAACACCCAAAATTCTACTAATTACCCTTTCAACTACACAAATCCTCACAACCATCAAATTCAAAATCCAATTTCAAACCAACCCCAAAATATACCAAATTATGGTTATGCACCAAATTTTTTTATGCCATCAGCTGTTCCAAACTATCAGCAATATTATGGTTCAATGATGCCATATTCTTCTCAACTACCCTTTTATTCTTCTGTTCCAACAGACAATGAAAATACTCCAAATGTTGGATCAACGGAATTTCCTGGATTTTCCACACAAGTGTCTCTTGGTGGCATGAGCAGTAATAGTGAAGCCATTCCAAATGCAGCAGAGTCAACTTCCACTCGCCGGAAAAGCCCAAAATGGACAACCGATCAAAACTTGGTGCTACTTAGTGGGTGGATTAAATTTGGAACAGACAGCATTGTTGGTAGAAACCAAAAATGTGAATCTTATTGGGGTAAAATTGCGGAGTATTGTAATGAGCATTGCTCATTTGATCCTCCGCGTGATGGAATTTCGTGTAAAAACCATTACAACTATATGAACCCAAAGTTGGCTAAATGGGTTGGCGCTTACGATAGTGCTAAGCGTTTGCAACAAAGCTGGTGGTCGGAGCAAGATGTATTGGCGAAAGCACATGAATTATATTCAAGTGCTAATAAAGGAAGTTTAAATTTAATGCAGGAATGGCTCAATGTTCGTGATCAACCACGTTACCGTAGTCAGATAGGAGGAAATACAGGTTCTGAAAGCAGTGGCTCTAAGAGATCTCGTGAGAGTAGTGCTGGTGACACCAACTCTGTAGGGTCTAGTGTTCGTCCAATAGGACGGGATGCAGCTAAAAAAAAGAGTAAAAAAAAAGGTAAAAATGCAGTCTTAGAAGTGGAAGAGAAAGAATGGAATGATTTCAAACAATTCAAAGAGCAAGAGTTGGAACGGTTGGACAAAATAGTCATGCAACAAGAAGAGGGAAATAAACTCATTAAAGAAAAGACTGAATCTAAAAAAATGAAGATGTTTATCAAGTTATCTGAGAAAGAGCATCTCAATGACCAAAGCAAAGAGCTATTGAAAAAGCTTACCCACGATCTATTTGGAAATTAATTATTTTCAAGTGCTTGTTTGTATTTTGATATTTCATATTTAATAATGCTTGTTTGTAATTCATGCTTTCATAATGTTGTGTTGTCATATTGTGCTTTAATAATGTTGTATTGTCGTGTTATGCTTTAATAATGTTGTATTGTCATATTGTGCTTTAATAATGTTGTATTGTCACATTATACTTTAGTAATGTTATCAACTGTCCACAATGTTTTTTTTGTTTGGACCCATTTTGGCTTTTATTGAGAGAATCGTATCATGAACCATTTGAATTTTATCCTCTCTTTTTTTTCAGTCACTCAATATATTTGTTCCATTTGCTTATAAATAGAGATTCATTCTTACATTCTTGTACAAATGCCACAAATCTCATTTTACTAAAATATATCAATGGATCCATCACAATATCCTTTTGATGTTGAAGCTTACAAAAAGCAATGTGAAATTGAAGAAAGGTATGTCTTCAACCGGTTTAAGGAGCGTCGAAAGAGAATAGAAGAAGACTATCGACCCCGTGGCGAGAGAAAATATGTGAAGAGAGATCATGCCGCAGCAAATCAAAGATTGATTGACGACTACTTTGCCAGTCAGCCAACATACGATGATGCAATGTTTCGTCGACGATTCCGGATGCGAAAACATGTTTTTCTTCGGATCGTTAAGGACCTATCAAGCACTGACAACTACTTTACCCAACGATTTGACGCAGCCAATAAAGAAGGTATATCTCCTTTAGCAAAATGTACTACGGCTATGCGAATGTTAGCATATGGTATGGCTGCAGACGCGGTGGATGAATACATCAAAATCGGAGGTACTACAGCTTTAGAGTGCTTGCGTCGCTTCTGTAAGAGAATCATACAACTGTATGAGGGAGTGTATCTTAGAGCTCCAACTCAAGATGATCTTCAACGGATTTTGCATGTTAATGAGAAGCGAGGGTTTCCAGGGATGATTGGGAGTATTGATTGCATGCATTGGGAATGGAAAAATTGTCCAAAAGCGTGGGAAGGTCAATTTACTCGGGGAGATAAGGGAACCACCACTGTTATTCTTGAAGCTGTTGCAACTCAGGATCTATGGATTTGGCATGCATTTTTTGGATGTCCGGGTACGCTGAACGATAGAAACGTTCTAGACCGTTCACCAGTGTTCGATGATGTTGAACAAGGAAATGCTCCAAGAGTGAACTTCTCCGTAAACCAGCGTCCATATAATATAGCATATTATCTAGCTGACGGTATTTATCCTTCTTATCCTACTTTTGTCAAATCAATTAAGCTTCCTCAAAGTGAACCAGACAAGCTATTTGCACATTATCAAGAGGGATGTCGGAAGGACATCGAACGTGCATTTGGAGTATTGCAGGCTCGATTTAAGATCATTCGTGAACCAGCTCGCATGTGGGACATCGCTGATTTGCAAATCATCATGAGGTCATGTATCATATTACATAATATGATTGTTGAGGATAAGCGAGATACATATGCTCAGCGAGATACATATGCTCAACAGTTTACTGATTATGATCAGTCTGAGGCAAGTGGGTCAAGTACAACGCAACCATTCTCGACCCAGGTGCTGCATGCATTTGAAAATTATGTGCGTGCTAGATCTGAGTTACGTGATTCAGATATACATCATGAATTGCAAGCAGATTTAGTCAACCACATATGGACGAAATTTGGAGTGTTCCACAATTAAAATGATTTTTAAGATTATGTGTGATGAATTAAAAAAATTATTGTTTGTATGTTTAATCTATTGTACTAATTAATTATGCATATTTTATAAGTTGTATTGTATGTTTGTTAATGTATTTTAATTTTTGTTTTCTAATTTATTTATTCTAATAATGATTATGTGTCGTTTTAATTATTTATATGTTTTAAGAGAATATAAATTTAGTTTACGATGTTAATATATTTTAAGTCAATATTAAACAACAATTTACATTAATATGAAATCATAAAACAATTATATAAAAGTAGTGGGGTAGGGTGTTGAATTTATTAAACAAAACCATTGTAGTGCTCAAAATTTAAAAATGTGTTGAATGACTAGGTGGAAGAGAGAGAAGCTGATGTGGAGCATAAAGTAGGGGGTTGAATTCTCAAACCATTGTACATAGTCTAACTAATAAGGCTTGGACATCTCAAGCCTTTGACACGTGGCACTCTTTTTTTTTTTTTTTTTTTTCGCCTAACACCAAAACGACGTCGTTTTGCTTTTTTTTTTTTTTCGTCTTACACCAAAACGACGTCGTTTTGCGCTTTATCTTTTTTTTTTCGTCTTACACCAAAACGACGTCGTTTTCGTAAAAAAAAAAAAAAAATCTAAATCAAAATTATGTGTAATGTTGTTCGTTTTGATGGGCTTGATTATTTATCGGACCTCTTCGTTTCCATGGTAGCTTTAAATGGGCTTACTGGCTAATTAGCTCATTTCATTTCCTTTTAAAAAGGATTGCAATTATTATTATCTATGAGTCTGTAGGATAATAATCAATCTATAATGATTGTTAGTATAAGGAAAATTAGAAGAACTCAACTCCAGTCGATAAATTATTGTATAAAAGAACAAAAAACATATGAAACTATTCACTATGAGTCTATATAAGATTTCACGTAAATAACAACTAAATTTTAAAACTATATGAAAAAAAACAAAATGCAAAACTTACAGAATCTAATATATTCGAGTAAAAAACAAATGATATATTCGAATCTAATGTTCTGAATAATTAAATTAAAAATATTTGGTTTAATAAACCCGCGCATTGCGCGGGTTCTCTCCTAGTTAATTTTAAATAAAGCCCAATATATATTTATTTGAGCTGGGTCTAGGTAAAGTATAATGTTGATAACTTGATATGGCCGAGACAAGATTATTTCTTACGAGGTCATTTAGTAAAATATTTATATCATATTGTAGTATTATTTTTAAAAATGAAATTAAACTTAAAACTAAAACCAGCCATAAATGAAAAAAATATCAAAAATTTGTTTCACAACAAAACTTAATGCGAAGATGAAACATGACACTATGACAGCCTCTTAAAAGACTGTATTTCTTTAAAAAATACTCTCTCTATCCCATAATATAAGCAGTTTTGGCATAATGTATCTGTAATTTTTTGGATGTATTTGGATGTGTTTACACATAGATAGATGGGTTGGTTGGTTGATACAGTCTAGTTTTACGGTTTGGTTTCGTTCTGTTTCACCTGCCTCGTCAGTCAAAAAGCCAACGACACCGTGAAGAGAGCCAATCACGTTTTGAATTATGCGATGGTTAGAAGAGCTATCTCCTGCAGACAACCTAGAAATCGAGAATGGCCTCTCTCTCTTCTCACACGTCAAGCTCTGTCTCACAATCCACCCTTTCGTCCCGACAAATGGCAGCTCAAGCGATCCTTGATAGATTTCCTCAAGAATTCAGTCTTCCCTTTTGTGACATTTTCCGACCAGGTTCGGCGTCACAAGCACTTTTATGTGATTTTTTTTTTTTTGGTAAGTAGCACTTTTATGTGATTGTGTTACTTGGAGTGTATCAATTTTTTGTTTGTGTATTTTTGTTGAAGATTTATCTTCTCTATATTTTATTACTTCATTTGTTATTTAATTAGCTCCATATCTTTGTATCCGAAATTTTAAGCTAACGAGAATATCACAAAAAAAAAAAAAAATGTTGCACCAATTTTTTTTTAATTATTAGTATGATCGAATCGCAATAATTTGTTCTCTTGCGTTCAACACCTATCTATGTTGCATTGTGTTAACACAAAGCTGTTCGACTATATATAATGGTTTATGTACCTAAAAACGGACATCAATCATATTCTATGGAGATACAAATGAGATTATTTTTTCTACGGACTCATCTACGTTATTTGTGTTCATGGATTTTTGATTTTGTCTTTCATTTTCCTATGAATTATTACTTGAATATTTTTTTAAACGAAGTTTGACATATATGGAATTCGTATTTGGAATTCGAGATGGAATCTTCGGAAACCCGAATAGTGAAACCTTGGTATCATCCAAAATGGAACCGGATACTAAGTTTTTGAAGTCTAGATAATTTCTTCACTATGCCCTAACTGGTAACATACATGTTGCAGAATGTTGAAAAAAATCTTGAGGAATACTTTTTCTAATACACCAGTTACAAAATTTCCAGAGGAATTGTCAAATTCTTTTTTGTTTTCAATTCTTCTTTAAACTTATTATTTCACTTTAATGTATTCACTTAAATAGGAGTATTAAAGAATTATCCATTTATCCAACACAAATATTGAAGAATTGTGGATGTTTTTCTTTAAAAAATTAGCCCAACACCAATTTCAATAATTGGGGAACTGTGGAATATTACTGAAAAAATAATAAAATTTTATTTTAGTATGATATATATTTAATTTAATATAATTTTTAATTAAATTATTATAGCAATAAAATTAATGTAAGAATAAGGGAAAACAACATATGGTGCTATATGCATACAATACTAGAAATAATTAAGTAGCAAATATGAGATGATTTTCATTAATGAATTTATAATATCAAAATATTATACTTTTTTAAATATCTATTTTTTATTTTTAGTTTAACTTTGATTAATAAATTATCAATCCAAATTCCTAAATTTTATAAGTTTTAAAAAATATTTTACTAATCTATTATTTAAATATTTCACAAAAAAACAAGTTTATATTTATTTTATTAATTTAAGTGAGTAAAGGTTTTATTAGTTTATCCAAATAGTTTTCAGACATTTATCCTGCATTCAGCAATATTCAGCTGTTATCATTTGCATTATAAACTAATCATTTAAATTCTGCAAAAAACCTTTATTTAATTCAGCCAGATTCCACATTCAGCAACATTCAGCGTTTACATTGCATATATATCCTCGAATCAAAGGTTATTCCCTCTTTAGTCTCAACACTATTGTTGACTGTTTTTTGTTTAACTTTTTGGTTCAACATATGCATTATTTTGTCAATTTTAAAAGGTAACTATAGTCTCAACATTATGAGATTTCCCAAAACCCAATGTGCAATATTAATGTTTGGTCAAACGTACCTGTGTATATATATATAGCAATACCATATGTGTAGACATTATATATAAGTAGAATATTAGTGTTTGTTTGGACAACAATCACAAGTCACAACAAAATATATAAGCCAAAAAAGAAAGAAAAAAAAAAGCAAAAAGAAGAAGAAGATGAAGGTGGCTGCAATTGTTTTGGTTTCTTGTGTCTTGATCTCCCTTCTCTCAAGCCTAACCATTGCGGAGATAAGACCATGGTGCCCATCACGAAAACAAATATTCGATGGTCCATGCCAAAAACATATCATCACACAATGCTGGCAAGAACTAAAAAGAACGTTCAATGGTTCAACATTCGATCTTGGTCCTTACGACCTCGGTTGCACTTGCATTCCTCAACCCGAGAACAAGCATCTCTGCTGGATTCCTTTTTTGCCTTGCCCACAATCCAGTTAAAGATCCATAATAGTTGTCTTGCTCATCTGTGTTAGATATTTTTGATAATATTAATGGTTTAATTATACATGTTCACATCTTATTTTGATACATTAAAATTGTTCGAAAGATATGAAACTATAATAAAAGACCTGTTTCAAAATTCCCCATAGTTAAATCATGTATAAAAACAGACCAAGGTCCAAGAAGACTCATGTTTCCTTCATGAGAAAATACAAAAACAATATTGATCCCAAGTAAGACAATGAAAATTAATGCAGAATGCTTGTTTTAATAGGGTGATAAAAGTTTAAAATTTCCGCCATCCAAAAATATATAATACATTTGTAGTGCTACTAGATATGTAACATAATATCTTGTGTTAGATGGTAGAATCGTCCGTTGTAGAATTGTCTTGTAACAGTTCTCATATTTGTGTAATAGATTAGTCAATCCAGTGTTAAAAAAAAATGTCTTGTGTTAGAGAAACCGATTTCTTCTCTCTTTATTTTTTTCTTTCTAATTATATAGCCATATATCCTCTTTAAATACATCTAATAAACATAGAAATGAAAGCAAAATGAATCTTTAAGATCTTTAAAGTAATCTTGAATGCGTCGGAAAAAACTTCACGATAAAATAAGTATATTCAACTTTAGTCACATAAAGATGTTACGTCGAAAACCAACATTCACAAATTTATCGAAACAAATTAGGTTGCATCTTAGGTCTTGATTGTTTGCAGATTCTAGTTTAGATTTTGGTTTTTGTTTTTTAAAAAAACCATTTTTCATCCAATCAAGATTTTACTGAAACAGATTCCCTAATTTTTAGGGAAACTAGTTTTTGTAGAGTTTTTCCATTTTGTACATAGAAACTAAAATCTCTATTTTTTGGGTTTCTCACAAACACTAGCAACGATAGGTTTTTTCACCCATTTTTTAATTTAAAAAAAAAGAAAATTAAATCTACAGCAAAATCAAAATCAAAAATCAAAAACTAAAATCTAAAAACCAAAATCCAAAATCTAAAAACCAGTCAAACATTCATGGCCTTAATTATGTTTAAGTTTGCTTTTTAATTTGTTTCCATTTTGCACTCTAGCAGATCGGTTTCTTTTGTTTAATTCGCTTTAGCTTTTTGGTCGGGATTTTGGAAATTTTGAAGAAATGAATCCATTTATTTATTTATTTTTGGTCAACCGAAGAAATAAATCCATTTAAACAAAGTCAAATATACAGTAGTTCGATTTCTGAATCGGTTATTTTCGGTTCAGATCAAATCGGATTGGTTAACAGTTAATCCAGGTCGTATATACTTTTACGGTTTGGTTTCGTTCGGTTTCAGTAATCAATCTCTCTACTAAAACCTCGTCAGTCAAAATCCGACGACACCGCGAAGAGAGCCTATCATCGTCGTCTGAATTATACATCGACGGCGAGCCAAAAAAAATGCGATCGTTAGAAGAGCTATCTCCGGCGGAAAACCTAGAAATCGAGAACGGCCTTTCTCTCGTCTCACGCGTCAAGCTCTGTCTCACAATCCACTCTCTTATCCCTACCGTATCGAAGCCAATCGACGAATGGCAGCTCAAGCGATCCTTGATAGATTTCCTCAAGAGCTCAATCTTCCCTTCCGTGACAGTTCCCGAAGAAGATATCGTTGTTCGGCGTCACAGGGACTTGAAGAAACGGAAGCGGGAGGAGCCAGTAGCTCACGGATCGCTATTTATCCGCGATTTAGGGTTTCTCGAAGGTAAGAAGGGGAAGAAGAAGGTTGATGGAGAGAGAGATGTGAAGGAGTTGGAGAAGAAGTTTATTGACTGGAGGAGAGTTTTGGTTGAGAAGATGAATGGAATTGAGCTGAATTTGGAAGGAGTCAAGTATAAACTCAGTGTTGTGCTTCCGGTTTCAGATGATTTCGAGAGGGTGAAGAAAGATTGGGAGGAGTTTTACGCTTTTGGTAATCTGGGTTTCATTGATTTTGTTCAGCTTTGATTGGTGTTTGCTTGGAGTGTTTTCAATTTTTGTTTTGGGTATTTTGGTTTTTGTAGGACATCCAAGAGAGATAAGAAGAGAGGCTGATACTATGGTACTGAGAGGTGTGCCTTCAAGATGGTTTGCAGAGCCAAGAGTTTCATCAAAG